ACTCTTCCAAATATAAGATTATCTCATTTGCAAACAAGAATAATTTGATTTCTTCTTTTCCAATTTGGATATCCTTTATTTTCTTCTCTTATCTGATTGTTCTAGCTAGGACTTGCAGTGTTATGTTGAATAACAGTGGTGAAAATTGGCAGCCTTGTTTTGTTCCAGAATTTGGAAGAAAGGCTTTCAATTTTTTCCCATTAAGTATGATACTGTGGGTCTGTGGTGTATGGCTTTTACTATTTTGAGGTATGTTCCTTCTGTCCCCAGTTTTTTTAGGGCTTTTATCATGGAAGGATGTTTAATTTTTTCAAATGTTTTTTCAGCATCAGTTGAAATTGTCATACAGTTTTTGTCTTTCTCTCTATTGAGATGATGTATCACATTGATTGATTTGCATACATTGAAATAGACATAACATTCCAGGGATAAGTCTCAATTGGTCATGATGAATTATCTTTTCAATGTATTGTTGAATCTAGTTTGCTAATATTTTGTTGAGGATTTTTGCATCCTTATTTGTTAGGAATATTGGCCTGTATTTTACCCCCCCCCCCCACTTTTTTTTTTTTTGATATGTCTCTGTCTTGTTTGGGTATCAGGGTAATACTGGCCTCGTAGAGTGATTCATTAGTATTCCCTCTTCTGTTTTTGAAAGTAATTTGAGTAGGATTGGTGTCAGTTCAGTGCTTCTTTAAATGTTTGATAGAATACAGCAGTGAAGCCATCAGGTCCTGGGCTGTTCTTTACTGAGAGACTTTTAATTATAGCTCCATAATTAAATGTTTTATTCCATTGTAACTTGCTGTTGGTCTGTTCAGGTTTTGTATTTCTTCATGGTTCAATCTTGGTAGGTTGTATGTGTCTAGAAATTTATCCATTTCCTTGGCACACAGTTGCACATAGTGACCACCAACAATCTTTTGAATTTGTGTAGTATCAGTTGTAATGTCTCCTTTTCATCTTAGATTTTATTTATTTGGGTCTTTTGTCTTTTATTCTTAGTCTGGCTAAAGGTTTCTCAATTTTGTTTTTCTTTTTAAAAAACCATTTTGTTTTGTTGATCTTTTATATTGTTTTCTTTGCTTCGATTTCATTTATTTGTGCTCTTTTCTTTTTCTTTTTTTTTTTGGTTGAGACATGGTCTCACTTTGTCACCCAGGCTGCAGTACATTGGCATGAACATGGCTCATTGTAGCCTTGGCCTCCCAGGCTCAGGCCATCTTCTCACATCAGCCTCCTGAGTAGCTGGGACTACAGGCACATGCCACCATGCCCAGCTAATTTTTGGGTTTCTTTTCTTTTACTAATTTTGGATTTGGTTTGCTCTAGCTTTTCTAGTTCCTTAAGATACATTGTTAGGTTTCTAATAAAATTCTGAATCCCTCCGCTGTGTTATCTGGAATTTCTTTGAGCTACCTCAAAACAGCCACAATAGTAGTTGTTCTTGTTACAATAGTAACAACAAAAATCACTGATCACAGATCACCATAACAAATAGCAATGATAATGAAATAGTTTGAAATATTGCAAGAATTGGCTGGGTGTGGTAGTTTACCCCTGTAATTCCAGAACTTTGGGAGGCTGGAGCAGGCAAATCACCTGAGAATAGGAGTTCGAGACCAGCCTGACCAACATGGTAAAACTGTATCTCTATTAAAATTACCAGAAAATGTAACCAGTCATGCTGATGGGCACCTGTAATTCCAGCTACTCGAGAGACTGAGGCAGGAGAATTGCTTGAAATCAACCGGGAGGCAGAGGTTTACAGTGAGGCAAGATCGCAGCATTGCATTCCAGCTTAGGTGATGAGAGTGAAACTCCGTCTCAAAAAGAAAAAAAAGAAATATTGCAAGAATTAGTATAATGTGATACAGAGATACACAGTGAGCACATTGTTGGAAAATGGTGCCAATTGACTTGCTTGACATTAGGGTTGCTACAAACCTTCAATTTGTAAAAAATGCAATATTTGCAAAATGTAATAAAGCAAATCACAGTATAATAAGGTATAACTATAGGATATTTATAACAGCTATTTTATCATCCTTGTGTTATAATGCTACCATCTGTAACATTTTTATATTGTGACAGTTGATTAATTTTTCTTCTCATTATGCATTGTATTTTTCTGCTTCTTTACATCTCTGTTACTATTGAATGACAGACATTGTGATTTACATAGGTGGATGTTGGACTTTTTTGTGTGTTCTTTTAAATGCTTTTTGGCTTTAGTCTGGTTGGCAGTTTTTTTGGAAATAGTTTAATCCTTTTGACCTAATCTTTGTTAGAGTGGTTTCAGAATAGCTTTTAGTTTAGGAGTAATTTGTCCTCATTACTGAGGTATTATCCTTCTAAGGACTCTACCTGGTGCTCTTATCTATCAGGTGGTCTTTCCACTCTGGCTGGTTCTGTGTGAACTTTGAGAATGTCCTATTTTTTTCTGGTGGTTCTTTTTCTGGCTGTAGTTTAATCACACACATGCACAGATCAGTACCTAGCCGAAGACCTGAGAGGACTCTTCAGCACCTCCCTTCTTTCTGGTTTTCTGATTTGTAACTTTTAGCTGTCTTGGACTCTCCAACTCTAAACTGTCTCCTCACCTTAGGAGGATTGATGGACTTTGTTTGGGTCCTGCCTTTCACCACTGAGACGTGGAAATGTAAAGTACTTGTAGGGTTACCTTGCTTATTTTCTTTCTCCTAAACATCACTGTCTTGTGCTGCCCAGTGTCTGTTGTCTGGGAACTATAGTTTAATATATTTTGTCCATTTTTTAATACTTAAGGGGAGAGGGTAAACCTGATTTCTTTTATTCCACTATGACCTGAAGCAGAAGTCTTAACCTTCATTCCTCCCTCCTACAACATACCTGATCAATTTGACTAATTTGAGAAGAGGAGGTAGAATTTATAATTTGAAAGTTTGTCACATATCTTTTTCCGTACTAGACTGTTTAAAAAGAAAAAAACTGACGCCTAAAACTGGACATTAGTGTGATTATATTTGGATAAGTGTTTATAGACCATTGTATTTACTTTTGCATTTTTTGTGTCTAAATCACTGACTCTGTGAAGCCAAACTACTATGGTGTAGTAGTTACCCCTTATCTGTGGTTTTGCTTAAGGCAATTTCAGTTACCTGCAGTTAGCTGTGGTTTGAAAACATTAAGTGGAAAATTCCAGAAATAACTTATAATTTTTAAATTGCATGCCATTCTGAGTAGCTTGATGAAATCTCACACTGTCCTGCTCCATCTTGCCAGGGACATGTGACCAGTGTATCTGCACTATATATACCACCTACCTGGTAGTTCACTTAGCAACCTTCTTGGTTGTCAGATTGACTGTTGGTGATATCACAGTGCTTGTTTTCAAATAACCCTTATTGTACTTAATAATGCCCCTTAAGCTTAAGTGTAGTAATGCTGAAAATTTAGATATTAATGCTAACAATTCAGATATGCCAAAAAGTAGCTGTAAAGTTCCTCCTTTAAGCTAAAGATGAGAGTTCTCAATTTAATAAGAAAAAAAAATCGTATGCTGAAGTTGCTAAGATCTGTGTTAAGAATCAATCTTCTATCCATGAAATTGTGAAGAATGAAAAAGAAATTTATGCTAATGTTACTGTCGCACCTTAAATTGTAACAGTTACTGCCAGAATGCATGGTAAATATTTAGTTACAATTGAAAAGGCATTAAATTTATGGGTGGAAGTTCTTAACAGAAATGTGTTCCAATTGATGGAAACATATTGTGCTGGGTTAACTTAATCTCAATTAAATTAAACTTTATCATAGTTCTTTATGTATGTATAGGAAAAAACCTAGTATGTATAGGGTTTGTTACTATCTGAGGTTTCAGGCATCCACTGGAGGTCTTGGAACATAACTCCCAAGGATAAAGAGTATGCAAATGGTGGATGATCCAGTTTTTAGTTAAATGTTGTTTTAAAACTCTAATTAGTGAAAAGCAGTTTGACAGTTTGTTGTAAAGGTATATCTGCACTTATTATATTACCCAAGAATTCTGTTTAAGGAAAATGAAAGCAAATGCCTACACAAAAACTTGATGTTAATTTTTATAGTAGTTTTATTAGTAATGGCCCCAATCTGGAAAGAATAGAAGTGTCTACCTACATGGATAAATGGAATACCACTCAGCATTTAAAAGGAATACATTATTAATAAAATAACATGAATGATTTTTAGAACTATGCTGAGCAAAATAAGCAGACATTAGTCCTTCAGTGTAAATTAAAAACAAACAAAAAAACTAGACATAGGAGTCTATAAAATTCTTGAAGAGGGAAAAAATTAATCTATAGTGATAGAAATCAAAGCAGTGATTTTGTGAGGTGGGTAAGTATTGAGGTATCACAAAGAAACTTAGTGGAATGATGATAATGTTCTATATCTTGATTGGTTAGTTGGCTGCACAGGTACATATATTTGTCAAGACTCAAACTGCTCTTAAAATATGTTTATTGATTTTATTATATGAAAATTATATCTCAAAGAAAGTTGGCTAAAGAAAACTCTAGTATGTGGGTTTAACAAATAACCTAAACGTATTGACTGAAATATGAAATGGACTGGGCTCAGTGGCTCATACCTGTAATCCCAGCACTTTGAGAAGCTGAGGCAGGAGGATCACTTCAACCCAGGAGTTTGAGACCAGCCTGAGCAACATAGGGAGACTCCATCTCTATTAAAAAAAAAAAATCTGAAAGGTTTAAATGTATACAAGCTTACATACACATGACATAGAAATACACACACACACACACACACACACACACACACGCACACACACATGCAATACATATTAACAACCTGGATTCTGATTCTGTTCTAAAATTCACAGTTCTTTTCAGCCTTTCACTTCCTTAGTGTATGAAATGAGGTTAGGTTAGGAATTCTTTGTATCTGGTTATAAAAAGAAAGAAGTTAATAAGTTTAATCTTTTAAAAACTGGCTTGACTTAAGAATTTTTTTTCCAGAAATCTTCCTGCCAAATCTGTGGAAGAAGCTTTACGTCACCGACAAGAATATGATGAGATGGTGGCTGAGGCTAAAAAACGAGGTATAAAATTTAAGTCCAAATGGTATAGTTAATTTTCTGATTTTATCAGGAAGATGGTTGGTAAAATTGATCAAGTCTATCTTCAAGATGATACTGAATTTTTTTTTTTTTTTTTTTTTTTTTGAGACAGGGCCTTGCTCTGTTGTCCGGGCTGATATGCAGTAACACAATCACAGCTCACTGTAGCCCGACCTCCCAGGCTCAAGCAGTCCTCTTACCTCTCAGTCTCACTAGTAGCTGGGACCACAGGCACATGCCACCATGCCTGGCTAATTTTTTGTATTGTTTGAGGGGATGAGGTTGCCTAGGCTTTTGTTTTTCTCTACTATTTTCTACCATGTTGCCTAGGCTTTTATTTTTCTCTATTATTTTTATAATTAAGTTTGTTCTAAAGGAGGGATAAAATGACATATCAGGATCATAGTTTTTCTGCATGTACTTTTACAAACTAATAGGAGGAATCTTGAGATTACAGTCATAAAACTTGGACCACTACTATCTTCGTTTATAAATAAAGATATTATTTCTGAATCTATTAATGATTTTCACTTTTTAACAGTTTTTATATTTTATAATTTGATAATTCTTAATTTCTAATTATTTTATGATTAATAATTTTAAATTTCTGTGTGGCTGTGAGAATATGATTTGAAACTAAAATATTCTTTTGTGACTTACAGAGTCTCTCCAGAGGCCCAATTGTGTCATTTGATTAGTCACATAAATGTATACTTTTGTGTGTATAAATTTACATATTTATTTATTAATTCTCTTCTCCAACCAAAACATAATATCAGGGTAATTTAACAGGGCTTATTTACTGACAACTGTAATTTCAGGATAAACATACACTTTTAGAAGATATTATACAGCTATATATATATTTTTAGACTTAACACCCAATAACTTATTAACAACTGATATGTTTTCCTTTGACGTAAGTGAATGGAACATTATAATAGTATATAGTTCTGCTTTATGGTGCTATTCTGGAAATGGTTACTTCTTTAATGTTAAGTAAACATAGGATATACAAGGTTAGTTATATGTTTCTAAAAGGCCTGCTTATTTAATCATTAGTTGAGTGTATTTTACTATACAGAATTCTAAATATTTCTGTACCCAATTGAGTTTTTATTTATTTATTTATTTGAGGCAGGGTCTTGCTCTGTCACCTAGTCTGGAGTGCGGTGATGGAAACCTGGTTTACTGCAGCCTCAATCTCCTAGGCTCAGGAGATCCTCCCACCTCAGCCTCCCAAGTAGCTGGGACCACAGGCGTACACCACCACGCCCAGCTAATTTTTGTGTTTTTTGTCGAGATGGGTTTTGCCATGTTGGCCAGGCTGGTCTCCAACTCCTGATCTCAAGTGATCTGCCCACCTCAGCCTCCCAAAGTGCTAAAATTATAGGTGCGAGCCACCACATCCAGCCTAAATTTTAATTTTTTATTATGTATTTATTTATTTTAGAGACAGGGTCGCACTCTGTTGCCTAGGCTGGTGTGCAGTTGTACAATTATAGCTCACTGCAGCCTTGAATTCCTGGGCTCAAGCAATCCTGCTGCCTCAGCCTCCCTAGTAGCTGGGATTACAGGTACATGCCACCACGCCCAGCTCTTTTTTTTTTTTTTTTTTGAGAGGAAGCCTCACTCTGCCACCCAGGCTGGAGTGCAGTAGCACAATCTCCACTCACTGCAGCCTCTGCCTCCTGGGTTCAAGTGATTCTCTCACCTCAGCCTCCAGACTGGCTGGGATTACAAGTGCCTGTCACCATGCTAATTTTTGCATTTTTAGTAGAGACACGGTGGTCTCGAACTCCTGACCTCAAGTGATCTGCCTTCCTTGGCCTCCCAAAGTGCTGGAATTACAGGCATGAGCCACCACACCCGGCCTCAGCTCATTTTTTAAAAAGTTATTTTGTAGAGGTAGGGTCTCTCTGTGTTGCCCAGGCTGGTCTCAAACTCCTGGCCTCAAACAGTTCTCCCACCTGGGCCTCCCGAAAGCATTGGGATTATAGGCGTGAACCACTGTGCCTGGCCCCAGTTAAGTTTTCATTGACTTTTCATATTTTTACTGTATGATTAGTATGTAGCATAGTTATTGGTACTGGATGATCTTAAAAGCATGGTATGATAGGAACAATATTGAACTAAGAAATCAGAAAGCCACAGCTTTAATCTTGTTTGATATAGGTAGTGATACTCTGAATAGGCCTAATGTCAGTTTTCTCATACATAAAGTGTGAGGGCAGGCCACCTTAATCAGGGCATTGAAACTTCTCTTTTAACACTTTTTTGTTGTTGTTGTTAAAGCAGTAAAATGTTCTCCCAAGAAATCTTTTATAGAATCTGAATACGTGAAACAAATAGAAGAAAGTAGAGATATTTGCTTGGCCTTCTGCTTGTCCCTCAAGATGGTATCTGAGGCATATCTGAAAAAACAATTTGAAAACAGTTTGGCTAGCTGGTCTCTGACGTCCTCACTGGTTCTAAAATTACGTAGAAGTTTTGATTTATGACTCATTTTCCTCTGTGTTTGAGACACCTTTTCTTCTGAAATTGTGACCTTTGATTTTCAGAGATACATTATCTCCCCTCAACTTTTGCCTCAAAATTTGAGAGATGTACTCTTAATACATGTGTTTTGGGGGACATTTTAAAATTTCAAACTAATTAGTAAGGTGAAACACCATATTAAAAAGAGTTCATGGGCTATGTACTAATAGTGCTATTGGCAAAATCATTTTTGAATGTCATGTGGGATATGTCAGAAAATTTATAAACCTTTGTAGGAAAAATAGGTATTGGTTAGTTACCTACAGTTTTTTATTTTTTTATATAGTTAATCCGTAAGATATTTCACTTTATAGATTAAGTGTAAGTAGAAATATGTGATATGTGATAAAGTAATCTACTTAAATTATTTTTCTGACCTTTTATTCCATTTACTTTTATAGTAGAACAGGAGATGTTATTTTAAAATTATTTAATAGCTGGGCATGGTGGCACACATGTGTAGTCCAAGCTCTTCAGGAAGCTGAGATGTGAGGATTTATTTAAGTCCAGGAGTTTGAGGCCACCTGGGCAATGTGGTGAGACCCGTATCTAAAAAAAAGAGAAAACAGGCCAGTCATGGTAGCTTACACTTGTAATCCAAGCACTTTGGGAGGCTGAGGTGAGCGGATCACGAGGTCAGGAGATGGAGACCATACTGGCTAACACAGTGAAACCCCGTCTCTTCTAAAAATTAAAAAAAAAAAAAAAAAAAAAAAAAAAAAAAAAAGTGGGCGTGGTAGCACGTGCCTGTAATCACAGCTACTCAGGAGGCTGAGGCAGAATTGCTTGAACTCAGAGGCCGCGGTTGCAGTGAGCAGAGGTTGCACCACTGCACTCCAGCCTGGGTGACACAGCAAGACTCTGTCTCAAAAAATAAAAAAAAAAGAAAGAGAAAACAAAGGAAAATTATGTTAATCAAGTTCATTTACTTTCGCTTTTTCCCTTCCTTTCCCCTTCCCTCCCTCCCTTATTTCCTTTCTTCCTCTTATGATAATCTTTTTGAGAAAGCCTGTTTTGTAGAGTTTAGGTAAATGGAGAAGAGGATTTTGATCTAACTTATTTGTATTGAAATAATTTTTACTTATTTAAAACAGAAATTAAGGAAGCACATAAAAGAAAAAGAATAATGAAAGAACGATTTAAGCAGGAAGAAAATATTGCAAGTGCAATGGTAATTTGGATCAATGAAATACTGCCCAATTGGGAAGTAATGTAAGTAAGCAGACTTCCTGAATTCCCATTTGTCTCTGAAGATCTCATGTTTCTGATTCTGTATTTTTATTACTTCCCAGCATGTATTTTATGCTTCAGCCATATTATACTATTAATTAATGCCTGAAATTTTCCAAATTTACATATATGCCTTTGCTTTCATAAATCCCTCAGTTTCTACCACCTACTTCCCTTACTAACCATCCTCTGTGTCTGCTAAATCTTACCTATCCTTTGGGACCCAACTGAAATGCTAATTGATTTATGAAACTTTTAATATTTTCTTAATGCTGGCATACCATCAATTGCAAGATGCACTATTGATGTAACAGCAGCTATTTGGAAAGAAAATATTAAATATGTAAATGCATTATAAGATGTGTTTATTAATATTAAAGTGATTTTTAAAGTGCTTATCTCACAATCAAGGAAATATGTATGGTCTTTCCCTTATGTAAATGTCCCATCATCATACTTTGAGACTAACATACTTATCTTGCCCTTGCCATTTATTTATTTATTTATTTATTTATTTATTTATTTAGTGAGCATCTTTTTAAGGATAAATAATAATTGTATATATTTATGTGGTACAATGTGATTTTATTTTATTTTTTTTGAATCAGTCTCCCTCTGTCACCCAGGCTAGAGTGTAGTGGCACAATCTCTGCTCACTGCAACCTCTGCCTCCTAGATTCAGGTGATTCTTATGCCTCAGCTGGTAGCTGGTTCTACAGGCACGCACCACCATAGCCAGCTAATTGTTTTGCATTTTTAGTAGAAACGATATTTCATCATGTTGGCCAGGCAAGTCTCAAACTCCTGGCCTCAAGTGATCTGCCCACCTCAGCTTCCCAAAGTGCTGGGATTATAGGTGTGAGCCACTGCACCCTACTGTGATGTGTTTTCTGAGGTTTTTTTTTTTTTTTTTTTCCAAAACAGGGTCTTACTCTGTTGCCCAGGCTGGGGTGTAACAGTACAATCCTGGCCCACTGCAACCCCAGCCTCCCTGGGCTCAAGTGTTTCATTCCTTCCAGCTCAGCCTCCCAAGTAGCTGGGAGTATAGGAATGTGCTACCATGTCCAGCTAATTTTTGTATTTTTTGTAAACATGGAGCCCCACTGTGTTGCCCAGGCTGGTCTCGAAGTCCTGGGCTTAAGCAATCTGCCCGCCTTGGCCTTCCAAAGGTGGCTCCCAAAGAGCCACCTGCCTTGCACAATGTGATATTTTGATACATGGTTACATTATGGAATGATTAAATTAAGCTAATTAATAAATCCATCAGCTCATGTACTTCTCAGTATATTGTGGTGGAACATTTAAAATATGCTCATTTAGCAATTTTGAAATATATAGTTCATTATTATTTATTATAGTCACCACTCTATGTAATAAGTCACTAACACTTATTTTTTGTAATGGAGCTTTGTACCCTTTGATCAACATCTCACCTTTTCCCATTCACTTTACTCTCCTACTCTCTCATAACCACCATTCTATTCCCTACTTTTTGAGTTTGACTTTTTTGGATTCCACATAAAAATGAGATTATGTGGTCTTTCTGTGCCTGGTTTATTTTACTTGGCACAATATCCTCTTGGTTCTTCTGTGTTGTTGCAAATGACAGAATTTCTTTCTTATTGCCATTTTATATAATATTTTAAAATATGCCTTATCTTCCCTCTTGACTGGAGGGTTGGGGATATCTTCTGCAATGCCTACTGTAGTTTGTACATTGGGAATTTGTTGAATATTGGCACAGTGTGACATATTATCTGAGGCACTTTGCATAAGTAATTGTATTGATTCTTAGAAAATTTATAAGGTGTATGTAATTTTACTCCCACTTATCTCATAAGGAAACTCAAGGTCAGAGAGGTTAAGTGATTTGCCCAAGGTTATACATTTCATTAATGGTTAAACTAGATTTGAACTCAGATCTATCTGACTTTAAAGCCGACAGTCTTTTAGCAGACTTTACTGCTTCTCAGAAACTAGGGCCTTACCCACTGTAGATCCTTGGTTGTTTTGTTTTTGGTACTGAATTGGTGACACATTTTTATGACCCTTTTATCTTGTTTTTTAAATAATTGACTGCATATTTCTGAGTCTCTTATTGACATTTATAAAACACAGTTCCCTTTAGATTACTGTTGTCTCTTTGGGATCCTATACATCTTGTAGGTTGTTGTTCCCTGCAGGCATGAACCCAAAGAAAAGAATGCATTTCATACCCAGTTTTCTGTAATCTTAAAAATGATTTGATCACTTGGCCATAGACTAAAGATAATCCATCATGCAATTAGTATTTTTGGTGTAAAAAGTAACTTTCTCCTTTTTTCTCCTCCTTTAATTCTAGGCGTAGTACAAGAAGAGTTCGAGAATTGTGGTGGCAGGGATTGCCCCCTAGTGTCCGTGGGAAAGTTTGGAGTCTAGCTGTAGGAAATGAACTAAATATCACTCCTGGTTTGTATTCTATGTTCAGTTACTCCCACATTTACAAATAGCCATCTACAGAGTTACATAGCAGATTAGTAGAGTGACCATTAAAATAAATGTCCATTACCATATAGAATGTCATTTTAAGAACATGCTTCATCTCCCCAAAGCCTGTTATTTAATAAGTTATTATATTATGTAAATAAGATTTATGGTTTTTCCTTTAGTTTACAACTACCAATAATCTTCTTGGCATTCTCAGCATTCAAATATCAGAAACCTGGGATTCTACATGGTAGTGGATGAATAAGTATATATAAGAAAAAGGAAAATAGTTTTAATTATGAAAAGGCTCCACTTTTACACAAAAAAAAAACCCAGATAAATACTGGAGGAATGCCAAAAGTTTAGTTTCCTCTCTCTTTACCTAAACAAGTCATTTTGAATTTTTTTTTTATTTAAAAAATTTTAGGCTGGGCCCAGGCTTATGCCTGTAATCCCAGCACTTTGGGAGGCCAAGGCAGATGGATCACCTGAGGTCAAGAGTTCAAGACCAGCCTGACCAATGTGACAAAACCCCATCTCTACTAAAAATGCAAAAATTAGCTGGGTATGGTGACACGGGCCTGTAATCCCAGCTATGGAGGCTGAGGTGGAAGAATCACTTGAACCCAGGTGGAGGCTGCAGTGAGCCAAGATTGCACTGGTGTGCTCCAGCCTGAGCAAAAGAATGAGACTCTGTCTCTAAATAATAAATAAATAATGTTAAAGTTTATTAGCAGCATAAAGAAAAAAACTTTAAAATCCAAAGACCAGAAAAAGAAGTAAGAAGATTTTCAAAAGAGTTGTATTATTTTCTTAAGTTTCTTAAACTTTGGTGAATAGGAGCAAAATGTCCAGTAGTTTGGTTTTTGTTTTTTTTTTTTTAATGGAGTCTTGCTCGGTCACTCAGGCTGGAGTTCAGTGGCACAATCTTGGCTCGCCACAACCTCTGCCTCCCGGATTCAACCGATTCTCCTTCCTCAGCATCCTGAGTCGCTGGGACTACAGGCATGCACCACCACGCCTGTCTAATTTTTTGCATTTTTAGTAGAGATAGGGTTTTGCCATGCTGGCCAGGCTGGTCTCAAATTCCTGGTCTCAAATGATCTGCTCGCCTTGGCCTTCCAGAGTGCTGGGATTACAGGCATGGGCCACTGTGCCCAGCCTGTAGTTTTGATGAATTTTTAAAAAATTAAGCTGGATATGGTGGCTCATGCCCATAGTCCCAGCTACTCAGGAGGATTAGATAGGAGGATTGCTTGATCCCAGGAGTAAGGTTACAGTGAGCTATGATTGTGCCACTGCACTCCAACCTGAGCTACAGAGCATGACTCTTTCTCTAAATAAATTAATAATTTGGCCATGCGTAGTGGTTCACGCCTGTAATCCCAGCACTTTGGGAGGCCCAGATGGGTGGATCACCTGAGGTCAGGAGTTTGAGACCAGCCTGACCAACATGGAGAAAACCCGTCTCTACTAAAAATACAAAAATTAGCTAGGCATGGTGGTGTGAACCTGTAATCCCAGTTACTCAGGAGGCTGAGGCAGGAAAATTGCTTGAACTCAGAAGGCAGAGGTTGCAGTGAGTTGAGATTGCTTCATTGCACTCCAGCCTGGGCAACAGAGTGAGACTCTGTCTCAGAAAAAAAAAAAGGCCGGGCCCAGTGGCTCACGCCTATAATCCCAGCACTTTGGGAGGCCGAGGCGGGTGGATCACGAGTTCAAGAGATAGAGACCATCCTGGTCAACATGGTGAAACCCCGTGTCTACTAAAAATACAAAAATTAGCTGGGCATGGTGGCACGCGCCTGTAGTCCCAGCTACTTGGGAGGCTGAGGCAGGAGAATTGCTTGAACCCAGGAGGTGGAGGTTGCAGTAAGCCGAGATTGCGCCATTGCACTCCAGCCTCGGTAACAAGAGCGAAATTCCATCTCAAAAAAAAAGACTTAAGGACTTTAGTATAATACTAAAAATAATATATTATCACTGTTACTTCTAAAATTTTTCTTTTTATACTTATTGAAAAAATTAAAGCAATAAGGAAGCACAAGTGTCTGCTCTTCCACCTGAACTGCTATTCTTGATTCTACTGTAAACACTGTTAGCAATTTGGTGTATATTCTTTCTGGTCTTTTTTCTGTGTACATAAAGTGTGCATCTACATATGATCAATTTTAAAGCTTTTCTTTTTCTTTAATTTTTTTCTCCCACAACTTATGCCATAAGGTAATTCTGTGGCTTCTATAATCCATTTGAACATCTTCCATGTTAGTATATACAAGTCTGCCTCATATGTACTATAGCTACATTGTATTCCACAGTTGGCTATACTATAATTTATTTAACCATTTTCCTTGTGATAGCCAAATCAAAGACATATATTTTTTCCTGCCATTCTATAAAAAACACATATATGTTAACATCCAAGTGCCGTTTTCATCTCTCAAAAGAAATTAAAATGAATGAGAATTACCCATATGGAGATAAAACTGAAAATCATTCAGAAATATTTATGGTCTCAAAAAAATAATCTTGGACTATTTATTCCAGTTCTAAGAATTTAAGGAAATAATCATGATTAGATGCAAAAGCTTTTCTACAAAAATGTTCATTACAGCAATCAGCATTTATGTAATTGGACAGAATTATAAGTTATAAAAATCTAAATGTTTATCCTTTGTCTGAAAAGCGATGCCAACTTTGGATATTTTGATTCTGTATGATTTTAAAATTTGATTTTCACAAGTCTTCTGTAATAAACATGTTATTTATTTATTTTTATTTATTTATTTTGAGATGGAGTCTTGCTCTGTCACTGAGGCTGGAGTACAGTGGCACTCTCTCCACTCACTGCAACCCCGCCTCCCAGATTCAAACAGTTCTCCCTGCCTCAGCCTCCCAAGAAGCTGAGATTACAGGCACCTGCCACCACACCCAGATAATTTTTGTATTTTTAGTAGAGACAGGGTTTTGCCATGCTGGCCAGGCTGGTCTCCAACTCTTGACCTCAGGTGATCTGCTCACCTTGGCCTCCCAAAGTGTTGAGATTACAGGTGTGAGCCACCGTGCCCAGCCAACCTGTTATTTTAAAAGAATTTAAAAACTTTCAGAATATAATTTAAAGGAAGAATTAAGTTTTTATTTAACTTAGAAAAAGTTAGATTTTGTAAGACTTAACTGTTCTCTCCAAATACAAAGGTTACTTTTGCTTTCTGAATTTGGAACAGATTAAATGTTTTAAAATTATAGTTAGAACGTTCAGTTAGATTTTCTAAATCCATAATATTAAGAACTTTTGAATATATTGTAACTGTTTAAAGTCTTAAGAATCAATTTTGCAAACAGATAATGAGGTATTGATGATTATGTGAAGTCTTGTTTGCAATTTTTATTGGTAACTTTGGCTTTAGAATCTGAATTATCTTGATAACTTAGACATTAAAACATTGGTTAAATTGGTGTTAATGTTTTGTGATACTTTAATCAAATGGTTCTTTTTTAGCTTGAAATTTATAGTTTTGTAACAACTGAGTCATGTATTTTCAACGTAATTTTAGATTTTCTTCTCTAAACATTTGTATATTCAGGAATGGAATGTGTGTTTATTCTTTTCTTTTTCATTAGTGTGGAAAAGATGGTAAATTTTGATTGAAGTAAATCTATTTTTGTTAATCTTGTTTACTCTTGAATGGCTCTAGTAATTTATTTGTTTTAGTCATAAAAATTTATAATCACTAAAGAATAACAGCTAAGAGTTATTCTCTAGTGTCAGTCAAATATGGTTCAAATCTTGGTTCCACCATATATATTGGGTTTGTGACCTTGGGCATATTACTTAACATCTAGAAGTCTTAGTTTTCTTCATCTGTAAAATAGAGGTAAGGATGTGAAAGGATTGTTCTAACAGTTATTTGTGGTGATATAAAATGATAGTGAAAGTGAATTTTGCTGAGATTATGTATAATATCATAATTGTCACAAAATCAGAAAGCAAAATATACACTGAAATCAAAGTATTCTCTGTTCAAGTCTGAAGTGCTATCTTTAAGCCTGCTTCAAACTCTCTCTTGGCAGATTCAAAACAAAGTAAGTGTGACATGAGGACCCAAGCATCAAATTGAACTGAGATGCAGGTCTTCTTAAGCACTGTAAATCTTACTGGAAAGATGTCCTTTGATGTTTTGAAATGTATTACCACATTTTTATTATTGGATCAATTTTATGACTTCTAAAATGGATGGGTTTTTCTGGTGACCCTTTTTTTTAGACAGCTTTAAAATTTGGGTAGAATAATTAAGCTGACTGTCTTAGAACCAGTTTGAAATTTTTTTAAAAACTTACAATTTTATACCTAATAACCCCCAAATAAATTTATATATAAATTTTAATGTAATATTCATCTCTTCTACCAAATCATTGATGGAGCCAGGCATAAATAATAGGAATTTTGCCTATTATTGTGGCTCACTCCTGTAATTCTAGCACTTTGGGAGGCCAACGTGGGTGGATCACATAAGGCCAAGAGTTCAAGACCAGCCTGCCCAACATGGCGAAACCCTTACTCTACTGAAAATACAAAAGATTAGCTAGGCATGGTGGCACATTTGGGTAATCCCAGCTACTCAGGGGGCTGAGACATGAGAATTGCTTGAACCAGGGAGAGGGTGTTGCAGTAAGCTGAGGTCACACCACTGCACTCCGGCCTGGGCAACAGAGCGAGACCCTGTCTCAAAAAAAGAAATAATAATAACAGGAATTTTAAGTTTCTTTCTTTCTTTTTTTTTTTTTTTTAATTTCTTCTTTCCAAACCATTAGTAGTAATGAAAAGTAAATAGAAAAGGAGAAGAGATTAGAATAGTAAGAGTCTGTTTGAAATATATCTAGTCAGGTATTTGATAATGATATGCTTCTTGGCAATATAAGAATACTTGTTATGGTATAGTCATTACTTTGGAAAAATATGGAGTTGGTTGTTTAAAAGAAGCAAAAGCAGGCGAAAGCAGATCTATATCTACTAATGTGGAACAACCTCTAATATAACAAAGTAAGATACAGATCAGTGCATGAAATATGTTGCCACTTTATTTTTTTAAAAGGATTATATGTGTGTGTGTGTGTGTGTGTGTGTGTGTGTGTGTATACTTGTGCATGCATATTTTCATTCTTGGAAGAATTAGTGAGAGCTCTGATAACCACACTTGGATCCAAGGAAAGGAAATTTACTTTTCTCTATATACTATTTTGTACTTTTGAAAATTTTTAAAAACCATGTATTACCTTTAAAGATGAATAAAACCTCAGAAAGAATTAATTGAAGCAGAAAAGTTACTTTGGACAATATATCAACTTTGGTGTTTGGGCAAGACATATTTTTTTTCTGTTAAGTCCCTCAAATGTCCTGTTTTTATGTAGTTTCAAATATCAGCAATGGTTAGTTACAAAATAAAAGACAAATAAAATTTGGGAACTGAGAAAACTTTTTAAATCTTTCCTGTTCTTAAGTTTTAAGTTCTTAAGTTTCCTGCATATGGAAGTACAGTGACTGACTGGACACTTAAATTAAAAAGATAGGGGTAGAGATTTTTGTATTTAGACCCTTAGACCAAGCCTGTGTGAAATATAAGTAGCTTTAAATAGCAATATCATAATGGAGAAACCAGTTTCAGGAACAATAGAAAGCAAGATCTAGCATCTGTTTTAAGTGCTATAAGGTGCCAAGAGCTTTGCATATATTATTTTGTTTAATCATCAGTAGACCTATGAGTAGGTGTTGCTTTTCTCTGATGTACAGATGAAGAAAGCTGAGTTCCAGGGTAGCTAAGCAACTTTCTTGAAGTCCCTCAGTTAGTAAATGACAGAGCTAGAATTTGAATCTAGGTCTGACTGACTCCAAAAATTATGTTTTTTCTGCTGTTCTGCAATGATACTTCTTAGCAGAAGCATCTCTTTCTGCCTCATATGTACATTATATATTGTAACTACTTGGATGATTGTTTTGCAGTAATTTTATTTGCTTTCTTTTTGGGTATATAATGAATAGTTTGGGTAGAATCAAGTACTTAGATTTGCCACTTTTTTGATGCTTGCTACATCAGGGAGACCTGACCTGTAGTAGGTAAAGAATAACAAATTAAAATTTGCAAATATATTTCTTTCCTATTTGTTCTTTCCCCCCCCCAGAACTTTATGAAATCTTCCTCTCAAGAGCAAAAGAACGGTGGAAAAGTTTCAGTGAAACAAGTTCAGAGAATGATACAGAAGGTGTGATTTTCTTTAAAATAAGAATTTCAGGATGAAAATTCAGCTACTGAGCATGATTTTGTACCATGTATCAGAAACTGTAGTAATTGCTTTACATATATCATCTTATTTAATCTTAATAACCCTTTCAGTAAACAAGGCTAGAGAAAATAGTTGATTTACAGAAGAGTTCATGTAAGTATCATCCTAAGACCTCTCAGCTATGTCAGCTATTTGTGGAGAACTAAAAGTACGTAAAAGGTGAAGAAGGTTTATATTGGCAGACAGGAGCTATTTCATTATTCTTTGAAAACTCATTTTTTTTGAAGCATTGAAGTTATAAGAATTAAAATTATTAGTATTCACTTCTGAAATATTTTTTCAAGAATAAATGGTATGGCTGGCTGCGGTGGCTCACACCTATAATTCCAGCACTTTGGGAGAGCAAGGTGGGTGGATCACCTGAGGTTAGGAGTTCAAAACCACCCTGGCCAATATAGCAAAATCCCGTCTCTACTGAAAAAACAAAAATTAGCTGGGTATGGTGGCAGGTGCCTGTAATCCCAGCTACTCAGGAGGCTGAAGCAGGAGAATCGCTTGAACTTGGGAGGTGGAGGTTGCAGTGAGCTTAGATCACACCATTGCACTCCAGCCTGGATGACAGACTTCATCTCCCAAAAAAATAAATAAATAAATGGTGAAAGTTGCACTTCAGTAGAAATTAATTGAATGTAATGAAGAGTTCCAGTCAGAAGCAGTGTTCTACATAAATTACTATTTTCTTATTTTCTGGATATTTATAATTTGCATGTGTCATTTAACTTTTTGGTCACTGTCTTTTTAAATATTACTTCTGCCTTATTTTGCTTGTTTTCCTTCTGGACTCCAATTACATGTATGGTAGACCATTTAACACTGTTTCATAAGCCTCTTACTTTTTTTTTTTTTTTTTTTGGTGGAGAGTAGGTATGATTTTATATAATTGAAAAAATGTTTATTATGTAGGGATGGGGTCTATGTTTCACACGCTGGTCTCAAATTCCTGGCCTCGAGCAATCCTCTTGCCTTGGCCTTCCAAAGTGCTGGAATTACAGATGTGAACCATTGTGCCTGGCCAACTATTTCTCTCTCTCTCTCTCTCTCTCTCTGCTTCAGTTTCATTGATTTTTATTGATCCATAATCAAATTCACCAATCTTTTCTTCTGCGTTGTCTAGTCTACTATTAAATCTATATCAGTGTAACGGGCTTTTAATTTCAGATATGCTTTGTGACTGTAGAATGTTCACTTGGTTCCTTTTCTTTTGAGATGGAATCTTGCTCTGTTGCCCAGGCTGGAGTACAATGGCACGATCTCAGCTCACTGCAACCTCTGCCTCCTGGGTTCAAGTGATTCTCCTGCCTCAGCCTCCTGAGTAGCTGGGATTATAGGCGCGTGCCACCACACCCACTAATTTTTGTATTTTTAGTAGAGACAGGGTTTCACCATGTTAGCCAGGCTGATCTTGAACTCCTGACCTCATGATCTGCCCGTCTTGGCCTCCCACAGTGCTGGGATTACAGGCCTGAGCCACCATGCCCACCCCACTTGATTCTTTTTATGCATTCTATTTCTCTGTTGAAATTCTTCATCTTCCATCCCATGTTCTTTCCCCCATCTTTTCTTCTATTTTCTTTTTAAATTTTATTATTGTTTTTTGTTCTCTAGCTCATATCAGCCAGATATTTTAACATATTTATAACAGAAAGTGTTGTTGTCTGTTAATTCTAATACTGCATCATCTGCAGGTCTGCCTCTATTGGTTGTGTTTCCCCCTTTTGTCCCCTTTAAAGTGGTTATATGTCACGTTTTCTGCTTCTTTGTATGTCTAAAATGTTTAAATTGTATGCCAGACATTGTATATAAATAGAATGTAGAAACCAAAGCTGAGGTTTCCCCTGCAGAGGAAGCATGCTCTTTCCTGTTAGGCAGTTTGATTAGGGGATTATCACCTGAATTAACAATTAATTGGTCTAGGTTGGGGTAGGGTTGCAACTTTATATAGATGTAGTTTATCTTGAGTTTCAAATTTCTTGATGGGAAAAAGTGTCCTAGTTTGATTACAGGTATCTCCCTCCAATGATATGCTCTCCCAAGACCTTGTGACTTTGGGTGATTTTATTCTGCATTTGTAGCCTGGCCTTCTACATTCAGAAAAGTCCCATAGGGAAAACCAGATAAACATTAAGGGCTCTTCCAGATTCCTGCCTGTCACATCAGTTTTATTAGGCCACATGAAGCTCTTCTGCTTCCTCTTCCTCCAATAAGAGTGACTTTGTCTATGGAAGCTCAATCCTAAGTCCATACCCAGACCTAGCAGATATTCCTACAAAGAAAAATGGCCGCTGTTGTCTACTCACCAAGGAAAGACTCTTACTTTTCTGGAATTTAAGTCCTGTTGATCTCTCTGTATCTATAGCTCTCTGATGATTTTTTAAATGTGATATTTGTAATTTTTTTCCCTAGTTGTTACCATGGAAATGATTGTTTGCCCCTATCTTTTGTAAAAACTGGAATTAGAGGCTGGGTGAGGTGGCTCACGCCTGTAATCCAAGCACTTTGGAGGCCAAGGTGGGCGGATCACCTGAGGTCGGGAGTTCAAGACCAGCCTGACCAACATGGTGAAACCCCATCTTTATTAAAAAAAAAAAAACCAAAAACTGGAATTAGATATCCTTTACCATATAACTTTCTGATAAATGTATAGATATCTTCTTTGTACAAGAGACTAACAAGTTCTAACAAAAGCTGTATGACATTTCTTGTAATTTCTTGATTATTCAGCTTTTAACTTTAATTAAATAACACATATGCTGTGTGATCATTCTGTATTTATAAAATTGAACTTGTTATAGCCAAGTGATCATTTAAATTGTATCTGCTTGGTAAATGCAGGTGTGTCTGTTGCTGATCGAGAGGCCAGTCTGGAATTAATTAAGTTGGACATATCCCGTACATTTCCATCTCTCTACATCTTTCAGAAGGTAAGGGTTTCTAACTAGCTTATAATTACTAAAAACAAAAAGCTATCAATATCCAAGGGAACAGATTCTTTAAATGAATAGTTATTACTTTTTTTTTTTTTTTTTTTTTGAGACAGAGTCTTGCTCTGTTGCCCAGCCTGTAGTGCAGTGGCACGATCTCAGCTCATGGCATCCTTTGCCACCCAGGGTCAAACGATTCTCCTGCCTCAGCCTCCTGAGCAGCTAGGACTGCAGGCGTGAGTCACCACACCCGGCTAATTATTTTGTATTTTAGTAGAGACGGGGTTTCACCATGTTGGCCAGGATGGTCTCAATCTCCTGACCTCGTGATTCGCCTGCCTTGGCCTCCCAAAGTGCTGGTGCAGGCATGAGCCACTGCGCCCGGCCTCACTATTACTTTTAAAAAGGCAAAACTATAGAAATTGGGGACCGTATATAGAAAGTCTAAAACTAGTTATAAAATTATGAAGGAATTTCTATTATTTTATTCCACTGACTGAAATACATTGTAGTTGGCATAGAATTTAATACATTTAATATAGTAGGTACTTGATGAATTTTATTACACTGAATTTATTTTACTTTTTACTTTGTAAGATGTATGAATTCTTAATGTTTTGGCCCAGTAAATTGTTAAAGTATAAAGAACTTTATCACAAAACTTAAATTTTTCAGAATTATCATTGAAATAGGAAGAAATGGTTTTCTTTGTACATAGGCTATTATGAAGTTGCTAATACCTCATGAAAAGAGAAATGACTACATTATATATACTTTATCTTTGACTCAAGTCTTTATTTTTATTTATTTATTTTTAAATTTGAGATCAGGTTTTGCTGTGTTGCCCAGGCTGTACTCGAACTCCTAGGCTCAAGCAATCCTCCTGTATCAGCCTCCTGAATAGATGGGATTATGGGATTACAGGCATGTGCCACCACACCCAGCTGATTCAAGTCTTTATACATGGAATTCTTCTATCTTTAGATTGATAAAAATAAAATAAGTAAAAATTTTACCCTTAAGATTAAAATTATAAACACAGTTTAGTGTAGCTTTATGTTTTTTTTCCTGCGGATACTGTATTATATAAAATGAAACAGCCTGGCCGGGCATGGTGGCTTATGCCTGCAATCCCAGCACTTTGGGAGGCTGAGGCAGGTGGATCACGAGGTCAGGAGCTTGAGACCAGCCTGGCCAAGACGGTGAAACCCTGTCTCTACTAAAAATACAAAAATTAGCTGGACGCAGTGGCACATGCCTGTAATCCCAGCTACTTGGGAGGCTAAGGCAGGAGAATCGCTTGAACCTGGGGGACAGACATTGCAGTGAGCTGAGATCACACCACTGCACTCCAGCCTGGGTGACAGAGTAAGACTCTGTTTCAATACATAAATAAAAATAAAATAAAATGAAAGAGTCTGTATTCATCATAGTCTTATTATACCAAATCTAGAAGACTTTAAAACAGTTTGCAAATTATGTAGCTTGGATCCATCAAGTAAGTTTATTTGGCTTTTCTTTGCTATTCAGTATTAAATATTTCTTTTTCTTTTTTTTTTTTTTTTGAGAGATTCTTTCTCACTCTGTTGCCCAGGCTGGAGTGCAGTGGCAGAATCCTGGCTCACTGCAACCACCACCTCCTGAGTTCAAGTGATTCTTGTGCCTCAGTCACCTGAGTTGCTGGGATTACAGGCGTGTGCCACTATGCCCAGCTAATTTTTGTATTTATAGTAGAGATGGGGTTTCACCATGTTAGCCAAGCTGGTCTTAAACTCCTGGCCTCAAGTGATTCACCCATCTCGACCTCCCAAAGTTCTGGGATTACAGTCATGAGCCACTGCACTCATCCACAGTATTAAATGTTTTTTTTTTTTTTTTTTTTTTTTTTTTTTGAGACGGAGTTTCACTCATGTTACCCAGGCTGGAGTGCAATGGCGCGATCTCAGCTCACCGCAACCTCCACCTCCTGGGTTCAGGCAATTCTCCTGCCTCAGCCTCCTGAGTAGCTGGGATTACAGGCACGCACCACCATGCCCAGCTCATTTTTTGTATTTTTAGTAGAGACGGGGTTTCACCGTGTTGACCAGGATGGTCTCGATCTCTTGACCTCGTGATCCACCCGCCTTGGCCTCCCAAAGTGCTGGGATTACAGGCTTGAGCCACCGCGCCCGGCCTAAATGTTTCTTAATAATAATTTGGAAAATGTCTTGGCAGAGTACATTTATAATATTTTTTATCATTTAGGATATGCTACAATTTATTAACTAACACATTATATGAAAATTAACTTAGAGACAATTATTTGTATAGTTTTAAATTTCACTTTTCTCTCCTAAGGGTGGCCCATATCATGATGTCTTACATAGTATTTTAGGGGCATATACATGCTACAGACCTGATGTTGGTTATGTAAGTATTTGTTTCAACCTGTTTTTTGAATATAAGCATTTTATCTACACTCTTATCAAAATATACTATGTTGTATTAGCTCCCAAATGTCTGTATCTCTATGTCTGCTTTACTTGGGCTTATCAATTTACCCAGTGAAGAATTTTTCCATCTCTTGCCAGGAGCTCATATGTACTTGAGGCTGCCAGCTTTCTGGGGGAGCTGCCGGAGATTGCACCCTGCAATTTATAAACTTATTTCATGCCCTGATGTCAGTGTGGTGCCTTATCCAAACCTCTTCCTAACCCTCTTTTCCTGACTGTGCCTCTAGAGAATAAACCTCCTATGTTCTACCAGGTTAAGGAAGAATAGGCATCTGTCCCTAAAGGATAGGGGAGGGGATTTGTTCCTTATATACTCAATTTCATAGATAACTGACAACTTCAGCTTCTGAGCTTTCAGAGTTCCTGATTATTGGCTTCCTCCTTAATAGATATTTTAGTTTTAACCTTCTATACTTATTTAATTTACAACTTCTAAAATGCTACTAACTTATCTACTATTTATATAACTATTCATTCATGTAGTCCTCATGGGTTAATACTTATTTTTCTGTACTGTATTATCAGTTAGATTTTGCAAGGAAACAAAGAAAGATGTGATGTTCAATTGCCATTTTTAACTAGAAGTTATAGAACTTTCATCTTCTCACCTTTGCCTTAAAATATAATTTTAGACCTCTCTATAGGGTGGCTGTCTGGTACAAGTTACTTTGTTCTGTTGCATGTTCATTTCTATGTTTGTTTACTCAACAAATATTTACTGTGTGCTTATGATTATATGTCAGGCATTGTTCTAGGCACTTGAGATACCTCAATGAACAAAATGATTTCTCCCTTTACAGTTTAGAAGAAAGAAACAGACAATAAACAACAAATGAATAGGTAAATCATGTTATATTAAAAGATATGTGCTGGCCAGGCGCAGTGGCTCACGCCTGTAATCTCAGCACTTTGGGAGGCTGAGACGGGTGGATCACGAGGTCAGGAGATCGAGACCATCCTGGCTAACACAGTGAAACCCTGTCTCTACTAAAAAAACAAAAAAAAATTAGCCGGGTGTGGTGGCACGCACCTGTAGTCCCAGCTACTCAGGAGGCTAAGGCAGGAAAATCGCTTGAACCCGGGAGGCGGAAGTTGTGGTGAGCTGAGATCAAGCCACTGCACTCCAGCCTGGGCAACAGAGCCAGACTCTGTCTCAAAAAAAAAAAAAAAGGATGAGTGCTGTGGAAAAGTATGGGATGATACAGGGGGAAAATGCCAGGTTTGAGGAGGGGCAGGTTGTAGTATTTGAAAAGATTGTCATATAGTCCTTAAGGAGAAAGCTAGATTTGAGCAGTCTTTAAATTCTGCTACTCAGGTATTCTGTGAATGAATTATAACACCTTGTATCCCCTTCACATGTTTAAGTTGAATTTGACAAATTTTCATCATAAGTTTACTTGTAAATAATTTTTTAGCATTGCTTAAATGTTGATATCTTATAGTTCTTTAAAAACGTCTCTAGGCTGGGCATGTTGGCTCACACCTGTAATCTCAGCATTTTGGGAGGTTGAGGCAGGAGGATCACTTGAGCCCAGAACTTCTAGGGTGCAGTGAGGTAGGATTGGGCCACTGCATTCCAGCCTGCTCAACACAGCAAGACCCCGTCTCAAAAAAAACAAAGCAAAAGTCTGTAGTGGAATTTAAATACTGTAATGAATTTACATATATCATAGTCCATTTAAAGAAAAATATATTGGCCGAGCGCAGTGACTCACGCCTATAAATCCCAGCACTTTGGGAAGCCAATGTGGGTGGATCATGAGGTCAAGAGATCGAAACCATCCTGGCCAACATGGTCTACTAAAAATACGAAAACTAGCTGAGCCTGGTGGCACACACCTGTAGTCCCAGCTACTGCTGTAGTCAGGCTGGGACTACAGGCATGCACCACCTAGCACTTTGGGAGGCCGAGGCAGGCGGATAACTTGAGGCCAGGAGTTCGAGACCAGCCTGGCCAACATGCGAAATCCTGTCTCTACTAAAAATATAAAAATTAGCTGGGCATGAAGGTGTGTGCCTGTAATCCTAGCTTCTCTGGAGGCTCAGACATGAGAATTGCTTGAACCTGGGAGGCAGAGGTTGCAGTGAGCTGAGATCATGCCACTGCACTCCAGCCTGAGTGAGACTTTGTCTCAAAACAAACAAACAAACTCACTCACTCCTCACTGAAAGGCACTTGTTTAACCTGGTATACTAAGGAAAAATGGGGGAAATTAAAATACTGTTATTACATTTATGATAATGATTTTTTTAGAATATGTTTTAAACTTTTTTTTTTTTTACTCTGACTGTAGACGTATTGGGTCATTGTATATTTGCTGCTGAAATGAACTCTATTAGTTCATTGAATTTATATAAAATGACCATCATATAACTGGTAGTATCAAGGCTCACTGACAAACCAGTCAGTCAAATCACACTTACTTCATAAGTTGAAAATAGTATAGACTATCCCTGGTCGTCTCGTGGTTAAGATTCGGCAAAAAAAAAAAAAAAAAGAAAAAGAAAAAGAAAAAACATAGTATAGACTATATTGGAATACCTATTTCATGTCATGATTTGACAAAATAGGTTTTTAACTATGTTAATGAATAACGTATGCTGAATTAAAATGTAGTTTTAATTCCTTCTATTTACTTTGCTACCATTCTATTATTGATGGCTAATATTTTGCCCCTTGTATTCATTCAGCAAATATCATGGTACTAAGAATATAACTATGAACAAACAAACATGGTGTGGTCTCTGTACTAGCTTCCTATGAATACTGTAACAAATTACCACGAAATTAGTGGCTTTAAACAACACTAATTAGGCCAGGTGCAGTGGCTCATGCCTGTAATCTCAGCACTTTGGGAGGCTGAGGTGGGAAGATTACTTGAGGTCAGGAGACCAGCCTGGGCAACATAGGAAGACTCTGTCTCTACAGAAATAATTTAAACACACACAACAACACAAAGTTACTGTTTGACAGTTCTGGAGGTCAGAAGTCTGAAATAGACTTCACTGGGTTTAAGTCAAAATATTGGCAGGGTTGTGCTTCTTCTGGAAGCTCTAGGGGAAAATCCATATCCTTGCTTTTTCTACCTTCTAGAGGCTGCCTACATTCCTAGGCCTATAGCTCCATCTTCAAAGCCAGCAGTATATCATCTTCAAATCTCTCTCTGACTAACCTGCCTTCTTTTTTCACTTATGAGGAACCTTAATGATGATTACATCGGACTCACCCAGGTAATTCAGGATAAGCACCCCATCTCAAGATCCTTGACTTAATTACATCTGCAAAGTCCCTTTTGTCATGTACAGCAACATTTTCACAACTTCTGGTAATAAATAATGATTTGGACATCTTTGGAGGGCAATTATCATGACTAATGCAGTCTCTGTCTTCATGGAACTTCAGTTCTAGAAAATCAAATAGACAATTATTGTAGAATCAGCAAAAAGCACTCAGAAGAAGACAGAAAAATAAGATGTAAACAAAGAAATAATTGGATTGCAGAAGCTAAGGGAATGCTTTTAAGAGAGATAGTGCCCACTGGGTTTTACAATCAGTATCGTTGGTCATGCTGGCAAGAGAAATCTCAAAATAGTATAGTAATGGAGTGGGAATATATACTGAAGTGTGCTAAAGAGTGAAAAGGGAGCTGAGAAAGCAGAGATAGTGATTGTAGGCATTCCTTTCAAAACACTTGGCTGGGAACAAGAGACAGTTATTACTGCAGTTATTCTTAGTGGTCTCACTGTGTTAAGTCTGTTTTACAAATCTCTTCCAGAAGTAAGTGTTTGATAACTTTTTTTTTTGAGATGGAGTCTCGCTCCGTTTCCCAGGCCGGAGTGCAGTGGCAAAATCTTGGCTCACTGCAACCTCCACCTCCCAGGTTCTTGCAATTCTCCTGCCTCAGCTTCCCAAGTAGCTGGGACTACAGGCACACGCCACCACACCCAGCTAATTTTTTGTATTTTAGTAGAGACGGGGTTTCACCGTGTTGCCCAGGCTGGTCTGAAACTCCTGAGCTCAGGCAATCCACCCACCTCTGCCTCCAAAGTGCTGGGATTACAGGCGTGAGCCACTGCGCCCGGCCCCAACTTTTTTTTTTTTTTTTTTTAATTAAAGAAATGTATGGGCTGGGCGGGCATGGTAGTACATACCCATAGTCTTAACTACTCCGGAGGCTGAGGCTGGAGGATAGCTTGAACCGGGAGGCAAAGGATGCAATGAGATGATACCATGTCACTGCATTGAAGCCTAGGCAGCTAAGTTAAGACCCTGCTTCAAAAAAAAAAAAAAAAAAAAAAAAGAAGTATAGGATAGCTGCCAATGACTCGCAAGCAAACATCTGTACAGCTTAGCCTTTTACTCAAAGTCTTTCACAATATAAATACATCCTACCTTTTCTAAATGACTTTCCTTATCCAACTGAGCTGATCCTATTGTTCCCATTTTTGTGTCTTGGCTCATGCATCTTTTCCATTTTAGGTTTTCTCCTATTTCTGTCTCTTGCTTTTCCAGGACTCCAGGCTCATTATCTCAACCCTACAACATCTCCTTTCTTGGTATTCAGCAGTGCTTTTCATACATCTCTTTTATTCTTGGTTCTTCATTTTTTACTCAGATAGATGTGTTATAACAATGAAAATAATCACCTGATATTTATTAAATTTTGTGATTCTGTACTCTATTTTGAAATAATTCAGATTTAGGGGAAATGAAAACTAGGTAACACACTGAGATAGCCTTTTGTAGCAGTAAAGGCTGATACTTTTTTCTTTTTTTCAAAAATTCTCCCTAATTTTTAAAACCACACCATGTGAACAAGAAATTAGAGAGATAAAACTAGGGAGATTTCATAATTATTAGGGGTTCTCTGTATTTACCTTTGCTGGGAAGGAAAAAAGAAATCTTGGTTAATTCTACTTTGAAATGTCACTTTGTAATTTTTCAGGAGTACAATAAAATAAACTGTATAGCTTTATTATTGTAAGTCAATTTTAACTAATTTCTTCTTTCTTTGAAGGTCCAAGGGATGTCCTTCATTGCAGCAGTACTCATTCTCAATTTGGAAGAGGCAGATGCCTTTATTGCATTTGCAAATCTCCTGAATAAGCCATGCCAGTTGGCCTTCTTTCGTGTGGATCACAGCATGGTATGAATAGATCGTGTTTTCCTTTGTTTCTGTAGTTTGAATACCCTCTTAGAATGAAAAACAATAATTAAAAGACCAAGATAATCTGATCTAATATAAACTTACCATATTATAGTTTATGAATGAATGCTTGCTGAGAAGACCCAGAAAGAGATGAGATTCTTAATGAGCAAGATTTCCTGTTAATGTTTAAGCATTTAATTTCTCTATTTCTAGACTATATACTTTCATAATTTTATTGATTTTTTAATCTTTAGATGTTGAAATATTTTGCTACATTTGAAGTATTCTTTGAAGAAAATCTCTCCAAATTATTTCTTCACTTCAAATCTTACAGTCTTACACCAGATATATACTTGATAGACTGGTAAGTCATAGCATACATACATAACATATGATAATGAAAAGGAAAAAAAGTATAACTTTTTGTGTGTTTTAGGAACTAGAGTAAATCTCATGTGTAGGATTTTACATATAAAGGGCCTTCTTTTACAAATTGAGAAACTTTCAAATTTTTGTGGGGACTCCTTTGATTAAGAGCAAGGACTCGGCTGGGCCCGGTGGTTCACACCTATAAGTCCAGCACTTTGAGAGGCCAAGGTGGACAGATCACCTGACATCAGGAGTTCAAGACCAGCCTGGCCAACATGGTGAAACCCTGTCTCTATTAAATATACAAAAACTTAGCTGGATATAGCGCCGCTGGTCTGAGGCAGGAGAATTGCTTGAACCTGAGAGGCAGAGTTTGCAACCAACCAAGATCACGCCACTGCACTGCAGCCTGGGCAACAGAGGGAAACCCAGAGCATGGACTCTGGGTTGAAGTCAGAATCTCTCAGTTTGTATTTTAGTTTTTGTGTGTGTGTGTGTCTATAGAATGGGAATAATATCTCTCTTGAGTTGTAGTGAGGGTGTTTTAAATGGATTATCTCATTTAATGCCTAGCACATACTAAGCTCTCATAGTTAGTTGCTATTTATTTTATTATTAACACAAAAGGGCTTATGATAGTTATAATAGTGTTTCTTTACTAAGGGCTTTGTATTGTTTCTTTTATTTCAAAGTTTTATCCAGCTTTTTTTCCCCCAAAGATGATACCAATTTGAATTTTTAAATTTGATTTGCCTTCTTATATATTTTCTGAAAATTTTTAAAAACATAATAAATGTAAATACAGTATACTTTCTCCAAGTTACACATATAAATAGCTTAGATTTTTACTGTTTGAACACACAATTTTATTTCCTAGACTTTCTCTAGCTTAAAAAAAAAGGCCAGGTGCAGTCGATGACGCCTGTAGTCCCAGCACTTTGGGAGGCCGAGGCAGGAGGATTGCCTGAGGCCTGGAGTTTGAGACTAGCCTGGTCACCCTAGCGAGACTCCAACTCTACAAAAAATAAAAAATAAAAAAATTAGCCAGACATAGCTGTGCATGCCTGTAGCCCCAGCTACTCAGGAGGCTGGTATGGGAGGATTGCATGAGTCCAGGAGTTTAAGGTTACAGTGAGCTATGATTGCACCACTGTACTCCAGCCTGCATGGCAGAACGAGATTCTGCCTATAAAAAAAAAAGTATACGTGTTGCCAAATCGTGTATACTGCAGACAGGATCACCATTTTATTGCTTGTGTCTAAAGTTCAAAGTTTTTTAGACTTTTCATTTGTCATATTACGACTAGTGATATTAATTGTGTTCCTGATGGGCATACAGCTCTCCTACAAGTTGTGATTCAGGCACCAATGCTCCTTCCATTTTGTGCTTCCACCATCTTTAACAAGCCATTTCCAGGGTTTTTGAAGAAGGGGAAAGAACAAGGAGACTCACAAGGGGAGATTTTGGGGAGCTAAGCCTGGAAGTATCACGCATCTCCTCCTCTCACATTCTACTGACCGGGTCTCAGCCATGTGGCCACAACTAACTGCAAGTAAAGATGCAAAATGTGGTTTAGCTGTTTGCCCGGAAAGAAAAAGAAATGATTTGGTAAACAGCCAGTTTCTACCACACATACTTTTTTTCTGTTTAATCATAATAACTGCATAAGATACGTACTATAATTTATACCACTTACTGATGGGGAATCTGAAATTTTGTCTTTTATTTTTTTCATTAAAAAAATTTTTTTTGATTTTTTGAGACAGAGTGTCGTTACTGTTGCCCAGGTTGGAGTGCAGTGGCACAACCACAGGTCCTCCCACTGGAACTCCTGGGTTCAAGCATTCCTCCTACCTCAGCCTCCTAAGTAGCTGGGGTTACAAGTGTGCATCACTATGCCTGGATAATTGATATTGAAATTTTGTTAGGCTGAGTACCTTACCTAATATTTCACAATTAATAAATGGCAAAATAGAAACTAAAACCTCAGCAGTCCAATTCCAGAAACCATATTCTTTATAAAGTTAACTATAACATGACTGATATTCATTTTACTGAAAAAGAATATTTAGGGTTTGTTTTTAGTTGTAAAAGAGGTTGGATTTTTAGAACTGGAAATAATCCAAACATCATTTTAGAGCTCAAGAAATTGAGATGTAGAAGTAGAATGTCATAGTGAAAGTCAATTTATTGCCATTCAAGTATTATACAATATAAAGAAACATTTTTAAAAGAAAATGTAAGGCCGGGTGCGGTGGCTCACGCCTATAATCCCAGCACTTTGGGAGGCCGAGGCGGGTGGATCACGAGGTCAAGAGATCGAGACCATCTTGGTCAACATGGTGAAACCCCGTCTCTACTAAAAATACAAAAAATGAGCTGGGCATGGTGGTGCGTGCCTGTAATCCCAGCTACTCAGGAGGCTGAGGCAGGAGAATTGCCTGAACCCAGGAGGCGGAGGTTGCGGTGAGCCGAGATCGCGCCACTGCACTCCAGCCTGGGTAACAAGAAAGAAACTCTGTCTCAAAAAAAAAAAAAAAAAAAAGAAAATGTAACGGCTGGTGATGGTGGCTCATGCCTGTAATCCCAGCATTTTGGGAAGCCAAAGTGGGCAGACAACTGAGGTCAGGAGTTCGAGACCAGCCTGGCCAACATGGTGAAACTCCATCTGTACTAAAAATACAAAAATTAGTTGGATGTGGTGGTCTGCGCCTGTAGTCCCAGCTACTCGGGAGGCTGAGGCATGATAATCACTTGAACTCGGGTGGCCGAGGTTTCAGTCAGCTGCGATCAGGCCACTGCACTCTAACCTGGGCTATAGTGCAAGACTCTGTCTCAGAAAGAAAAATATAAAAAGAAAATGTAATTGTGACAACTTAACAATGTATATTACCTTTTCTAAAAGTTAATTTAACTTCTTAAACTGTGTGATTTAATGGGATTAAAATAAGATTTCTTTTTCTTATTTTCATTCTTTTGGATTTTCTTTTTAGTTGACACATAATAATTGCACATATCCATGGGGTACATAGTGATGTTTCTGTACATACAATGTATAGTGATGAGATCAGGGTAATTAGCATATCCGTCTCAAACATTTATCATTTCTTTGTGTTGAGAACATTCAGTATAGTTATCCTATTTGAAACCATATATTATTGCTGACTATAGTTATCCTATAGTACTATAGAACACTAGAACTTATTCCTCCTATCTGGCTGTAATTTTGTATATTTTAACAAATTTCAGCCTATCTCTTCCTTTTCTCTACCCTTCCCAGTCTCTAATATCCTCTGTTATACTTTTTACTTTTATGAGATTAGCTGACCGGTATCATGACTCATGCTCATAATCCTAGCACTTTGGGAGGCTGCAGCAGGCTGACTGCTTGAGCTCAGGAGTTCAAGACCAGCCTAGGCAAGATGGTGAAATCCCATCTCTACAAAAAATATAAAAATTAGCTGTATAGTGCATGGTGGCATGTGCCTGTAGTCCCAGCTACTTGGGAGGCTGAAGTAGGAGGATGACCTGAGCCTAGGAGGCTCAAGGGAGCTGAGATTGTACCACTACATTCCAGCCTGAGTGACAGAGCCAGATCCTGTCTCAAAAAAACAAAAAAACAAAAAAAAAAAAAAGAAAAGAGCGATCAGCATTTCTTAGCTTCTACATGTGAATGAGAACATGCAGTATTTCACTTAACATAATGTCCTCTGATTCTATCCATGTTGCCACAAATGACGGGATTTCATTCTTTTTTTTTTGTGGCTTAGTAGTATTCCATTGTGTGTATGTACCAAATTTTCTTCATCCATTCATCTGTTGTTGGATACTCAGGTCGATTCCATATCTTGGCTATTGTGCTGCAATAAACACGGGGGTGCAGACCTAACTTCAACATATTGATTTCAATTCCTTTGAGTATATACTCAGTAGTGGCATTGCTAGATCATATGGTTGTTCTATTTGTAGTTTTTTGAGGAACCTCCATACTGTTCTCCATAGTGGCTGTACTTTACATTCACAACAGTCAGAAAAGAGTTCCCTTTTCTCTGCATCCTTGCCAGTATTTGTTTTTTTTGTCTTTTTGATAATAGCTATCCTAAATGGGGTAAGATGATACCTCATTATGTTTTTGATTTACATTTCCTTGATGCTTAATTATGTTGAGCATTTTAAAATATATTTCTTGGTCATTTCTATATCTTCTTTTGAGAAATTTCTGTTCAGATCATTGCCCATTTTTTAGTTGGATTTTTTTTTTTTTTTTTTTTTTTTGAGACGGAGTCTGGCCCTTTTGCCCAGGCTGGAGTACAGTAGCACAATCTTGGCTCATTGCCACCTCCACCTCCAGGGTTCAAGTGATTCTTGTTCTTCAGCAACCCAAGTAGCTGGCACTACAGGTGTGCACCACCCCACCTGGCTAATTTTTGTATTTTTAGTAGAGATGAGGTTTCATCATGTTGGCTAGGCTAGTCTGGAACTCCTGACCTCTAGTGATCCACCCACCTCAGCTTCACAAAGGGCTGGGATTACAGGCATGAGCCAGTTTTTTGGGTTTTTTTGGCTATTGAGATATTTAAGTTCCTCATATATTTTGGCTATTAATTTCCTGTCAGATGAATAGTTTGCAGATATTTTCTCCCATTCTTTTTTTTTTTAACTCTGATTGTTTTCTTTTTATTTTATTTTATTATTATTATTATTTTTTTTTTATTATTATTTTTTTTTTTGGAGACGGAGTTTCGCTCTTGTTACCCAGGCTGGAGTGCAATGGCGCGATCTCGGCTCACCACAACCTCTGCCTCCTGGGTTCAGGCAATTCTCCTGCCTCAGCCTCCTGAGTAGCTGGGATTACAGGCAAACGCCACCATGCCCAGCTCATTTTTTGTATTTTTAGTAGAGACTGGGTTTCACCATGTTGACCAGGATGGTCTCGATCTCTTGACCTCGTGATCCACCCGCCTCGGCCTCCCAAAGTGCTGGGATTACAAGCGTGAGCCACCGCGCCCGGCTTTTTTTATTATTTTTTGAGACGGAGTCTTACTCTTGCCAGGCTGGAGTACAGTGGCATGATCTCAGCTCACTGCAACCTCTGACTCTCTGGTTCAAGTGATTCTCCTGCCTCAGTCACCTGAGTTGCTGGGATTACAGGCATGTGCAACCATGTCCAGCTAATTTTGGTATTTTTAGTAGAGATGGTGTTTCACCATGTTGGCCAGGATGGTCTCGATCTCCTGACTTCATGATCCGCCCATCTCAGCCTCCCAAAGTACTGGGATTACAGGCGTGAGCCACCGCACCTGGCCCTGATTGTTTTCTTTAGTATGCAGAAGCTTTTTTTTTAGTTTGATATAATCCCATTTTTTTATTTTTGGCTTTGGTGCCTATACTTCTGAGATCTTACTAATAAAATTTTTTTTCAAAGACTAATGTCTTGAAGCATTTTTCCTGTGTTTTCTTCAAGTAGTTTTATAGTTCTGTGTCTTACATTTAGGTATTTGATCAATCTTGAGTTGATTTTTGTATAGGATGAGAAGTGGGGGTCTAGTTTTGTTTCGTTTGATTTTCATATGGATATCCAGTTTTTCCAGCACCATTTATTGAAGAAACTGTCCTTTCCTGAGTTAGCGTTCTTGGTACCTTTGTCAAAAATCAGTTGGCTATAGATGTGTGGATTAATTTCTGGGTTCTCTGTTCTGTGCCATTATTCTATGTATCTGTTTTTATGCCAGTACCATTCTGTTGGAGTTACTATGACTTTGTAGTTTATTTTGAAGTCTGGTAGTCTAATGCCTCCAGCTTGTTTTTGGTTTGTTTTGTTTTGCTTTGTTTTGTTTTGAGACGGAGTCTAACTCTGTCACCCAGACTGGAGGGCAGTGGCTCGATCTCAGTTCACTGCAACCTCTGTCTCCTGGGTTCAGTGATTCTCTTGTCTCAGCCTCCCAAGTAGCTACGACTACAGGCTTGTGCCACCTTGCCTGGCTAATTTTTTTTTTTTTTTTTTTTTGTATTTTTAGTAGAGACAGGGTTTCACTGTGTTAGCCAGGATGGTCTCAATCTTGTAACCTCGTGATCTGCCTGCCTGGCCTCCAAAAGTGCTAGGATTATAGGTGTGAGCCACCGCACCTGGCCTGTCTTGTTTTTTTCCCCTCAAGATTCCTGTGTGTGTGTGCGTGTGTGTGTATGTGAGATGGAGTCTCGCTCTTTCACCCAGGCTGGAGTGCAGTGGCACAATTAAGTTTGAAATCTTAATAATTCACAATCAGGCCGGGCGCGGTGGCTCAAGCCTGTAATCCCAGCACTTTGGGAGGCCGAGGCGGGTGGATCACGAGGTCAAGAGATCGAGACCATCCTGGTCAACACGGTGAAACCCCGTCTCTACTAAAAATACAAAAAAATTAGCTGGGCATGGTGTTGCGTGCCTGTAATCCCAGCGACTCAGGAGGCTGAGGCAGGAAAATTGCCTGAACCCAGGAGGTGGAGGTTGCGGTGAGCCGAGATCGCGCCATTGCACTCCAGCCTGGGTAACAAGAGCGAAACTCCGTCCCAAAAAAAAAAAAAAAAAAATTCACAATCAGTGGGTGTCATGTAAATTTAAGCTTTGTTGTTTAAGGTCGTTTGAGTTTTTGTTTTTGTTTTTGTTTGTTTGTTTGTTTTTTCTGAGACAGAGTCTCATACTGTCGCCCAGGCTGGAGTGCAGTGGCACGATCTTGGCTCACTGCAACCTCTGCCTCCTAGGTTCAAATAATTCTCCCGCCTCAGCCTCCTGAATAGTTGGGACTACTGGTACCCACCACCACACCCAGCTATTTTTTTTGTGTGTGTATCTTTAGTAGAGACGGGGTTTTACTGTTTTGGCCAGGATGGTCTCAAATGCCTGACCTCATGATCCGCCTGCCTTAGCTTCCCAAAGTGCCGGGATTTCAGGCCTGAGCCACCTCACCCAGCCCTTTTTGAGGTTTTATATAAATTTTATGATGGTTTATTTCTGTGAAGAATGTCATTGGCATTTTAATAGGGATTGCATGGAATCTATAGATTATATTGGATAGTATTGTCATTTTAACAATATTAATTCTTCCAATTTATGAACATGGGTTGTCTTTCCATTTGTTTGTATCCTCTTCAATTTATTTTATCAGTGTTTTCCTTGTAGAAGTCTTTCACCTCCTTGATTAAATTTACTCCTAAGTTTATTTTTGTACCTATTACAAATGTATCTAGTTTTCTGATAGAAGAATGATCTCTTATTTGGGCAATAATGTCTTTTATCATCTTTTCTGTTAAAAATGTTTTGTTTTAACTTGGAAAGTTTGCCTTTCAAGCAATATCCAGTAGATTGTAGAATGGTGGGTGAATTTTGCCAAAGAGATGGAGCAGTTGATCTTAAAAGACAGGTTGTTGTTAAGAATATGCATGGATATGCTGGGCACAGTTGCTCATGCCTGTAATCCTAATACTTTGGGATGCTGAGGCGGATGGCTCACCTGAGAGCGGGAGTTTTGAGACCAGCCTGGCCAACATGGTGAAACCCCATCTCTACTACAAATACAAAAATTAGCTGGGCATGGTGGCGTGTGCCGGTAGTCCCAGCTACTCAAGAGGCTGAGATAGGAGAATCACTTGAACCTGGGAGGTGGAGGTTGCAGTGAGCTGAGATCATGCCACTGCACTCTAGATTGGTGACAGAGTGAGACTCCATCTCAAAAACAACAAAAAAAAAGAATACTCATGGGTGCGGTGGCTCACACCTGTAATTCTAACACTTTGGGAAGCTGGAGCCGGAGGATCACCTGAGGTCAAGAGTTTGACGCCTGGCCAACATGGTGAAACCCCATCTCTACTAAAAATACAAAAATTAGCCAGTCTTGGTGGCAGGCATCTGTAATCCCAGCTACTCGGGAGGCTGAGACATGAGAATCATTTGAACCTGTGAGATGGAGGTTACAGTGAGCCGAGATCCCGCCACTGCACTCCAGCCTGGGAAATAGAGTGAGACTCTGTCTCAAAAACAAAAACAAAACAAACAAACAAAAAGAATTTGAATGGGTGTATTCAAGGGATAATGTGAAGTAGGGAGAAGACTACATATGATATAATTAAGCTTGAAATCTTAATAATTCACAATCAGTGGGTTTCATGTAAATGATATTAAGCTTTAATGTAGAAAAATAAATAAATAGTGGCATTGGTCAAATATGATGTCTTCTCAGTTCTTCTTTTGCTTAGGATTTTTAAAATTTTTTTGAGACTGTGTCACCCAGGATGAGCTGTCACCCATGGTCACAGCTCACTGCAGCCTCAAAATCCCAACCTTAAGCAGTCTGACTACCTTAGCCTCTTGAGTATGTGGGGTTACAGTCACACCACTATGCCAAACTAATTTTTGCTATTTTATAGGGTCTCACTGTGTTGTCCAGACTGGTCTTGAACTCCTGAATGCAAGCGATCCTTTCACATTGGCCTCCCAAAGGCTTAGATTACAGGTGTGAGCCACCACACCGGACTGATTTAGGCATTTTTAAAAACTAAGTTATTTTTCAATGTATTCTCTTCCCATCCTCCAAGAACATTAGAGTTACTTAGGGAAGGACTCAAGAAAGTGGGAGAAGGGTTTTTTAATATTATGGGACTGAGAACCAAGTTCAAATACTAATTCCATTAAGAAGGAAAAAAACATCTTCATTCTCAGTCTTGAGGGGTGTGAGCATGGGGGATAGCAGGATCACAGTTGATGTAGTGGACAGGAGAGAATTAATGAAGAGTGAGTGTTGTGTACTAGAACCTGAGCCTAGGCACTCCTCATATCCTTTCTCATTTTGAACAGTGAGTTAGTGTAGTCTCTGTACTACCAAAAGTGGTTTTTGTCATATAATTAAATATGTGTTTTCAATTTAAGAAGTAGGATGGACTTTTGTTTCATGTCTTTCTTGAGCATATTATGTACAAATCCCAGAGACATTTTTGTGAGATAGGAATGAATAAGTGGCAGTGCAAAAGGATTTAAAAAAAATTATTTTGGCGAGAAAGCTTTCAGTTCTTTTCCTCAGTCCCATCAGCACTACCTCAAATAAACACACAATCAGTATAAACAGTTGTTTACTTTGTTTGCCAAGGCAACTTCAAGACAAGTCCTGTAGTACGTATTCTCCCCACTTCCGTCAACCAGAATGCCTCCCAGAGCACCACTGGCTAAAGAATTCAACATTGTCAGAAAGGGTGGGAAAAACCATTTTGGTGATTCTATTGGAAAGTGTACATGCTTCAAAAGAAGTAGTAAATAAAGCTGGATGGAGGGAAAAAAACAAAACAAAACAATGGATGTTTATTCGAGGGGAAGAGAAAAGAGAGAAGTTATACTTTATGGGTTTATATTAGGTTACTAAAAGATGATATTTGGGTTCTTCATACAATAATAATATAATTTTTATTTAGCATTTCTTACATACCAAACACTGGTATAAACACTTTTACATTTATTAATTCCTATAATTTTTTAAACAATCCTGAGAGGTAGGTAGTTTTCTTAGAGTTTACTAATGAAGAAACAGGCACAGTAAGGACAACTGTCGTGCTCAAAGTAACACAACTAATAAGTGGCAAATTCAAGATTCAAATTTAGGCATTCTGGTTTCAGAGTTCATACCCTTAACTGCCAGGCTGTTCAACCACTCTAGTATGTATTAGGCCTTTCCTCTATATAAGGTTGTAAATTCACATAATTTTGTTATATTTAATTTCCCACTACTCAAGTTTGAGGGAGGAAGCCATATATATATATATATACACACACACACACACACACACACACACACACACACATACACATACATACATATATGTATACATATATTTTGAGTTGGAGTCTGGCTCCCATCTTGCAGGTTGGAGTGAAGTGGTGTTAGCTCACTGCAACCTCCGTCTCCCTGGTTCAAGCGATTCTCCTGCCTCAGCCTCCTGAGTAGCTGGGACTATAGGCATATGCCACCATGCCCAGCTAACTTTTGTGTTTTAGTAGAGATGGGGTTTCACCATGTTGGCCAGGATGGGAAAGCCATATTTTATATTTCTTTTTATCCCTAATTAAGCATTGTTCTTTTTTTAATAGAGATGCTTACTGAGTAAATGAGTCAATTCATGAAAAATGAAAAATTTCAGTGACCATTTTCCCTTCCAATTTTAGGATCTTCACATTATATAGCAGATCACTACCACTTGATCTGGCCTGTCGAGTCTGGGATGTATTTTGCAGAGATGGGGAAGAATTTTTATTTAGGACTGGATTAGGAATACTTCGATTATATGAAGATATTCTCCTGCAGATGGACTTTATTCATATAGCACAGTTTCTAACTAAATTGCCAGAAGATATCACATCAGAAAAGCTGTTCAGTTGTATTGCAGCCATTCAGATGCAGAATAGCACCAAAAAATGGACTCAGGTACAGTGACGTTTTCCTATCTCTAATAGATGTGTCAAAGCAGTTGACTTATTATAAAAAAGTTAGGTGTTTCTTAAATGTTAGTGCTCAAAAATATGTGTTTAAAAAATAATTTTGGACTTCTAAAAAGTAAGAGTTTAAATCAAATTGCCTACTTTTCAGCTATCCAAACCTAGGGTTTTATTTTATTTCGGTTCAATAATACGCATTTAGTGAAGCACAACCCACAATAGTCATTTATTTGCCAGAGTAGTTATTACTTTGGTATTTCAAATAGAAAACAATTTTATTATATTAAATACCTGCTGTATACTAGGATTAGTAGTTGAAAGAATATATAATGTATGGCTCTGGCTTTTAGATGCTTAGTCTTGTTAAGAAAGTAAAATTATTGGCAATCTAAGTTAAGTGACATAAAAGGATGGCAGTATCACTCAATCCATGGATGATATAAATAATTGGCATTATTAAATGTGCAGTTTTATTGGTTCAGAAAATGTTATGTTACCAAATAGTAATTTCAGAATATTTGGCAATTGTTAAAAATCAAAATCTAATCATATTTCATGATTAGAAAAAATAAATAAATAAAGGGGATTTGAGAATGGCACACTTTCAGGGGACAGAGTTAAATATAATAAAGCTTTTTTTGGTTTATAAACTATAGTTATTTAAATCTCTTTAATCTGGGTAGTAGTTTTTGAGGATTAATCTTTATTTTATATAATTTTCAGGTCTTCACATCTGTAATGAAGGATATTAAAGAAGGAGACAAGAACAGTAGTCCTGCTTTGAAAAGCTAGTCTTCAAAATTGACAGATGAATTGACATATAAAAGGTGGTTTTTGGATAAAGGTTTTTTTGTTTCCTATATAAAAGGCATGGAAGAAAATGTTGAAGATATCTAAAAGAATCAAGAGGTGGAAAACTGCTGATTTTAGATTTTATGGCTGAAGTAAATGAAATAAGTAACTTATTGACAGTATTAATAAAATGTTATTTTGTAGGTAGAGTCATTTTTCAAAGGAAAAAGTTTAAATGGTGAGTTTATACTCCACAATTTGGAATAAACAGTTTAATGCAATAAATTTTTAAAATAGCTTTGGAGATAACTTCAAATTTTTACATCTTTTCTTTTGTAACTGTTACCACAAAGATACTCTGGAGGTTAGAACAGGATTGTTAAGTACTACTGCTACCCTCCAAAGTACTATAGTACAGACATTGTTTCCAGTTTTGACCTTTTGAAGATATTATAGACCAGTAGTAAACAAATTGGTTGTAAATTATCTAAGTCACTGAAGGTGTCATTTATCTTCATTCATAAGTTGGGGTAAATGTGAGTTATCTAGGAACTGGAAATGTTGGTAGGTGATTGTTTATTGTTTGTTTAGATGTTTTTCCACAGTACTGTGTTCACTTTTTTTTTAAGGGAAATTTGTTGTCTTCCTTAAGGAATTTCTATCACTCAGAATTGTAGCTGTTCTGGTTCTAGTCTAACAAATTATTCATCTAATAATTTGACATTAAGAAAACTATAACTGGTAGAAGGAAAGTTCTTTGCACTTGAGTGGATTGAAGACTTGACTTTGAGAGTAAGTCCAGAAACTTATGAAGTTTCTCAGTGATAAGAGTAAAAAGTAGTGTATCCTGAGAGTTCTTAAATAGCATGCTACTTGGCAAGACTTTATATTTTTTTAGTTACAATTCTTCCACTGTCTATAGAAACAAAATTTGTTAACTCCAGTTTGAAATTTGAAATCTAATATGTAGCTAAATCTATGACTTGTAAAACACTATGCATAATTTTTCTAATCAGTAGAAATTAGAGTGAAAGAAAAAGATAAAGTTAATTTTTTTTTCTAAGTCTACATCCTATCTCTTATTCAATTGCCTGAAGAAGCTGTGTGAGGAGATAGTCTGGTTATTGGTTCCTTTATCTATCAATGCCATCCTAATCTCTTCACATGTTACACTAAATGCTGCCTGTAACCCATCCTCATCTTCTTTACTCATCATTGCTTTCTTCAAGGAAGATCTAGATACTGCCTCATCTACCTCATTATCAGCTAGTGACTGATCTAGTTAGTGACTCTTTGGAAGACTGATAGCCTCTAAATGAGTTATCCAACTTCCGCTTCCTCCCATTGGCCACTTTACATAGGTTTGAGAACTTAGCAGGTGCTAAATCCTCATGCCCACGGAGGCAAAATACTTTGAGGAATGGGAACATCTCTTCACTGTGTTCTTGGATCAGCCTTCTCTTAACCACCAAGAAATGCATGATTTCTCTGCCAACTCCGGGAAGTAGTGCTGTATGACTGTATCATTCTTTGATGAATTCTTTCATTGAAACATAGGGAGTCATTTCCAAAAAGGTAGTTATGAGCTTAAACTGACTTATGAACATTTTGCCTGTGGGCCCTACACTGTCATGACCCTCCAGTTGAAACAGAGCATGAATTATTTTTTTGTTGAGTTCTTGAACTGCTAACCAGGTGTATGTTTCCTTGAAGTCCGGAGCAGGATCCAGGTCAGATGAAGGAGGTGGTATACCTGGCTTAACTGCAGAAAATAGAGCATTGAACTTCTTCACAATGAGCTGCATTGGGTTTCTGTTTGGCTTTCTCACTGAATAGTAAATTAGGGAAAATGCTGCTTTTACTATTTTGCATTTTATGTCCACATTTACAGCCTTTTCCCAGTCAGGTGCTGTCCAAGGAACATGTTTCCTTTGGGAGGTCTGAACAGCATGATCTGGCTTGATGTGTTTCTTGAGCTCTAATACCATATTATAGAGTTGTTTAAATGTAGCCAACAGCAGTGTCAGAACAATTGACATTGTCCCTCCAAGATTCAATGCATTGGCTTTCAGAGCTGCTACTAGAGCCATACATGAGGCAGTGAACACATCTTTAGGTGGTGGCAAGGCTATATCTGATTAATAGAGATCTCTGATCTCTAACGACATATTGCTATTGTCCTATTACATTTAAATTTGAACCTAAACTAAATCACTTGAGTGTTATGAGTGATGTCTATATAACATGCCATTTGGCTAGATGTATAGTGCGTTTTTATGTTGCAGTTTGGTTTGAAACAATACTTAAGCACACTATTTCTGTTAGTGGTATATAGTTTTCAAACTAACAAGCTGTGATCCTTGTTAGTGTAGTGACTGCCTTTTTAGGAGTATGGGATCCTAGGGTGCCCATGTATTTTTATCCCGTGGGTCATTCTATCCTAGGGACTACTAGAAGACCCCTCAAAAGGTAACTGCTATTATAGGGACTTACTTAGTGGAAACTGGTAGTATAATAAAATATTGAAGGAGGCTACGGTCTTAGTAGGTTTTAGAATGACCTTTTAACCCCACTAACTACTTACTTGGTGTTGATGTCCCTAATAGAGGAAATACAACCTCTAGCAGTAATCTCATTCAGGTTATACTACCTGCCTAAATTTAATCATACTTGTATGTATTTGTTTCCTCAGTTGGAACTAAGTTACTGTATTTCTTTTTCTTATTTTTTTTATTATTGTACAGTTTCTTTACCTTTCAAGTATAAATGTGTATATAAAATGTAAATACGAGGAATTCACTAAAAACCACTCATAACAATTACTGTGTAAATAAAACTGGTAAGCAGAGTAATTACTTGAAGTGAGTCTTCATTACTTTGGGGATATCTGTTTTATTTAACTGCATCTCAAGAACAAAAAGGAAATACTCTGTTTTTGTTGGCCAAATTTGTCTTCCAAGGAATGCACTAGGCCTTCAGTCTTTTGAGACTGGCAGTACTGGCAGCTAAAATATTGTACTGTATCTTTGCTTGAGCCCAGTATGTAGGAAATATGTGATAATTCCCATGGTCAATATATGGCAGTTTTTGTTGTTGTTGTTAAAGTATATTTTCAATTAAAAAAAACTTTTCCTAATATACTCAAGATAATGTGAAATTTAATATGATGTTTCATTTGTTTGTCTACTCAATATATATATTTCTTACTTAATGTTCCTTTAGCCCAGGTCTACATTGCATTATTTAAATTCTGTTAGAAAAAAAAGTGCTGTTAGAAGACTCCAGTAACTCACATAGTTTTCTAAAGTCGGCTTTTATTGATGTCTTTTGCACTTGTGACCTTTGAGTATATTTGTTTGACTTTATAAAATTAGGTGGCATTTGCAAAAGGACATTCACATTTTCAGTATCTCTGACTTCAGGATAATAGCTTCCGTGTAGCTTAGGAACTGTTATTTTGACCTAGGCTAGTCAACTCTTTAGAGTCTACACTACTGAAGGGTATAATTCTAAAGCAGATAATCATGAAGTAATTTATCTTACTTCATAATGTCATATGATTTGATTTTTTTATTTTATGTTTTTGTTTGGATAAGATAAAATTATATTCCACGAGGGTATTCAGACACCAGGGACTAGTATAAAAAAAGAGTCAAAAAAGTATGAGGTAGCATTGGACAGTAAGTTATATCAAAATTTGTCATGACTAATTAATACTGTCAGAAAATAGTCTTCTGAGAGAAAAAAGTGTTATTTTTGTATTGAATCATATTATTTTGCTGTTTGACAAGCATTGTCTAAAATGTGAATTCTCAACTGTAATAAAACCTCATTAATTAGAACTCACTGCTTTACAACATGTAAAAACTTAAATGAAATCCAAGATTTCAGGGAAACTAGCCATTCCAGAGAAAGCCCTGCCCTTTAAAAATATTGTTTGCTTAGTAAGAGTGTAATTGCAAAAGTGGGAAATTTGAATTAATACATTATATTTCTTAAGCCCTGATTATTGCCAAGCACTCCCTCTTAATATTTTGTTAGGCTACATAAAGTTTTAAGGCTTGGGAAATTCCAAAATTGCCTTTCTTTCCAGATATTCTACTGTTCATATTGATCATTCCTTGATCTCAGTTAAGGAGAATTTACGTATGTACATTTTATTTTGTAGACTTGATTTATTTTCTAATAAACACCAGGAAGGAAATCTGACTTAAAATTATATTATGAAAGTGTTTCATTTGAACATTTATGTAAATAATAATGACTTTATTAAACTTAAAGTAAAATGACTTTTGTACTATTACAATGTATTTGACAAATCATTTTTATAATAAATATATAAATGATAAATGAATATAGACTTGAAGGAGTATATAAAATTGTCAACAGCGAGTCAACATTCTCATATTTCATCTTCAGGCATAATGCTGTACGCAATGGTATAAAAGCAGAAAGTAAAGCTTCAACTTCTGGTCACAGCTGGGCGTGGTGGCTCATGTCTGTGATCCTAGCACTTTGGGAAGCTGAGGCAGGAGCATCACTTGATCTGAGGAACTCCAGATTAGCCTGGGCAACATAGTGAGACCATCTCTACAAAAAAATTAAAAATTAGCTGGGCATGGTAGCATGTGTCTGTAGTACCAGCTACTTGGAAGGCTGAGTTAGGAGGATCACTTGAGCCTGGGAGGTTGGGGCTACACTGAGCTATGATCACACCACTGGACTCCAGCCTGGGCAACAGAGTAAGACCCTGTCTCAAAAACATTTAAAAAATATATTGCAGGAAGTTAGGAAACAAAAAAGCCTCTTATATGAGCCCTTGAAAAGTAAACACATTTTATGAAATTTTAGATTCCATGTTTTATTACTTTTTAACAGTGTCAATCAGCTGGGCATTGTGGCTCACACCTGTAATCCCAGCACTTTGGGAGACTGAGGTGGGTGGATCACTTGAGGTCAGGAGTTCCAGAGCAGCCTGACCAACATAGTGAAAACCTGTCTCTACTAAAAATACGAAAACTAGTGGGATGTGATGGTGGGCACCTGTAATCCCAGCTACTCTGGAGGCTGAGGCAGGAGAATCACTTGAACCCAGGAGGTGGAGGTTGCAGTGAGCCAAGATTGCACACACTGCACTCCAGCTTGGGTGACGGAGCAAGTCTCCATCTCAAAAAAAAAAAAAAAAGTGTAAATCAATTCCTATCATTTCTTTGCTCAAGATTCTCTAATGGCATTCCTCATAATAAAAATCCATACTCTTTATCCTTGTCTGCATGGTCCTAATTGATCTGGTCACTGCCCATCTTTCCAATTTCAGCTACAGTTTATAAACATTCTACGGTAGACACAGTGGACTTACTGCCATTTTTCAATTTGTCAGCCTTCTATCCACCTGAGGTCTTTCTTCCCTCGGAATTGTTTTTTATCTAGGTCTTTGTATGGCTTATATTTTATATCACTGCTTAAGGTCACTTCTTCAGAAGACTTTAAACATCTATCCACTATTCTTATGATCTTACTCCGCTTCATATTTCTTTATAGTTTTTATTACATATCACCAACTGACATTGTTTTATAACGCTGTCTATTGTTTCCACTACAGTATAAACTCTGAGGTCAGAAACATTGTCTTATTTACTGCTGAAGTGCTAGTACCCAAAATAGTGCATGGCACTACCCTACGGTAGATATGGATAATTGGATTTTTTTTATTTTGGTCCATTCCTCACTAAACTTACCTTTTCATTTAAAATTTTTTTCTATTATAGATACTGTTTTTGGTTCACTCAGAAACTTAAACATGTAAAGGTTGGGTAGAAGAGAATGAACTAGTGAAAGGAATAGGAATATCAAGAGAATGTGGGGTCAGAAAAGACAACGGAGAAGACTGTTTCCATAAAGGAGTGATTAACAGTGTTATGTTGCAATGTGGTTGAAATAAGAACTGAGAGAAGTCAATTAAACTTGGCAACGTGGAAGTCATTAAACCTTAGTGGGCTACTTTGGTGTATGCTGACTGTTGCAATCAGAGGGTTGAAAAATCAGTGGGAGGGAAGGAATTAAACATTACTAGTGTAGATAATTATATAAGTAAGCTTTAAAGGGGAAGAGAGAACTGATAATAGTTGGTAGGGAAAAAGGAGGTTCCAGCTGGGTGCTGTGGCTCGCACCTATAATCCCAGCTACTTGGAGGCTGCAGTGGGAGGATCCCTTGAGTTCAGGAATTAAAGGTTACAGTGAGCTATGATGATACCACTGCACTCCAGCCTGGGTGACAGAGTGAGATTTTATCTCTTAAAAAGAGGTAATAATGATTTCTAATCTAAAATGATTTCTGAATAGGCAGCAGGGAGTTGGGTTCAAAACACAAGATGAGAGAGTGATAAAGGTATTCAGGATGCAGATGGGTTTGTAAATTTGATGTTGGTAAGCTGAAAGGGGAATTCTGTCTTGTAGCTATTATTTCCTTCGTGAGATAGGCCAGAAGTGGGGCCATCTACTGTAACAAGAGGGAGCTGGGGTTTTGTTTTGTTTTGACTTCTATGATTGGATGGATGGTTATGCCATTAGTATAAAAAGGATTCTATAAGAGAAAGACATTTTGTGTGAGTAGGGAAAAGTGAATTGTAACATCTTCCTTAGAAGAAAATCCCCAGTGCCTCATCTGGAGGGTCTACCTCTGACTTTTTGTTCCACTCCCCCTTGCCAATTTGGCTTCAGTCATACTGGCCTTCTCTCTGATACTCAAACATGAACAAGTGTATTCCTGATTTACTCTCTGTACCTGTGTAGTTTCTGCTTGAATTGCTCTTCCCCCAGGCTGGCCAGCTTCTTGGCATTTGGTTCTCTGCTTAAGTGTTTGTCACTTCCTCAGATACCTGATTACCAATCTAAAATTCTCCCTTTTCACCCCCAACTCCTGGAATGTGAGTTCCATATCCACAGGGATTTAGTCTGTCTAGTTCATTGTTATACAGCTCCTATAATAGTTTCTGGCATCCAGGCGGCATTTTAATTTTATTTTTAATTTTTGTGGGTACATAGTAGGTATATATATTGATGGGGTACATGAGGTGTTTTGATACAGGCATACACTGTGAAACACATCATGGAAAATGGGATATCCATCCCTTCAAGCATTTATCCTTTGAGTTACAAACCATCCAATTATACTCCTTGTCTAAAAATGTACAATTAAGTTTTTATTGACTATAGTAACCCTGTTATACAATCAATAGTAGTTCTTATCCATTCTTTCTAATCAGAAGGCATTAAAAAAAAAAAAGAAAGAAAAGAAAACATGGGCAGGCACGGTGGCTCAAGCCTGTAATCCCAGCACTTTGGGAGGCCAAGGCGGGTGGATCATGAGGTCAAGAGATCGAGACCATCCTGGTCAACATGGTGAAACCTCGTCTCTACTAAAAGTACAAAAAAAAAAAAAATTAGCTGGGCATGGCGGCGCATGCCTGTAATCCCAGCTACTCAGGAGGCTGAGGCAGGAGAATTGCCTGAACCCAGGAGGCGGAGGTTGCGGTGAGCCGAGATCGCGCCATTGCACTCCAGCCTGGGTAAGAAGAGCGAAACTCTGTCTCAAAAAAAAAAAAAAAAAGAAAACAAAATAAATGTAGGCCCTTAAATAAAAGTGAATGAACAAGAGTTTTCACAGCCACTTTGAAGGGAGAGTTTGCACGACGGCAAAGACGTGCCAGGAAATGCACCAATGCACTTTTCTTAGCAAGTGTGGAACCAGATGTTAGTTGAGTGTGTGTTCTTTGAGAATCAGATGAGATTTTCTTGAACTCCATCTAATTTGTATTTGGACAAATTCATTCCCTCTCCTCCCTCCCTTTTCCCCCCTCCCTTTTCCCCCTCCCCCCATTCCCTCTCCCCTCTCCCCTTTCCCCTGTCACCTACAGAGCAGAAGATGCAAAGAACAAAGTTGCTAGAGAAATAATGAATGGAGGAAAGATTTGGGGAGGTGGGCCACAATTTAATTTGTATTAGTCCATTTTCATGCTCCCAATAAAGACATACCCAAGACTGGGTAGTTTGTAAAGAAAAAGAGGTTTAAGGGACTCACAGTTCCATGTGGCTGGGAAGGCCTCACAATCATGGCGGAAGGCAGAAGGTGAAAAGCATGTCTTATGTGGTGGCAGGCAAGAGAGAGAATGAGAACCAAGTGAAAGGGGTTGCCCTTTATATAAAACCATCTGTTCTCAATCTTGTGAGACTTAACTACTATAAGAACAGTATGGAGGCAACTGCCCCCATGATTCAATTATCTCTCACTGGGTCCCTCCCACAACGTGGGAATTATGGAAGCCGCGATTCAAGATGAGATTTGGGTGGGGACACAGACAAACCATATCAGAATTCAAAAGAACAAGGAAAGATTTTTCAATGTATTAGGGAAAAACCTCATAAAAAGCAGTGTTTCAAAAGTCAAAGGGAAAGAAATTTTGGAGGATAGGTTGATGAAGGTCAAAAATCTTAAGTAGAGGGAGGGTGGGTACAGTGGCTCATGCCTGTAATTTCATACTCTGGCATGACTGTAATTTCATACTCTGGGAGGTCAAGGCAGGAGGATCCCTTGAGCCCAGGAATTCAAGACCAGCCTGAGCAACATAGCAAGACCCTGTCTCTACAGAAAATTTTAAAAAATCAGCTGGGTGTAGTGGTATGCACCTGTAGACCGAGCTGCTCAGGAAGCTGATGTGGGAGGATCATTTGAGCCCAGGAATTTGAGGTTACAGTGAGCTATGATTGTGCCACTGCACTCTAGCCTGGGCAACAGAGCAAGACTGTCGCAAAACAAAACAAAGCAAATCTTTTTTTTTTTTTTTTTTGAGACAGAGTTTCACTCTTGTTACCCAGGCTGGAGTGCGTGGTGCAATATTGGCTCACCACAACCTCTGCCTCCTGGGTTCAAGTGATTCTCCTACCTCAGCCTCCTGAGTAGCTGGGATTACAGGTGTGTGCCACCACGCCCAGCTAATTTTTTTAGTATTTTTAGTAGAGACAGGGTTTCTCCATGTTGGTCAGGCTGGTCTCGAACTCCTGACCTCAAGTGATACACCCACCTCGGCTTCCCAAAGTGCTGGCATTACAGGCATGAGCTACCGCACCCGGCTTTTAAAGCAAATCTTAAGTAGAATAAAACTGATAGCTATGTTTTAGATTAGAAGGAGATAGGATTTAGAGTAACTACTAATAGAGGCTACATTTTATCTTGAAATAATATTCAATGAACTAGGAGTAAAAATGTTATCAAGCAAATGGGCTCACTGTCCATTGCACACAAAAGCCAATAACTATGGCACCTGCCTTTGAGAAAAGAAAGGCTTTATTGCAAGTGGTCAGCAAGGAGACAGGAGTGGGCTCAAGTCTGTCTCCCTGATTTGGGGTCTAGGGCAAATTTTAAGGGATCCGAGAGCACAGGAAAAGATTTTGGAATGTTGGCTTGGCAGGGTCTGATTGGAGGGCTTCAAAATGTACCATTTAACGTAAGGTACTGTTATAGAACTGAACTGTGGTCCACTTGCCTGGCTCAGGAAGACAAGACATCCACACTGTGCTTTTGCAGCTGCAGGAATTGGGGCAGCTCATTCTTAAAACCCAAACTCCCTGATGGCTTGCAGGTAAGGATTTTTGAAGGCAGGGGTAAATTTCAGGAAAGCAGAAATACAGGCAAAGTAATCATTTAATACATGGAGTCTATGCATTGTTTTGACCAAAATGGTGAGGCATCTCAAAGGGTCGGGGAGGAGGACTTGAGGAAGAGGTCATAGATGAATTAAAAGGTTTTCTGATTTGCAGTTAATTCAGGAGGTGAAGCTTTGTCTAAAAATTTGGGGAGCTGAGTGTGGTAGTGTGTGCCTGTAATCCCAAAATTTTTCCCTTTGACTTGAGAGGCTGAGAGGATGGCTTGAGCCCAGGAGTTTGAGAGCAGCCTGGGCAACATAGTGAGACTCCATCTCAATTTTTAAAAATTAAAAAATAAAAATTTGGGATCAGCAGAAAAGAATGCTAGCTCTGCTTGTGTGTGTGACCTCCTTCAGGCCCGTCAGGAATAAATTTAGAACAAATGAGGCAACAGAGTGCCAGCAGATGTGTTTGGTGGGGCTTGGGGTTTCTAAAAAACAACTCAGAGACATACGCTAAGATATTAATTTTAGTTTTTATAGAGGAACCGAACATCTGCTGAATCTAACTTCCTTGGCTGTTGTTTTAGGCTACTATTACCTTCTTCTTTATCGAGTTGCTTATTTGCTTCTCAGGGCTAGCTAGGTTCCTAGAATTTCCTTTGAAGAACTCAAGATTTTCCTTTATTCTCATGGTTGGAGGGCCCACAGGCCCCTAGAGAAGGAGGGTCCCCCTGCTCCATCTCAGTATGAAGTTTTTTTTGTTTTGTTTTTTTGAGACAAGGTCTCGCTCTGTCACCCAGCCTGGAGTGCAGTGTTACAATCTTGGTTCACTGTATCCTTGACTTCCTGGGCTCAAGTGATTCTCCCACTCAGCCTCCCAAGTAACTGGGACCACAGGCATGTGCCACCACACCCTGCTAATTTTTGAAATTTTTGTAGGGGCTGGGCACAATGTGTCACGCCTGTACTCTCAGCATTTTGGAAGGCTGAGGTAGGTGGATCCCTTGAACCCAAGAGTTCGAGATCAGCCTGGATAACGGTGAAAAACCATCTCTACAAAAAAAAAAACCAAAAAACAAAAACAGACAAAAAAAACCCCAAACCACAAAAATTAGCATGGCGTGGGCTAATGTCCACCATTAAAATGTCCCAGTGTGGTGGCTTGCACTTGTAGTCTCAGCTACTCGCTAGGCTGAGGCAGGGGGATCACCTGAACCCAGGAGGTGGAGATTGCAGTGAACCGAGATCTTGCCATTCCACTCCTGCTTAAGCAACAGAGTATGACCCTATCATAATAAAATATTTATAGAGTCTAGGTCTCCCTTTGTTGCTTAGGGTGGTCTTGAACCCCTGGGCTCAAGTGATACTCAAGCCTTGGCCTCCCAAAGTGCTGGGATGACAGGCATGAGCTGCCACGCCTGGCCTGTTGAGGCAGATTTTAGCCCCGCATCTTCTCGGCCAACAGACTCCTCACTTCTGAAAGAGCTACTGAGTTCAGGTTCCCATCTTCTTGGTTCCCAGTGTTGTTAGAGGTCAAAGCATTTTCTATTGAACATTTCTGGGCTTTTAGCTCTGTTATGAACTAACTCGACATTATGTTATTAACAGACTAGGCCCAGTTTGGGGGCACGTCCCACAGTTACAAAAATACCTGTATTTCAGGCCTCTTATTTTAACACAAAGTGAATGTAGGCTTCTCTGTACAAGTCAATTTAAACATTAGTCCATCGGTTTTCTCACTTGTAATGTAGGAATAAAAATAATCTGCTATGCTAATTTTAGTGTTATGAAAACTGCTGAGGATGGTTATGACGGACGTGCAAGGTAAATCCCCCCCCTTTTTTTTTTGACGAAGTCTCTCTGTCGCCCAAGCTGGAGTGCAGTGGCGCGATCTCCGCTCACTGCAACCTCCGCCGACTGGGTTCATGCAATTCTCTGGCTTCAGACTCTCGAGTAACTGGGATTACAGGTGCCTGCAACCACGCTCAGTTAATTTTTGTATTTTTAGTAGGGACGGGGTTTCACCATCTTGACCAGGCTGATCTTGAACTCCTGACCTTGTGATCCACCCGCCTTGGCCTCCCAAAGTGCTGGGATTACAGGCGTGAGCCACTGCGTCCGGCCGGTAAATTCTTAAATTTTGCAGACACAATCATACAAAGTTGTGAGAGTCAAAATGAAGGAAACAGGTGATTACATGACAGACATATTTAATGCCACAAATCCTAAGAAATTAGAGGTGGGAAAGGGGGCCCTGGAGAGGGAGATAAAGGAAATAGCTGAAAAAGAATGCAAACAAGAAAAGGAGGAGCTGAACGCTGAAATAAAAACCAGGGACAAGAAAAGCCCCGCTCCTTCCTTCAGTGCCCACTTAAATGAATGAATGCTGCTTGGTTCCCTGAATCTTCCCTTCTGCTGGCCGCTCTGCTTGGTCTATCATTGCTTTCAGCTCTCCTTTATCCTAAACGGCTTTCTTCAACCCAGTCATAATCTTAATTACCTGTTCCTTTTCTCTCCCGTCCCACTCACAAAAGAGCCCTCCTCTGGGCCATTTCGGGGGATTTTCACTGAAGGTGTGAGCCGCGTGCTGCAGGTGCCGCGAGGCTGGCCCTACAGAAATGTTTCTAACATTCTCGTGCGGATACGCACAAGTCTCCACCTACAGGATCACGGGTTTGGGGTGCGCAATCACAGCAGCCAGCATGGGAAGGCGCCGTATTATAACTGTAATTGCGTAGTTTGGAACCATCAGCTCTGAGAGGAAACTGGGTCCTCCACGGCCGGCCGCCTCGCCCAATCCCATAGGATAGTTACAGGCTGAGTTCGGCAGCAGAACCCAGTTTCCTCCAGACAGAGGTTCAAATAAAGGGTCACGGTGGCTACAGGTCCGTCTTCACGAAAACAGAAAGCTGCGCCAAATCTCGCGCAACGGGGCTGGAGGGCGGGCGGGGAATTTAAGGTATCGCGAGATGACAGGATTTTCCCGCGAAGGAGAAGCGCGCTTTTTTCCCTGGCGGGGGTTTTGGTGAGCAGGCTGGGCCGGGAACTGCTGTGAGTTATTAGCTCGCGGTATTGCAGACTCTGAGAGGCGGGGACCCGGTTCCTGGGTGAGTGTCCAGGCATGCCAGCGGAACGGCCCGCGGGCAGCGGCGGTGAGTGAGGGGAGCCTTCTTTCGGGTGCGGGCGGCGGCGCGAGGGGCTGAGGTGGGCAAGCATGGAGGCTGCGGCGGAGCTTAGGGGGAGGGAGCCGACCCTGTGCAGGGACTGAGGAGGAAGGGAGGGTAGGGAAACTGCAACGGTGAGTGGAGGACACCCCGGAATCGCACATATTAGCAAGCTGGAGAAGATTTCACACAGGACACTTCATTTTCTGAGCATCTCGAGTTGGAAATTGGTCCAGGCAACTTGTAGACGTTGTGAAGACCTAGCGTGTCTGAGAGGTGATGCCGGTATCCCCTGCGTCTTCGGCTTTTGCTCCAGTGCATCTCGGGTGGGAGAAAGGCTGTTTAATGTTGAAGTTGAGTAGTTGGTAATTTTTTTAAAACTGCAATTTGAAAGCCTTCTCCTCCTCAGGCTCACAAACTCCAGAAATGGTTGAACAATTAGACACTGCCGTGATTACCCCAGCCATGCTAGAAGAGGAAGAACAGCTCGAAGCTGCTGGACTAGAAAGAGAGCGAAAGATGCTGGAAAAGGTAATTTAGGCATCAGGTTCTCCGTCGTGAAAGCCGGTGGTAACCTCGGCTTTAACCCGGAGGTGTGGTTTATGTTTTTTGCTTTCCTATTTAGTGGGCTTTTCATAAACTTGAATGAACACAGCTTTGTTACTTGTCATTTTGTATGTCTGCAGATACTGCCTTTGAGAAACCTTTCGCATGTGCTTTGGTGTATTTCTGTGAGATGTAGTCTCGGTAGTCCTATCTCTTTTAAGTGATCATTTCATATTGCATGTTTAGCCACGAGAAGTCGAAGTCGATATTGAGTTTTTTCCTTTGTCATCTTTATTTCCTTTAAAGATTACCTTAAATGTATGTCTGATGGCAAACACGAATCGCTAAAACCTGCAGAAGTAATGTACTAGACTGAGGGCAGGAGAAGTTAGCATCAATCAAAAGCTGGGCTGGAATCCAAGTCTAATGATTACCTTTTAGTGTAGTGCTGTTTTCCACCTAAGTGATCAACTTGCTGTTTGTTTTCCTTTTGGTTTCATGGCTTGTGTATTGCTGCATAAGATTCTTGAGCTAAAAATGTGGTGTACTTTTTTAATGACAAGTTGCTGTAGTTTTCTTGTAGAGAGTATTTTGTAGATAACTAAAAGCAGTTTTTAACCCGAAATATTCTTGTTTAAAGTTCCACCCTGCTGCTTGATTCATATGCAAGAAAAAGAATGATGGCTGACTCTTAATAGGTGGTTTTCTTGTGCTTTATTAATTTACTAAACTCTACCGATATTATGATAGAGGTCATTTTTTGATATCTCCATTTACAGATGAAGAAATTGAGGGAGAAGGGCACGCAGTAAGTGTTGACACCAAATTTGAACTTGGGCTGCCTCCAGAATTTCTGTTCTTATTAATATTGAATTAACTCATCATGATTATAAAACTACTTAAGTTGGAAAATAATGCACCCCCAAAATAATGCAGCCCAAAAGATAGAGACTATTTTCTATCAACAATAAGTTTTTTGTCAGCATTGTTAATACTTCATGAACATTTATTATGAGGCATGCATTGTTTTGAATGCTTTGTATGTATTTACTCATTGAATCCCTCAACTATTCTGTGAAGCAGATGCTCGTTATTACTATTACTGCTATCAGACTTACTAGTTTAAGTAAGACTTTTAAATAGACTTTTTTAGATTTTACAGATGAGGAAACTGAGGCACAGGGAGGTTGTTTGGGTGCTACAGTAAGTAAATGGCAGAACAAACATTCCATTGTAGGCCATGTAGTTCTAGAATGCACATTTTTAAACTACCGTGGTATACTTTCACTCCAGTAATACTTGTTCTGTTATTACTGATGATCTCTGGTTGACTATAACCAGTTAAAGTAATACATTAACAAATTTTCTTTAAGTCACACCGATACTTTTTGCTTCAGGGTAGATGTGAATTAATAGAATTGGAAGGTCTGACTTGAACTACCTTTTCTCATTCTTTGAATTTTCATAGTACTTTATTACACAGAATTTACCATGGTCAAATAAGTAATGAAAAATACTTCATATAACTTTTTGATTCTTTCTCACTTTGTTTCTTGAGGGTGTATCACTTCCTGTTTTGTTTTTGTAGTCTTTGCACCAGGTACATAGTAGGCAGTCAGTAAATGCTTATTGAATGGTTAACAATGATGAAATAGTATTTTGTAATATACAAGATTATGTACATATAATAAATATACTTATTAGGTATATAACAGGTGAATTGTAAAGTACAAATTCTGGGGCAAGTGCCCAGAATGGAATCAACTGAAGAGGTCTAAGAGGGATATGATAATTTTGTCTTGAGTAATGTATCTTCAGTTTTATCTTGTTTCTTCATATACTCATGATGAGTGTTGGGTAGGGAAATGCATTTAAAGAAAGATATGTCTGAGATATGACAATACATTTTCAGAAGGCATTATTAGTTCAAGGGAAGAAATACTTCACATTTATAATAAGTCAAATATGTAGTATTGTATGTATTTGCTGATGAGATAAACCAGGAGTCAAATGACCTGCTACTTTTAATGACATTTTTAAGCTTATGAACAAACATTTTGCAGTCAGTCCTAAATTTAATAGTTATGCATCATAGAACCTAAAGAGTAATTTTTAATCTATATTTAGTCCTTCCACTGAAAAAGTATATAGCTGTTTTCATGGCTGGACATGTTTCACACTTGTAATCCCAGCAGTTTGGAAAGGCCAAGGTGGGTGGATCACCTGAGGTCAGGAGTTTGAGACCAGCTTGGCCAATATGGTGAAACCCCGTCTCTACTGAAAATACAAAAATTAGCCATGCATGGTGGTGCATGCCTGTAGTCTCTGCATGCCGGGAGGCTGAGGCAGAAGAATTGCTTGAACTGCTGAGATAGCACCACTGCACTCCAGCTTGGGAGACAGAGCGAGAATCCCATTCAAAAAAAAATAAAGTATATAGCTGTTTTCAATCATGTAAGTGTGTATGTAATTCGCTAAAACATTGGTGTTGTGGTTCCGTGTTATTACATTGTCTTGTTATGTACAGATAAGGAAAGTTTTTGATTATTTTTTGCACTTGACCCTCCTAAAAAGCGATTGCCTAGGTGAGACTAGAAAATTCTAAGAAACGTTTTCAGAGTCTCTTCTTGTTTGAGATTAACAAACAAGTCTTTGGGGGCCAAAGAATTCACTATGCAAAGGTAGAGATTCCTTTTCTTTTGGGAGAATACAGTATTTATGGGCATGTATTTAGAAGTACTTAAGAGAGAAAGAGATAGCTTAAGTTCCTTAATTAAAAGCATTTATTTGGCTTTAGGAAATCCTAAGGGTCTTGAGGAACCTAGAAAATGACTTTGACATTCATTTGCTACAGTTATTTTCTTTGACTTTTCACATGCATTTTCCTTTAAAAGAAGTCATTGTTAGTCTAGGACATTTGAATACTGATAATAATACCGATAATGCCTGTGAAGTGGAGGAGGGGGAAAGGTTGGAGTCAGGAGATTGCTTGGAGAGGTGAAATGGTCATGTGTGTAGGCTTAAATAGAACTCCTCCCACCCCCCCAATAAAAAATCTGAGATTGGTTTTGGGAGAGATAATGGGGTAGATAATGAGGAATTTCTACCCTCAGTGTCCATTGGTATACTCATGCGCTGTAGTTACCCAGAGTTGTTTCCTGACAGGCACTTGGTGCTTTCAGTAGATGGAGTTGCAATTTACCATAATATAATAATGAAATTGATAAATCAAAGAAAAAACAATGATAGAAAGATTTTGAAATATAGAAGAGCAGGTTTAAGGATTAATCACTTTTATGGTGTTATTCTAATATTAATTGTATATTATTGTTCCATGATGGCATCTTAAAGGTTTAGTGATTTGTTGGTTTGTTTGTTTGTTTGTTTGTTTGTTTTTTTAAAGAAAAAAAATTTTTTCCCCAGGACCACCAGGCAAGTATTTAGTTATTTTAAAAATATATGCTGGCCAGGTGCGGTGCCTCATGCCTGTAATCCCAGAACTTTGGGAAGCTGAGGTGGGGCGGATCGCTTGAGCCCAGGAGTTAAGACTAGCCTGGGCAACATGGTGAAACCCCATCTATACGAAAAATAAAAAAATTAGCCGGCATGGTGGCACATGCCTGTAGTCCTAGCTACTCAAGAGGCTGAGGCAGGAGGATCTTCGCATGAGCCCGGGAGGCGCAGGTTGCATTGAGCCAAGATCTTACCACTGCACTCCAGCCTAGGTGGCAGAGCAAGACCCCATCTCAGAAAAAAGAAAAGTGCTAATTCTGTATAGGATTTAAGGTATCAACTATATCTAAGTTAAACCCACATTTATTTTAACTGAACTTAAATTTTAAAACTTAAAAATTTAAGAATCCATATATCATCTTAATAATTTTCATCTCCCTGTTTACAATATTCACCTCATCTTGCATATTGTAATCATAGTAATATATTGGTTATAGTAAAAGAAGTGCTGTTCTAAAAGAACTTAAAATTGAGTTCAAGATGTGAAGAATTGTCTGTATAGGTGCGATTATGGCTGATAGATATATTTTTTGACATTTAATTTTTCTGTAATGCATTACTTTTCTTAGGTTCCTTCTTAGAATCTTACTGTTGCCACTGATTTTGTAATACAGATATATTTTGAGGCTGGTGCAGTAGCTTATGCCTGTAATCCCAGCACTTTGGGAGACTGAGGTGGGTGGATTACGAGGTCAGGAGTTCAAGACTAGCCTGGCTAACACGATGAAACCCTGTCTCTACTAAAAATACAAAAAATTAGCTAGGTGAGGTGGCGGGTGATTGTAATCCTAGCTACTTGGGAGTCTGAGGCAGACAACTGCTTGAACCATGGAGGTGGAGGTTGTAGTGAGCCGAGATCATGCCACTGCACTCCAGCCTGGGCAACAAAGCGGGACTCCATCTCAAAAAAAAAGATACATTTTGAAAGAAGGCTACAGTGATGATGTAATATCTAGGAAAATATAAGCCAATATCAAATGATGTCTTAGAGATACTGACAAGCTGAAGCAGCAAAACTACCCAAGGGCTTGGGCATTATTTAGAGTGTAAAAATGAACTTATAGCTCCTATTTCAAACATGCTTTAAACTCTCAGCTACTTTCCTCTAAGTTTAAACCACCAATTACTGGGGAAAGGGGCAGTGAGATTTTATTGGTTGACTTTGTTTTTGTGTTTTCATTGATACTTGTTGAAAAGTAGGGGAATTGGTTTAGTTGAAAAAGCAAAATGCTAAAAATCTGCCACTAAACTCTTCAAGTCAACAGTTTGTCTAGACTGTATAAAACGAAAGGTAATGTACTACCTAATCTATAAAGGTCTTTTTAATTCTAAAGTTACTTAAGTGTGATTCTTAATGCTGTTGCTGAGGCCAGTGTTGCTTAATTCAGGAACTTCTACAGTAACTGGCAAAATTTGAATTCTGCTCTCATTTATCTATCCTTCAGACAGCTCAGATCTCATCCATTTCCTGAAGTCTGACTTCTCCAATTGTTGCAGTACGTGTTTGTTGATTTACTAGGCTGGATTGATGTTACAGAATTGGTGATCTTGGTTGGGCATGGTGGCACATGCCTTTAATCCTAGTACTTTGGGAGAACAGGGCAGACAAATCTCTTGAATTTAGGAGTCGAAGACCTGCTTGAGTAATATGGTGAAACTCTATCTCTATAAAAAAAAATACAAAAATTAACAGGGTGTGGTGGCGTCCGCCTGTAGTCCCAACTATTTGGGAGGCTGAGGTGGGAGGGTGGTTTGAGCATGGGATTTCGAGGCTGCAGTAACATACAGTTTCACCACTGCACTCCAGCCTAGGCAACAGCGTGAGGCCCTGCCTTAAAAAAAGGGGGGTGGGGGTGCTAATCTTGGCTAGATATCTGTTTTGATTGTTAGAATGAATTGTATTGGTAGTAGTTTTCTAAAATGTGATATCCAAATAAACCTCTTTATTAATCTCAAATAGGAAGAGACTCTGAAAACTTTTCTTAGAATTTTCCAGTCTCACCTAGGCAATCACTTTTTATGAGGGTCAAGTACAAAAAGTAATAAAAAATTTTCCTTACCTGTTCGTAACAAGACAGTGTAATAACACAGAACCACAACATCGGTGTTTTAGCCAATTACACACTTAATATTAAGATTGAAAACAGCTACTCTCATTCTATCACCCAGGCCGGAGTGCAGTGGCGTCATCTCCGCTCACTGCAGCCTCCGCCTCCTGGGTTCAAGCATTTCTATTGCCTTGGCCTCCTGAGTAGCTGAGACTACAGGCATGCACCATAATGCCTGGCTAATTTTTGTGTTTTCAGTAGAGATGGGGTTTCATCATGTTGGCCAGGCTGGTCTTGAACCCCTGGCTTCAAGTGGCCCTCCCACCTTGGCCTCTCAAAGTGCCGAGATTACAGGCGTGAACCACTGTGCTCGGCCTTCAAATGTTTTTTAATGGACCTTCCAACTCAGTAGATGCCGGAAATCAAAATCATGTGTTCAGTATTTGAAATTACAATATTTTGATATTTAAACTACATCTACCAGATTACCTGTTGAACCCAAGAACTGTTTTTTTTTTTTTTTTTTCAGTTATTTGTTCTAGTTTTTGGTTTGAAAAAGTATTTGTTTGGTTTGAAAAATGTTCTTTTAGCCATTTTTATTAAACTTTATGCCAAAAAAATTAACATATGTCTGAAAGTATTAGTAATTATGGAAATTTTCTCTTGGGATAGGCTCGCATGTCTTGGGATAGAGAGTCGACAGAAATTCGGTACCGTCGACTTCAACATTTGCTTGAAAAAAGCAATATCTACTCCAAATTTTTATTGACGAAAATGGAACAGCAACAATTAGAGGTATGTATGTATATGTAACTGACTATAAGTGAAGGCTTAAAAAAATTTTTTTTAATAGCTTTATTGGCCAGGTGAGGTGGTTCATGCCTGTAATCCCAGCATTTTGGGAGCCTGAGGCGGGTGGACTACCTGAGTTTGGGAGTTCAAGACAAGCCTGACCAACATGGAGAAACCCTGTCTCTAGTTAAAAAAAAACAAAATTAGCCAGGCGTGGTTGTGCATGCCTGTAATCCCAGCTACTTGTGAGGCTGAGGCAGGTGAATCTCTTGAACCTGGGAGGCAGAGGTTGCAGTGAGCTGAGATCAAGATTGCGCTGTTGTACTCTAGCCTAGGCAAAAGAGCAAAACTCTGTCTCAAACAAACAAAAATAGCTTTATTGACGTGTACATTATATACAATAAAATGTACGGATTTTAAGTTTATAGTTTGCTGAGTTTGACTAGTAAACATATAGACCTGTGTAACCACCAGCACAATCAAGCCACAGTGCATTTCCATGAACTCCAAAAAGTTGTTTTGTGCTGGCAGTGATGCCCATGGCTGGTGTCCAGCAACCACTGATCTGTTTTATGTCACTATAGACCATTATTGTTTTTCCCTGGAAAATTCTATAAATTAAATCATAGTATTGTGCTATTGTGAGTAAATAGTTGGTGTTCATCACATTTCCTGGTATACAACTCTTGAAATCCCTGGAATCTTCAAAATAATAGTGGCTTTTTTAATGCTAATGATCGATGGCTTAGGTACTAGAAAGCCTGGATTAGAGGGTTAGAATTTAGCCTCACCCTCAATCTTGAGGAAAAGAAGAGAGACTAATCATCATGCCTGTGTTATGAAGCCTTCATTAAAAACCCAGAAGGGCTGGATGTGGCTCATGCCTCTAACCCCAGCACTTTGGGAGACCTAGGTAGGCAGATTGCTTGAGCCCGGAAGTTTGAGACCAGCCTGGACAACATGGCAAAATTCTATCTATACCAAAAATAGGAAAATAAGCTAGGTGAGGTGGCATGTTCCTGTAGTCCCAGCTACTTGGGAGGCTGAGGCAGGAGGATTGCTTGAGCCTAGGAGATTGAGGCTGCGGTGAACCATGATAGCACCACTGCACTCTAGTCTGGGTGACAGAGCAAGACCCTGTCTCAAAAATAAAGCAGGCTGGGCTCAGTGTCTCATGCCTGTAATCCCAGCACTTTGGAAGGCCAAGACGGGCAGATCACTTGAGCCCAGGAGTTTGACACCAGGATGAGCAACATGGTGAAAACCCATCTCTATCAAAAATATAAAAGTTAGCCAGGCCCCCAGGTACTTGGGAGGCTGAGGCAGAAGGATCACTTGAACCTAGGGGAATCACTTGAACTCAGGAGGCGGAGGTTGCAGTGAGCCGAGATCACACCACTGAACTTCTAACCTGGGCAGCCAAGTGAGACTGTGTCTCAAAAATTAAAATAAATAAAAATAAAACAACCCAAAAGGACAGGGTTTGGAGAACTCCTGGAGAGCTGAACACGTGGAGGTTCCTGGAGAGGGTGGTGCACCCAGAAAGGGCACGGAAGCTCTGCGCTTCTTCTGCACATCTCTTCCTCTTGTGTTCATCTGAATCCTTTGTAATATTTTTATTTTTTTGAGACAGAATCTTTCTCTGTTGCCCAGGCTTAAGTGTAGTGCACCATCTCAGCTGCAATCTCCGACTACTCAGTTCAAGCATTCCTTCCACCTCGGCCTCCCCAGTAGCTGGGACTGCAGGAGCACACCATTATGTCTGTCTTATTTTTGTATTTTTTGTAGAGACACAGTTTTGCCATGTTGCCGAGGCTTGTCTGGAACTCCTGAGCTCAGGTGATCCACCTATCCTGGCCTCATAAAGTTCAGGTGTGAGCCACTGCCCCCAGACTGTCATATTCTTTATAATAAACCAGTAAACATTAATGTTTCTTTGAGTTCTGTGAGCTCCTCTAGCAAATTAGTCAAACCCAAAGAGGGGCTTGTCAGAACCCTGATTTATAGCTATTCAGTCAGAAGTACAGGTAAAACAACTTGGGCCTTGTGATTGGCATCTGAAATTGGTAGGGAAATTCTTGGTGACTGAACCCTCAACCTGTGGCATATGAGTCTATTACCCGGTACATAGTGTGTGTCAGAATTGAATTCCAGTAGAGGACACCCTGCTGGTTCACTGCAGATAAGCTTGTTGGGTATACAGGGAAAACCCCCACACATTGGGTCACAGAAGTCTTTTGTGTTGATTGTTGAGTATGTAGGGAGAAACTGAGTTTGTTTTTTTCTCAATATTCTTTCAGATATGCATTCTTTGTCTTGTTACTTTTGCTCAGCATATTTTTGAGATTTACTCATGTTGTGTCTTAGTGGGTCGTTCTTTGTATTCCTGAGAAGGATTCCATTTTTAAAATATCACTATTGGGGTGTAATTGACATACACTAAACTGCACATATTTAAACTGTACAATTCCCTAAGTTTTGTTAATATGGATATACTTGTGAAGCCATAATAATCATGATAGTGAACATACCCACTGATTCCAAAGAATTCTTTCTGCTCATGTATTTCTTCTCCCTCATCCGTACCCCATGTTCTATCCACAGATAGCCAGTTGCTCTGTTTTCTGTTACTATAGATTCATTTGCATTTTCTGTTGGTGCTGGGTTCTTTTAGCTTTCATTGAGTGTCTTCACTTTCATTTTTGAAATAGATTTTTACTGGGCGAAGAATTTTTTTCTTCATTACTTTATTTCTTGGAGTACTTTAAAGATGTTACACTATCTCCTAGCTTATGTTGTTTCTGAAAAGTGAAAGTCCTGATAATATCTATATGTCTGCAAGCAATTTGACTGCCTTTCTCAATCCCATTACCATTCATACCTCCTCCTGTCTTTTGTGGTTGCTATTTTCTGCCTGGAACCTTCTTCCTTTAAATAACTGCATGGCTTAACTTCATCTTTGAGCTTTTACTGAAACGGTTTCTAGATGAGACCTGCTCTCACAATTTTAAGAAAGTTGCTAACACACTTGATTCTCTTTACCTTGTTCTTTTCTTGCCATTGCACTTTTCATCTGATGTACATCATTTATTGTATTTATTTATTTATTTATTTTGAGACGGAGTTTCCCTCTTGTTACCCAGGCTGGAGTGCAATGGCCCGATCTCGGCTCACCGCAACCTCCGCCTCCTGGGTTCAGGCAATTCTCCTGCCTCAGCCCCCCAAGTAGCTGAGATTACAGGCACGCGCCACCATGCCCAGCTAATTTTTTGTATTTTTAGTAGAGACGGGGTTTCACCATGTTGACAGGATGGTCTCGATCTCTTGACCTCGTGATCCACCCGCCTCGGCCTCCCAAAGTGCTGGGATTACAGGCTTGAGCCACCGCGCCCAGCTTATTGTATTTATTGTTTGTCTTTCCACTACACTGTTATGAAGATTTAAAAATTTTGTGCAAGTTGAGAGAATACAGTAAGTCCCTGTGTCCCCGTCACCCACATTTAACAATTATCAATGGAAATTTTGCTGTTTGTCAAATCTCCTTTTTTCTTTGTTTGAAACCCTTTTATTTTTTATGGTAAAATAAGACACGGAAGAACAAATACTCAATGAGTTACATAGCATCTACCCCTTTCACCACCTCTTGGAAATGGTTTGAATATTTTGGTGTCTTAAAAATTTGTGAGGGTATGTCTAGAATAGCTTTTAGTCTAGGAATAAGTGGATCTCTTTTCTGAGCACTCTACTTGATTAATGCCCTGTATATTAAGAGGACTTTCTACTTTGGCTGAGAGAATGTGAGGTATACCGTATTATGCCTGACCCCCTTGGAACAAGAGAGGTTCCACCTGCTTCTTTCTGGTGACTCTTCTGGTCTTGGTTACCATGCACTTATTAGTACTCAGCCTGAGAAGGACATAACAGCTGGCTTTGTGCATCTTTGTCCTCTCTGGTACTTGACCCTGGGAATGCTACTGCTCTTAAGTTTTGGATTCTGTCTCCTCAACACAAAGAGACTGTTGGGCTCTGTTTGGATTTTTCTCCATTACTTGTACTTTAAAATGGTGTCAGGAAGTAAGCTGGGCAGTCAGAAGATTAACCTTGTTTCCCTTGTGTCAGTGTTTACAGTCCTTTACTGCATGTTGCTTGAAGACCATTGTGTAATAAATGTTATCTGGATTTTAGTTGTTTAAGGCAGGAGGATAAATCTGTCCCATTACTCCACAAAGACAAGTTCCTCCCTGTTTTTTTATTATGATAGACCTTAGTTTCTTCATTGTAAACATAAGTTATTTGGGAATTAATATGCGTGTGTGTTTTTTTCATGTTGCAATTCCCACTTGTGACATAAGAAAAATTTATCTTACAGGAACAGAAGAAGAAAGAAAAATTGGAGAGAAAAAAGGAGTCTTTAAAAGTTAAAAAGGTAATATAGCCAGCCAGAATATTTTTATGTCATTTAAATATTGAAGACATACTTTTGTATTCTTCTGACTTTTTTGTTTGTCTGTTTAATTTTACCTTAATTGAGTGATAAACCTAACTTTGATACAAGCAATGCAGAAACATGTAAAATCTATTCCTCACTATTTAAGAAATGGAGAAAGAGCCAAAGTATGATCCTTTAGTTTTCTTATTCCATGGATTATTTTGGATGATGGCACAGTTTGGCTTGCTTAATTGGAAAGAATCTGCAAATTTAAACTTCAAGGCATTTTATAAGTAGCCATTTTATTTGGAGTACATAATGAAGTTGTGCTAGTTAAAAGAGAAATAATAAAGGTTACATTTATTGAGTACTTATTGTGTCAGGTGTGCTATCATGTCTTCTCTTAGAACAGTTCTTGTTAGGTAAAGGTACTGTTTTTTCCCCCATTTTACATAAATAGAGGCTGACACAAGAAGATAAAGAACATCATTCCTCGTTATTCATGGATTGTATATTTGTGAATTCACCTACTCACTTAAATTTATTTGTAACCCCAAAGTCAAGATTCCTGACACCATCATGAACGTTTACATACACGCTTATGTGCAGAGAAGCAAAAAATTGTAGTCTACCAATGCTGAGCTCAAACATGGGCTGCTGTGCTTTGTTTCAGTTACCATATGTATGTCAAGCATATGTCCTTTTCATGGTCTTTATTTAGCATCATTATTTTTGCATTTTTTCTGGTTTTACCTGGTGATTTTGCTGTTAAAATGGCCCTCAACTGTTGTAGTCCTGTCTAGTGTTTCTAAGTACAAACAAGCTGTGATGTGCCTTATGGAGAAAGTGTGTCTTGGGTAAGCTTCATTTAGGCATGAGGTACAGTGCTGTTGGCCCTGAGTTCAATATTAATCAACATATATATTAAATAAGATATCTTTAAAAACAGAAACACAAATAAAACAGGGTTATATATTGTTTGCTTGAAAATATCATAACCAGAGTCAGACTCAAGCTTGTATTTTTCCTAGGGGCAGTGAGTCAGTATTGTCATAGTGATTTTATTGAACCACAAGTACTGCAGATTGTGAGAGCTGATGCTAACTTGATGAAAATCGTGGATTTGAACCCAGAATTAGTTTAAGAGCTTCCACTTAGTTTCTGTGCTCAACTGCCTTTAATAGGAAATATCAAAATGCCAATAGGCAGAATAACTAGGGTAGTTTTTAAGTCCAGTATTTGATTCTTAGGCTAGTTAATGGTGATGTTAGAATGCCTGATAAAGTATTTTACAGACTATTTTGCAACAAAACCCATTATTTAAAACTGGTAATTCTGCTAGGCATGGTGGCTCATGCCTGTAATACTTTGGGAAGCTGAGGCATGTGGATTCCTTGAGGCCAGGAGTTTGAGACCAGCCTGGTCAACATGATGAGACCCTATCTCTGCTAAAAATACAAAAATTAGCTGGGTGTGGTGGTGTGTGCCCGTAGTCCCAGCTACTTGAGAGGCTGAGGTGTGGGTGTCACTTGAACACGGGAGGTGGAGGTTGCAGTGAGCCGAGATTGCGTCACTGCACTCTAGTCTGGGCGACAGAGGGAGACTCTGTTCCTAAATAAATAAATAAATAAAACTGGTAATACTGAGTCTACTGGGAGAGAGTATTAAAACAAACAAAAAAAAAGAAATGGGCCCGGTGCGGTGACTCATGCCTGTAATCCCAGCACTTTGGGAGGCCAGGGCAGGCGGATCACCTGAGGTCAAGAGTTTGAGACCAACCTGCCCATCATGGTGAAACCCTGTCTCCATTAAAAATACAAAAATTAACCAGGCGTGTTGGCAGGTCTCTAATCCTAGCTACTCTGGAGACTGATGCAGGAAAATCGCTTGAACCTGGGAGGTGGAGGTTGCAGTGAGCTGAGTTCATGGTATTAGACTGTACCCTGGGCGACAGAGCAAGACTGTTTTAAAAAAAAAAAAACAAAAACAGCCTGCTGATACTTAATTCATTTGCTAGCTCCAGAGACTTACCTAGGGCTTTTAAGATTATTATTTTCTTACAGAGAGGGCTTCACTATGTTGCCCAGGCTGGTCTCAAACTCCTGGGCTCAGGCTATCCTCCCCCACCCCCACCCTCACCCGTACCCCTGCCTTGGCCTCCCAAAGTGCTGGGATTACAGATGTGACCTAGCACACCTGGTCTTTCCAAGGGCTTGAAGAACATGTTTTTATTTATACAATAATTTTATTGGCGTAGTCATTTCTTCTCTGCTCTTTAACCTGTTAAATTAATATACACAATATATCCTTCACTTAGTTTCACCTAACCTTTTTTTTTTTTTTGAGGTGAAGTCTCGCTCTTGTTCCCCAGGCTGAGCGCAATGGCTTGATCTTGGCTCACTGCAACCTCTGCCTCCCAGGTTCAAGCGATTCTCCTGCCTCAGCCTCTCAAGTAGCTGGGATTACTGGTGCTCGCCTCTATGCCTGGCTAATTTTTGTATTTTTAGTAGAGACGGGGTTTCACCATGTTGGCCAGGCTGGTCTTGAACTCCTGATCACAGGTGATCTACCCACGTTGGCCTCCCAAAGTGCTGGGATTACAGGTGTGAACCACCTTGCCTGGCCAGTTCCACCTAGCTTTTTATACCAGGGTTTTGATTCTTTTCCCCCTCTGCATCTTTCCTAAAGATGTCAGCTATTAAATTCTGCCTACTCTAATCGCATCAGTTCTTTTCCAGTATTTTCTTGTTTAATCTTCAGACTTTGTAACTTAATTTTAAAATTCATTATATATATTTTTGTCATTTTGATTTAGCACACATGTTGTTCGCGTATTCTTGATATAATACTTTCCCAACTCTTATTTTGAAACTTAAAAATTTTTTTTTAGAGGTGTTGTCTCACTAGCCCAGCCTAGAGTTCACTAGCACTGTAGTAGCTCACAGTGGCTTTGAACTCCTGGGCTCAAGCCATCTTTCTAACTCAGCCTCCCGAGTATCTGAGACTACAGGTGCATACCACCGTGCTCAGCTAATTTTTAAATTTTTTTTATAGAGTGGGTGTCTTGCTTTTTTGCTCAAGCTGGTCTTGCGCTCCTGGCTTCAAGCAGTCCTACTACCTAGTCCTCCTAAAGTGCTGGGATTATAAGTGTGAGCCACTGCACCTGGCCAGAAACTTTTTTTAACATCTCATTTCCCTTGCCTTCCTTACTAATAATTTTCTGTTAGTATTCTCTTTTGTTTCTACTTTGAGTTGTAGTTAATGTATGAATTTCATTCACAGTGAATATTCCTTCAATACTCAACCTATTGAATATCTTAGCATGATGTACAGTTAAAGGTGTACTAGGTGTTTTGTTTTGTTTTGTTTTGTTTTGAGATGGAAGTGTCACTCCGTTGCCAGGCTGGAGTGCAGTGGCACAATCTTGGCTCACTGCAACCTCTGCTTCCTGGGTTCAAGTGATACCCCTGCCTTAGCCTCCCAAGTAGCTGGGACTGCAGGTGCTTGCCACCATGCCCGGCTGATTTTTTTTTATTTTAGTAGTGACAGGACTTCATCGTGTTGGCCAGGATGGTCTTGATCTCCTGACCTTGTGATCCACCTACCTTGGCCTCTCAAAGTGCTGGGATTACAGGCGTGAGCCACTGCGCTCAGCCAGATGTACATGGGATTTCTAAATAAAAATGCCAACTATGGGCTGGACGCAGTGGCTCACGCCTATAATCCCAGCACTTTGGGAGGCTTAGGTGGGCGCATCACCTGATGTTAGGAGCTTGAGATCAGCCTGGCCAACATGGTGAAACCCCATCTCTACTAAAAATATAAAAATTAGCCAGGTGTAGTGGTGAGTGCCTGTAGTCCCAGCTACTCGGGCGGCTGAGGCGGGGGAATCGCTTGAACCCAGGAGGCGGAGGTTGCAGTGAGCCGAGATCGTGCCGTTGCACTTTAGCCTGGGTGACAAGAGTGAAACTCCAAAAAAAAAACAAACAAATTGCCAACTATGTTTAATTTTGAAATTTCTTTTCTAAATGGAAAAAATAATTGACGGAAGTAGAGCACTTGGAAAAAAGCAGAAATTATGAACAAGTTGTAGGGAAATACAGAAAAAGATTACATGCATGTAAGTATAATAGTGAAAAACGGATGTGGCTTAACTAAGAAACTTTTTTCTCAAGTTAATCAGTGCCTTTTAACGTATAATACCATAACGGTCCTTAGTAAAAGCAATATTCTGAATCCTTGTTTTGTAGGGTAAAAATTCAATTGACACAAGTGAAGAGAAGCCAGGTAAATATCCTTATATCCTTATTGCAGTTTTGAAGAATACTTGTTTATATTTCTATTTTAATTGCTATTAAAAAACAAAATATTCTTTTTTTATAGTCATGAGAAAGAAAAGAGGAAGAGAGGATGAATCATACAATATTTCAGAGGTCATGTCAAAAGAGGTAAAAATAAAAGGGAGAGGGCACCTAACATTTGATGTTGAGTAAAATGTAGGTTTTGAATCACCTTAAAGCTGTAAGAATTGAATATTCTATATCACATCAAATATGTTTTTAATTTAATATTATGTGTCTTTTTTTTTTTTTTTTTTGAGACGGAGTTTTGCTCTTGTTACCCAGGCTGGAGTGCAATGGCGTGGTCTCGGCTCACCGCAACCTCCACCTCCTGGGTTCAGGCAGTTCTCCTGCCTCAGCCTCCTGAGTAGCTGGGATTGCAGGCACGTGCCACCATGCCCAGCTAATTTTTTTTTGTATTTTTAGTAGAGACAGGGTTTCACCATGTTGACCAGGATGGTCTCGATCTCTTGACCTCGTGATCCACCTACCTCGGCCTCCCAAAGTGCTGGGATTACAGGCGTGAGCCACCGTGCCCGGCCCTAATATTATGTATCATTTATAGGTGAAGCTGCCAAAATGTTTGAAGCTGTCTACCAACGTTTGGTAGACTTAAGACTAATCTGAAACTAATGTCATCTGACCTTCATAGACTTTTCTTTTTTTGTTGAAATGGAGCTCTGTGGTGGCCCATGCTGGGACACAGTCTCGGCTCACCGCAGTCTCCATTTTCTGAGTTCAAGCGATTCTCCTGCTTCTGCCTCCCGAGTAGCTGTGATTACAGGTGCCCACCACCCTGCCCAGCTCATTTTTTTATTTTTAGTAGAGATAGGGTTTCATCGTGTTGGCCAGGCTGGTCTGGAACACCTGACCTCAGGTGATCTGCCCACCTCAGTCTCCCAAAGTCCTGGGATTGCAGATGTGAGCCACCACTCCCATCCTTTTATTTTTTAAGTGGCTAATAGGCTTATACCTTTAGGTTGTTCTGGTTTTTTTTCCTTTCTTTTCTTCCTTCCTGCCTTTCTATCTTCCTTTTCCTTTCTTCTTTTCTTTCTTTTTTTAAGACAGGGCATCACTCTGACTCAGGCTGTAGTACAGTGGCACAGTCGCAGCTCACCTCAGCTTCCACCTCATAGGCTCAAGTGATCTACCTCAGCTCCCTGAGTAGCTGGGACTACAGGTGTGTGACACCATGTACAGCTGGCTAATTTTTAAATTTTTTATAGCGATGAGGTCTCATGTTGCCTAGGCTACTCTTGAACTCCTGGATTCAAACAATCCTCTTGTGTCAGCCTCCCTGAGAATACAGGTGTGAGCCAGTGTGTCCTGCCTTATGCTGGTTTTCTTATTTGGGTTATTTTTTTTTTTTGAGACGGAGTTTCACTCTTATTACCCAGGCTGGAGTGCAATGGCGCGATCTCGGCTCACCACAACCTCCGCCTCCTGAGTTCAGGCAATTCTCCTGCCTCAACCTCCTGAGCAGCTGGGATTACAGGCACGCGCCACCATGCCCAGCTAATGTTTTGTATTTTTAGTAGAGACGGAGTTTCACCATGTTGACCAGGATGGTCTCTATCTCTTGACCTTGTGATCCACCCGCCTCGGCCTCCCAAAGTGCCAGGATTATAGGCGTGAGCCACTGCGCCCGGCCTTATTTGGGTTATACTAACAGTAATAGCTCTGACTACCAGTTATCTTGTGCTTAAGTACCTGGTGGACTTATATAGCATTTTGCCAGGAACTGTGGAAACAACAGGTGTGGAAATAGAGCTTAAAATTACATCTAATAGCTGGGTGTAGTGGCTCATGCCTGTAATCCCAGCACTTTGGGAGGCTGAGGTGGGTGGATCATGAGGTCAGGGGTTCAAGAGCACCCTGACCAACATGGTGAAACCCCATCTCTACTTAAAAATACAAAAATTAGCCAGGCGTGGTGGTGCACACCTATAATCCCAGCTACTTGGGAGGCTAAGGTAGGAGAATCGCTTAAACCTGGGAGGCAGAGGAGGTTTCGGTGAGCTGAGAGCTCACTATTGCACTCTAGCTTGGATGACAGCGAGACTCCCATTTCAAAAAAAAAAAAAAAAAATACATGTAATATGTTGCGGAGAGGTTGGGGGAAAGGGTGGGGTAGTAGACACTATCTGACTAGAGCAGAGAGGTGTTTCAGGGAAGAAGATGGTCTCCCAAAGGACCATCTCCCAAAGGAGTTAACAGCTGTTAAAGGAGTGTGAATTTGGCCTAGTCAGAAATTATTACTATAATTTAAGTTTTTGTAACCCCTAACCTTGTCTTAAGAACTTTATTCTTTTTCCTTGTTGAAGACTTTTACAAAACTGAAATCATATGCTCATTTCTGAAACCAGATTCTTTTCTTCTTTTCTCACTTTTTACATCAAAATATGAATGAATTAGAGCATCTTCAGTTCTGACAAACCTTAAATGTTTCTTAGCATGTTTTTAATGTGTCACATTCTTACTTGTTTTTCCTTGAAGACAGTCTCCCTCTGTACTCCAGGCTGTAGGGCAGTAGTGTGATCTAGGCTTACTGCTGCAACCTCTCCTCCCAGGTTTAAGCGATTCTTATGCCTCAGCCTCCGAGAAGTTGCCTACCACTACACCCAGCTAATTTTTTGTATTTTTAGTAGAGATGGGGTTTTGCCATGTTGGCCAGGATAGTCTTTAACTCCTGCCCTCAGGTGATCCTCCTGCCTTGGTCTCCCAAAGTACTGGGATTACAGGCATGAGGCACCATGGCTGACCACATTCTTATATTTAAAAAAAAAGCACAGCTATATTGTCTACTGTTGTTCTTTTACCTGAAGTTCAAACTCTTTAGATCTTCATAAGAAAATTTTATATAATACCTTTCCTTTTCTCTAGGGATGCAGTGATAGTTTTTCATTTAAAAATAAGTCAAGGGACCAAGTGCTGTGGCTCACACCTGTAATCTCAAAACATTGGGAGGCTGAGACGTGTTGGTCACATGAGGCCAGGAGTTTGAAACCAGTCTGGCCACCGTGGTGAAACCTCGTCTCTACTAAAAATACAAAAGTCAGCTGGGTGCGGTGGTATGCATCTGTAGTCCCAGCTACTCAGGAGGCTGAGGCAGGAAGATTGCTAGAACCTAGGAGTCGGAGGTTGCAGTGAGCTGAGTTCAAGCCACTGCACTCCAGCCTGGGCAATAGAGCAAGACACTGTCTCAAAAAAAAAAGTCAAGGCCCACTAAAATTGATTATGGTATCTACTCAACTTGCAGTTTAAAAAACACTTTTAGGCTGGGCACAGTGGCTCACTCTAATCCCAGCATCATAGGGAGGCTGAGGCTGGTGGATCTCCTGAAGTCAGGAGTTAATTGACTTCCATAATCCTAGTCAAGCTCTCATTTATTGTCAAAAGTACCAGATTGGCTTTTCTGAAAAACAAATTTAATTACTGTTACCCTCTATTACTTTTTATGGTTTCACAAGGAATTGTATTTTCTTAATGAAAAATGTGAAAATAAACAAAATATAAGAAAATCACCTGAAAAGCTGTCACACAGATAATCACTAACATTTTGGTATAATGTATATATTTTTTATTTGTGTTATGGAAAATCTCAAAAATTACAAATGTATAGGGGATAGTAAATTGATTGTCCGCCTTTATTAGTTTTTAATTCTGGGATATTTTGAGAAAAATCTCAGCAAGACTATTTTTTAGAATCATAACCATAATAGTTATACTTTTGAAAGTTGATAGTAATTCCTTAGTATTTAAATTTCTCAGTAGGCTAATTTTTATTTTTAGGGATGGGGGTCTCACTGTATTGCCGAGACTGGAGTGCAGTGGCTATTTCCGGGTATGGTCATAGTGACCACAGCATCAAACACCAAGGCTCAAGTAATTCTCCTGCCTCAGTGTCCTCAGTAGCAGTCCAGGGACTATAGGCACTTCCCACTGAGATCTGCTTAGCTGAAAGATTTAAAAAAAAAATAGTTCAAATCAGGATCCAAAAAAGTTCTATAAATTGCATTTGACTAATGTGTAAATGTGTATCTTGGCTCTCTTTTACATCTACAGTGTCTCTCATCTTTTTTTTTTTTTTTTTGTGATGAATCCTCACCAGGCTGAGTGCAGTGGTGCCATCTCGGCTAACTGCAACCTCCGCCTCCCAGGTTCAAGTGATTCTCTGCTTCAGCCTCCTGAGTAGCTGGGATTACACGCGTGTGCCACCACTCCCGGCCAACTTTTTGTACTTTTAGTAGAGACGGGGGGATTTCACCATCTTAGCCAGGATGGTCTTGATTTCCTGACCTCGTGATCTGGCTGCCTCGGCCTGCAAAAGTGCTGATATTACAAGTGTGAGCCACTGCTCCTGGCCATTTCTAATCTTATTTAAAAACATTATTTGTTGAAGGAAACAAGTAATTCTGTATCCCCACATTCTAGACTTTGCTGATTGTATCCCCATGATTTCTTTGCCTCTTGTGTTTCCTGTCAAGTGTAAGTTAACTATAGTAACTATAAGTTAAATATAGAAGTTTGCGATTGAGGGTTTTTTTTTATTTTTATTTTTTTTGAAACAGTGTCTTGCTCTGTTGCCCAGGCTGGAGTGCAGTAGCACCGTCTTGGCTCATTGCAACCTCTGCCTCCTGGGCACAGGCAATCCTCCCCCCTCATCCTCCTGAGTAGGTGGGACTATAGGCATGTACCACCAAGCCCAGCTAACTTTTATATTTTTTTGTAGAGATGGGGGTCTCACCATGTTGTCCATGCTTGATAATTTTAATAAGAATGCTTCAGGCCGGGCGCAGTGGCTAAAGCCTGTAATCCCAGCACTTTGGGAGGCCGAGGCGGGTGGATCACGAGGTCAAGAGATCGAGACCATCCTGGTCAACATGGTGAAACCCCGTCTCTACTAAAAACACAAAAAATTAGCTGGGCATGGTGGTGTGTGCTTGTAATCCCAGCTACTCCTGGAGGCTGAGGCAGGAGAATTGCCTGAACCCAGGAGGCGGAGGTTGTGGTGAGCCGAGATCGCGCCATTGCACTCCAGCCTGGGTAACAAGAGCGAAACTCCGTCTCAGAAAAAAAAAAAAAAAAAAAAAAAGAATGCGTCATTCGTGGTATTTATAAATTTTGATTTATCTCCAAATTGTTCTCCCAAGAGTTTCAGTTTATGTGGTCATTTTACAGGACAGCTTTTATCAGTTCTTGGTATAAGATCCTTTAACCTCAGACTTAGTATATGAATATCTGTACATGCATAATATTTCATACACATGATATATACATATTTCCATATATATGTATGTGTGTGTTAGCCACTTAAACATGTCCTGTTACTCTTATATGAATCTTAAATTTGATAATGCTCTTTTGAATCTATTTCATCCCCTATGTCTTCTGTATTCTCCCTGCTTATAATCTACCCTCACTATCGTGAACTATGAAGCCTGGTGACAACTTTTTAGACAATTTTATGTAAGATAATTATTTGCTAAGTCACCCAGTGACAACACTCAGGTATTGTTTGTCTCCCTGCCATTAGTGTATAGTAGGTACTTCAAAATCAGAACACTTTATTCTGTATTTTTAATGTATTTGTCTTTGCTTCCTACCCAGGAATGCAAACTCAGATTTCTGTCCACAGAGTCCTAAAGTGGGCTGTAACATGGTTTGGCAGACTTTTTCTGTAAATAGCCAGATAGTAAATATTTTAAGCTTTTGAGTAGGTTTTTTTTTGTTGTTGTTTGTTTTTTTGAGACTGAGTCTCAGTCTGTTGCCCAGGCTGGAGTGGAATGGCGGGATCTCGTCTCATTGCAACCTCCGCCTCCTGGGTTCAAGCTATTCTTCTGCCTCAGCGTCCCAAGTAACTGGGACTACAGGGACGTGCCACCACCCCCAGCTAATTTTTGTATTTTTATTAGAGATGGGTTTCACCATATTGGCCAGGTTGGTCTCAAACTCCTGACCTTGTGATCTGCCAGCCTCAGCATCCCAAAGCGCTGGGATTACAGGTGTAAGCCACTGTGGCCGGCCTCTTTTGAGTAGTAGTTGTTTTTTTTTTTTTTTTTTTTTTTCTTGAGACAGAGTCTCACTCTGTTACCCAGGCTGGAGTGCAGTGGCGCAATCTTGACTCACTGCAACCTCCACCTCCTGGGTTCAAGCAATTCTTCTGCCTCAGCTTCCTGAGTAGCTGGGATTACAGGTGTGCGACACCACGCCTGGCTAATTTTTGTATTTTGTAGATGGGGTTTCACCATGTTGTTCAGGCTGGTTTCGAACTGCTGACCTTATGATCCACCTGCCTTGGCCTCCCAAAGTGCTGGGATTACAGGTGTGAGCCACCACACCCGGTCTTCTTTTGAGTAGTTTTGTGGGCAACTACTCAACCCTATATATGCTCTGCTATTGTTGCTTGAAAGCAGACACAGACAAACTGTAAACAAGTGAGGCTTTTTCTAGTTTATCCCCTTTCTTTGCTTTGAAAAAAAAAAAACCTAAGTATTTGCTTAGCTGGAGTTGGTCTACAGGCTGTAGACCCCAGGACTGGAGGTTTGTTGCCATGTGTGAATTTGTACTCAATCTACTCAGATTAAAAGAAAAAAAAAAGCTGGAAAATTACGGTATTTGATGAAATATCCCATTGTATAAGTGTTGCCAAATTAGCTTAGAATGTTATAAAATATTATGAGCCAGTTATGTCTATAGGCTTATTTCTGCGTGAAAGCCCGTAGTTTTTGATCTCTGTATTTTAATTATATTGAGAATCTCATCCTTATTTCCTATTTCCTGGCAAAATGAGCACAGAATAAATGCTTGTTGAATAAATAAATAAATGAACTGCTTACATTATTAATTTGTTTTTGTTTTCTCAATCTACTAGGAAATTTTGTCTGTGGTTAAAAAAAATAAAAAGAATGAGGTAAGATTTTTAATATAAAATTAAATTTAGGAGTCATTTACTCCCCAGTCACTAGTCCTTTTTCTTTAATTACCAGTGTCCATTTTTCTCACTATCCCATTTCTTTGCTTTAAAAAAAAAAAACCTATGTATTCACCTCTTCCATATCCTAACATTCTTCTTTCTTATTTATCAACTTTAGTTATGTGTTTTATTGCTGATTCTTGATGTGTAAATGTTAATTTATGGGTCTAGCAATGTGCTTTTATCTTCTGAGTCTGGCAGTGATGCAAGTGCTTGTAACACCATGTGGGTATAAACGGTGAGCCATCTTACGGAACCTGTGGGGAATGCCTTAATCTTGCTTCTGACCTTAAAGAGTTTTTTAAGTTTCTTAAAAGTTCTGTTTGAGGTCTTGATTTTCGAGCCAACTCTTCGCTTACCCTCATTTTATTTAGAGAGGTTCTTTGTTATCTGATTTTTTTTTTTATGGCTCAAGTCCTTAAAATTACAAGGTTGCATAGGGAAGCAAAATAATCATGACATGAAAATATTCATGAATGGATACGAACTTCAAGTAGTTAATTTACATATCAAAGTTTTTTAGGGCTTTGGGAAGTTAATGTTATGTTTATAAAATGAGGGATACTCTGGTCATCATATAATTTTGTCCAAAATTTATCCTGTAAGCGTCTTGATTTTTATTCTTTTTTAAGTGTAAGAACTGGTTTATGATTGCAGTTATAACCTGCTAGTATAAATATAAGATCAAGGTCATTTTTATAACATTGAGTTAGATTTTTACAGAAAAAGTCTCAATGTAATGTACTGTAATTTACTATGGAATTTTGGCCTCATTTTATAACTTAGAGTCAGTAAGTAAGAAAAAGAAACAGTTCTTTTTTTTTTTCTTTTTTTTTTTCTTTGAGATGGAGTCTCTGTCACCCAGGCTAGAATGCAATGGTGTGATCTTGGCTCACTGCAACCTCCACCTTGCAGGTTCAAGCGATTCTCCTGTTTCAGCCTGCCGGGTACCTGTGACCACAGGTGGGCGTGGAGATGGGGTTTCATCATATTGGCCAGGCTAGTCTTGAACTCCTGACCTCAGGTGATCTGCCCACCTTGGCCTCCCAAAGTGCTGGGATTACAGGTATAAGCCACTGCGCCTGGCCAGAAAGAGTTCTTAAATATGTATTTTAATGAATTTTGACACATGCATACGCTTGTGTAACCACCATCCAATTCAAGGTATAGAACATTTCCATTGTAGAGGGATCTCTTCTGTCTTTCTAATTATTTTTCTACCTCTAAACCCAGAGGAGGCCACTTTGTACATCTTTTATAGGCTGGCTTATTATTTCCTTTCTACTCATCATGTCTATGATACTCATTTATGTTGTTGAGCATATTAGTAACTGGTTTCTTTATGTTATTGACTAGTATTCCATTGAATGAATATTAAAATTCTAATCCATCTCCTTATTGATAGACATTTGGGTTGTTTGGAATTTGTGACTTTTATGAGTAAGGCTGCTATGATCGTTTGTATGCAAGTCCATGTGTAGACATGTTTTCATACTTTTTGCCTGCTTGCCTGGGAATGGAATTGTTGTGTTATAAGGCAAATGTATGTTCATAAGAAAGTACAGATTTTTTTTTCCTAAACGTGTCATTTTATTCTCTCACTAGCAATGTATGAAAATTTCAGCTTACATTGTCAGCATTTGATATTGTTAGTCTTCAATTTCAGTTATTTTATTAGATGAGAAATGATATCTTGTGTGGTTTTTAACTTGCATTTTCCTAATTACTACTGAAGTAGAGTGTATTTTTATATTCTTGATGGTTGTATGTTTTCTTTTGTAAAGTGTCTGTTAATATCTTTCATCAGTCTTATGTGTATTGTATTTTCTCTGTAATAGTTTAGTTATTGAGTAGTGTAATATTAGAAGTTTAGAAGAGAAGTACAGTTCTAATGGTCTTTTCAAAAGTATATGCCTGTTAATCATTTTAATTTGTAAAGGTTATTCTCAGATTTTTATATTTTATTTTTGAGGCAGAGTCTCCTGTCACCTAGGCTGGATTGTAGTGGTTGTGTTCGTGGCTCACTGCAGTCTTGACTTCCTGGACTCAAGTGATCCTCAGCCTCTCGAGTAACTGGGATACAGGCAGCTGCATGCAACCACGCCCAGCTAATTTTTTGTATCTTTTGTAGAGACAGGGTTTCACCATGTTGCCCAGGCTGCTCTTGAACACTTGGACTCAGGTTATCTTCCTGCCTCAGCTTCCCAAAGTGCTGTGATTATAGGATTAGCCACTGTGTCTGGCCTGTTATTATTTTTTTTTAGTGGTTTTTCATTTGTAGAGGGATGGATATATCTCCAGTTTTTAATCCAGATGGAGTCTTATTTTTCTTTACTTAATGACTTGGTAGATTTTGTTAGTCACATTTTCTGATAAATGGTGGCATAAGGCAGCATTTTGTATCAAACTTCTAATTAAACTTTTTTCTTTACAGGATGAAAACTCCTCTTCTACTAATCTCTGTGTAGAAGATCTTCAGAAAAATAAAGAGTCGAATAGTATAATTAAAGATAGATTGTCTCAAACGGTTAGGCAGAATGCGAAATTCTTTTTTGACCCAGTCCGGAAATGTAATGGTCAGCCAGTGCCTTTTCAACAACCAAAGCACTTCACAGGAGGAGTTATGCGATGGTACCAAGTAGAAGGCATGGAATGGCTTAGGGTAATGAATTGTCATAATAAAAGATACTGATTTATTTCTATAGTAGCGTAGTAATGTGATGTACCACAACTTGAGTCATTTCTATCATGTTTCACTATTATATATTTGTGTGTGCATACTTACTTTCTAATTTCTTTACCCTGAATTTTTAGAAGTGGAAATTACCTTGTTAAAGCTTCCAACACTTTTATGGCTTTGATAAAGGAGTTTTCACAGTGTTGTTATAATTTATGGTGTTTTTAACGTAATTCTCATCTTTGGGTATGTTTTTTTTAAAAAAGAAATAAACTATCATAACCCTGTAGGTGTTTATATCCGAGTTTAAATGCAGTATCTATTATTTTGTCTAGATGCTTTGGGAAAATGGAATTAATGGCATTTTAGCAGATGAAATGGGATTGGGAAAGACAGTTCAGTGCATTGCTACAATTGCATTGATGATTCAGAGAGGAGTACCAGGACCTTTTCTTGTCTGTGGCCCATTATCTACACTTCCTAACTGGATGGCTGAGTTCAAAAGATTTACACCAGATGTAAGACATGCTTCCTTATGTTAAAATTATAATTTTACATGTTTTCTTCTGCTTTGTTGTTGTAGGAATTAAATTGTAGAACTCCTATAATTATATTGGTTCCTGTGTAATTATTGCATCTGATTTGACTTAATATGCTGAATACCCTAATTTAAATTTATATAGAATAGGTTTTGGAAATCTCTGACATCTTTCCTGAAATATTCCCAAATGATTTTCAAAGCATTGGTTAATTTGATTTAACTGAGACAGACTTAGGTAGAAATTTTATTTAAAATTCTTCTTCTTCTTCACTTGATGTTAGCCTAAAGGCTGAGAAGTGAGTTTTCTGTTTTGTTTTGTTTTGTTTTTTTTTTTTAACTTTTTTTCTGTACATATTGTCGTCTGCAATTTTTTTCTTTTTTTTTTTTGAAATGGAGTCTCTGTTGCCCAGGCTGGAGGGCAGTGGTGTAATCTTGGTTCACTGAAACCTCTGCCTCCCATGTTGAAGCAATTCTTGTGTGCCAGCCACCTGAGTAGCTGGGACTACAAGCATGTGCCACTGTGCCGAGCTAATTTTGTATTTTTAGTAGAGACGGGGCCTTGTCATGTTGGCCAGCTGGTCTTGAACTTCTGGCCTGAAGATATTCGCCCACCTTGGCCTCCCAAAATGCTGGGATTATAGGTGTGAGCCACTGTGCCCCTAGTGCCCAGCCCTTCTGCGCATTTTTGCCTCATGAGAAATATATATATTCTAGAAGTAGCGTCACTGTCTGTCTCATTTTATATATCATTATTATTTTTTGAGATGGTTTCTTGCTCTCTCACCAGGATGGAGTGCAGTGGCACGGTCTCAGCTCATTGCAGCCTCTGCTTCCCAAGTTCAAGCAATTCTTCTGCCTCAGCCTCCCAAGTAGCTGGGGTTACAGGTGTGCACCACCACACCCGACTAATTTTGTAGTTTTTAATAGAGATGGGGTTTCTTCATGTTGGTCAGGCTGGCCTCGAACTCGTCACCTCAACTGATTCGCCCTCCCCACCTTGGTTTCCCAAAGTGCTAGGATTACAGGCATGAGCCATCCTGCCCAGCCCGTATATTTGTTTTTCTGGCTATATATTTTTTAAAGACAGGATGTTTCTCTGTCACCCAGAGTGGAGGGCAGTGGTGCCATTCTGGCTCATTGTGGCCTTTACCTCCCAGGTTCATACGAGCCTGCCTTCTCACACCCCTGAGTAGCTCATGTGAACTCTCACCTCACCCCACTGGGTGAGTAGCTGGCACTACAGTTGCGTATCATCACACCCAGCTAGTTTTTGTATTTTTTATAGAAATGAGATTTCTCCATGTTGCCCAGGTTGATCTTGAACTACTCCTGGACTTTATAGATTTGCCTGCCTTGGCTTTCCAAAGTGCTGGGATGACAGGTGTGAGCCATTGTGATAGGCCTGACTTTTTTTTTTTTTTTTTAGTTTTTTCTGTAGTAATTCAATGATTTGTTAGAATTACTTGGCTTATTTTGTTATAGAAAAATAGAACTAAAATTTTAAAAAATTTTCTCAGAATGATTCCTATGTTCCAAATAATCGATATTTATGTTTCCTTCTTAAGTTTGTTATAAATCCATATACAATTTTCCAGATCCCTACTATGTTATATCATGGAACCCAGGAGGAACGTCAAAAATTGGTAAGGAATATTCACAAACGGCAAGGGACTCTGCAGATTCATCCTGTGGTGGTTACATCATTTGAAATAGCCATGAGAGACAGAAATGCATTACAGGTACAAATGGTCTGGTTTCTTTGTAATATATAAAGCATGTTTTTCTTAATTTATACTGCTTTCTTACCATTCGGAAGCATTTGTTTAATTTTTTTGTTGTTGAAGGAATAGATTCTATTGAGCATATATGCCTGTCAAACCTGCAAGCTTATATTAACAGAGTGATTGGGATGAAGAGTGTCGTTTGTAACAATATAATTAAAGCTTATGGCAGTTTAACCTATGGCTATAATACCATTTTAATATCTTAGAATCATCCAGAAATAGACCTAATCTCTGAAGATATTACAGATATATTTGTGACAGGTTCTTTGAATATATGGAATTTACCTATCCTTTGTATTTTAATCAAATAAGAGTATTTGAAGACAAGTTGCTTTTAGACTATCTTATTGGACTTTTGGTAAAATTTTCATTTCTGTTTTTCCTGATGTTCTAGCTATTTACTTATTAATTGTCCAGTTAGCGTAACAATTGGAAAATTGACCTTTCTTCTTTTGTGCCTTCTGTTAATTCATTTATTGGTGTTTTGAGCTTCTTCCTTCCTGCTCAACCTCATTCATTTTTCTCTTTACTGCTTTGTTTTTCCTTTCTCTGACCGTGTGAGAACACTGCTTAGTGTAGTCCCCTTAGGTTTGTCTTGCTTGTTGGGAGATAGGAAAGTACTTAATGGTTTCAGTATAAAATCTCAAAACACATAAGTCATAAATGGAATAATTATGGCTTGTGTAATTATGACCAGTATTGTCAGGTTTTGCATGTGTGCTGGTAAAACTTTGGAATATGATTTGCGGAAGTCTTAGCTCAGGAGTTTAGCAAAGTTTATGAATGTAAACTCCAGGCGGGGCATGGAGGCTCATGCTGGTAATTCCAGTACTTTGGGAGGCTGAGACAGGCAGATCCCTTGAATTCCAGACCAGCCTGGCCAATATGGCGAAACTCTGTCTCTATTAAAAATGTAAAAATTAGCTGGATGTCGTGGTGTACGTCTGTAATCCCAGCTCCCTGCTGAGGCATAAGGATTCCTTGAACCCGGGAGGTGGAGGTTGCAGTGAGCTGAGATTGTGCTGCTGCACTCCAGTCTGGGCTACAGAGAGACTCTGTCTCAAAAAAAAACCAGTAACTGGTTTTGTGGAAGACAAGTTTTCCATGGACCATGGGGATGGTTTTGGGATGATTGAAGTGCATTACAATTATTGTGTACTTTATTCTTAGTATAAAATTGTAATAATATATAATGAAATAAAAGGGCTGTGCATAGTGGCTCACACCTGTAATCCTAGCAGTTTGGGAGGCCGAGGCGTTCAGATCATTTAAGGTCAGAAGTTTGAGACCAGCCTAGCCAATATGGTGAAACCCCGTCTCTAGAAAATACATAAAAATTAGCCAGGCATGGTGGCATGTTCCTGTAATCCCAGCTCCTCAGAAGGCTAGAACAGAAGACTTGCTTGAACCTGGAAGGTGAACGTTGCAGTGAGCTGAGATCACACCACTGTACTACAACCTGGGCAACCAAGCGAGATTATAATTATAATAATTATACAATTCACCATAGTGTAGAATCAGTGGGAGCCCTGAGCTTGTTTTCCATCTAGGGATGATGGGAGACAGTGACAAATCATCAGAAATTAGATTTTATAACGGGCACACAACCTAGATCCCTTGGATGTGCAGTTCACAGTAGGGTTCATGCTTCTGTGAGAATCTGTTGCCTCCTGATCTGACAGGAGGAGGAGCTCAGGCCTTAATTGGAGCAGTGGGGAGCTGCTGTAAATCCAGATGAAGCTTCCGTCACTAACAGCCTGCTATGTGGCCTGGTTCCTAACAGGTCATGAACCCCTACGGGTCTGTGGCCTAGGGGTTGGGGACTCCATATTTTCTTTACAATGAAAGTAATATATACCGATTTTTTCTTTTTCTTTTTTTTTTAACAAAGGGTAGTGTACAGGAAGATGTAAAAGCACCTGTAATTCTACCTGAGAACTACTTTTACAGTAAATAACTACAGCTAACATGTATATAATTTACACATATGATCATACTATACATTCACTACCCTGCTCCCTCCCAAGACAGGGTCTAACTTTGTCACCCAGGCTGAAATTCTGTGGCACGATCTCAGCTCACTGTAGATTAAACCTCTGGCTCAAGTGATCCTCCCACCTCAGTCTCCTGAGTAGCCCGGACTATAGGCATGCATCACCACACCTGACTAATTTTCGTATTTTCTGTAGAGATACGGCGTCAAACTCATGAGCTCAAGCCATCCACCTGCCTAAGCATCCCAAAGTGCTGGGAGTACAGGTGTGAGCCACTGCTCCCAGCCTGCATTCACTCTTGCAACTTGTGTTTTCTACTCAGCAAAATAACACGAAGACCCTTCTAATTTGTTTTCCCTACCCATCCTGTAATGAAATAGTAGCTTTCTTGTTCATTTCATTTGCCAGTGGCTAGAAACTTCCAAGTTTCCCATTTCACTGAGCTTGTGTTATCATTTCAAGGGTCTTAGCTTTTGGTCGTAATGGGAGTGTGAGGTTCTAGGGCCCTTGTTGCTGAGTGCAAGCCAAAGTAACTGAGTTCATTTGCTAATTTTGTTTTCAGTTTCCTCATCATTTGTTTCCTTGTTTTCTTTTCTCTCATCTACCTACTATAAAAGGATATAAACGTGTGTGTGTGTGTGTGTGTATTTTCTTTTTTAGACAGTCTCGTTTTGTCAGCCAGCCTAGAGTGCAGTGGCATGATCTTGGCTCACTGCAACCTCCGTCTCCCGGGCTCAAGTGATTCTCCTGCCTCAGCCTCCTGAGTAGCTGGGATAACAGGCGTGTGTCGCCACACCCAGCTAATTTTTGTATTTTTAGTAGAGACAGGGTTTCACTGTATTGGCCGGGCTGGTCTCAAACTCCTGACTTCAGGTAATCTGGCTGCCTTGGCCTCCCAAAGTGTTGGAATTACAGGCATGAGCCACTGTGCCCGGCCAAGGATATTTTATATTTTTATCTGGTATTTTTTAGATAGGTGTCTTAACAGTGAAAGATAATTCAGGTTTTCTGGTTTACCATATTACCAGGAAAATAAATCCCTTTCTAGTTATTTTAATAAAGAAGATATAATATTATACATTTTTTTCATTCTGTTGGGATATATAAAGTAAAATGCAAAACATTCTCTGTACTCTTGTCAATTTGTCAGTCCCATTATTCAAGTATACTTATATTTTTCAGCTTGGTATTTACATTTCCAGAAATAGTTCTGTATGTTAATTTATTAAATAATTTATTAAAATACAGAAATATTTATTACAATTTATTGTAATAAATTTATATTTTCACAGAAAGTCATTCACTTTCATAATTTATTATAAATTTTCCTGATTAAGATACATTAGAAATCACAGATATTAAAATGAGAAAGTTAAATTTTCATGACAACTTTATGGAAGTAGATGACTTTCTGTGAAAATATAAATTGCTTAAAGAAGGGAAAATTTTAGTACCATTTCATGTTTCAGAGCATATGAAACTAATAAAAGGTCTCACTTTTTGGTAGTCTAGTGTAACATTAATATAAAAAGTGGGAAGACATTAGAAATGAAAGCTATGACTGCATTGACTAAGGTGTGAATGGGGAAATCTTAAATTCAGAATAGGTGGAGTTCAAACTTTATTGCATATTGAAGTAGGGCTCTTCCAGGAACATAATTATCTGTCAGTTTTAGGAATCCTCATAAGTGGATCAAATAAAAACATGATCATCTCAGTAGTCAGTAGTTACTGAAATACATTTGATAAAATTCAACAGCCATTTCTCATAATAGCGGTTTTACTTTTAGAATTCTTGTTAGAAAAATTGTGAGATAATTGTTTAAACATTTTTTTCCTCAATTCTTTTTCTAGCATTGCTATTGGAAATACTTAATAGTAGATGAAGGACACAGGATTAAGAATATGAAGTGCCGTCTAATCAGGGAGTTAAAACGATTCAATGCTGATAACAAACTTCTTTTGACTGGTACTCCCTTGCAAAACAATTTATCAGAACTTTGGTCATTGCTAAACTTTTTGTTGCCAGATGTATTTGATGACTTGAAAAGGTGGGTAAGCCAGATATTTAATAATGATTTAACCTCAGAAATCTGTGCTCTTAGTTAAAATTAGTTTCTTTTCAGTCGCTGAATTAAAATGCCAGTAATTTGACAAGTTCTTTGTGGTGTATATTGTATGTTCCACTTCTGCCACAAATTATGTGAGAGCAGATTAAGAAAAGATTATTTAAAACTTATTTTCATTGATTAAAGGAGGATTATTGAGTGCTACTTAAAGATAATATTTTCATAACAAGGTTCTTTTATGTGTATTTTAAGATGCATTTTTCTTATATCCTTATGAAACAACCAGGGACAATAGAGTTGTTAAATTATTTTCTATCTCACATAAAAGAAAACTGAGGTGTGAAGTTGTTACAAGATAAGACCAATTAGTTAGCACCAGAACCAAAGTTAAAACAAAGATCTCCCAATGTCAACATAGTGTTTCAATTCTGGAAACTATGTTTGAATCTTAGCTTATATAATAAAACCAGAAATAAAAACAGTTTCAGAAAGCAATTAGTAGCTTCAGAATGGAGGAGGAGATAATGTTAACATAATTTAAAACTGAATACAACGGAAATATAATAACCTGGGCAAAAAAAAGTAATTTATACTTGTCATCAATGAAGGAAGTAAGCTAATTGGATGTGGAAAAATAATTTTTAATTTTGGGAATTTATTTCAAATCTGGTTACCAAATGGTGGCCTCAAGCCAGGCTACTTTATTGTGACTCTGGGCACTTTTATTGAAGGACAAGAATTCCAGGTCCTGTGCAGACATTCTGAGTTACAGTATCGAGGTGGGAGTTGAGAATCTGAATTTTTTGAACACGCTTTGGTGATCCAAGTTTGGGAACATCTGGTCTACTGCATAAATGTTACTAATATTTTCCACAATTGGTTATAATGTTATCCACTATATGTTATTAATCTGCATGCTCGTACATAATTACTCATTAAAATATATACATTTTTAACATTGGGAAGGAATAAGCATGTATAATATTATTGTCCGGTGGATCAAGCCTGTAATCCCAGCACTTTGGGAGGCCGAGGCGGGTGGATCACGAGGTCAAGAGATCGAGACCATCCTGGTCAACATGGTGAAACCCCGTCTCTACTAAAAATATAAAAAATTAGCTGGGCATGGTGGAGCGTGCCTGTAATCCCAGCTACTCAGGAGGCTGAGGCAGGAGAATTGCCTGAACCCAGGAGGCGGAGGTTGCGGTGAGCCGAGATCGCGCCATTGCACTCCAGCCTGGGTAACATGAGTGAAACTCCGTCTCAAAAAAAAAAAAAAAAATTATTGTCGAGTTATGTATATGTTGAATTTTAAAACATTTATTTTAGTGGGCCATACTTAATACTGATTGAGAAAAATCGTATGACTTTTTTTTCAGAGAGAGTTCTCACTTTTGTAATGTAAAATTATAAATGTGTACTTTAATCTTATTTGATTTTTATACTACTGTACTATTGTTAATCTATAAATCAGAAAAGCGTTCCCTTTAAGCTCACAGTTCTTGATTGTTGGTTCAAAAAATACAATCACTTTATCTTTGTTGTTTGAATGTGTTATTTTTCATTATAACTTTAAAAAATTGCACCTAAAAGATAAGGTGCAAAAATACCACGTTTCAGTATCACAGATTATTAGTGTAAATGATAAATCATGTGTCATGTTGACGTAATTGAATTTATGTGATTGGTTAACTTAAACATTTTTCTCTTCCAGCTTTGAGTCTTGGTTTGACATCACCAGTCTTTCTGAAACTGCTGAAGATATTATTGCTAAAGAAAGAGAACAGAACGTATTGCATATGCTGCACCAGGTTTTCCATGTTTTCTTATTCTGTTTACTATAAGCTCTATAGAGTATAAAAGGAACTCTGGAGATCACCTGTCTAACCCTTTGTAGTAGAGATTTGAAAAACGAAAGTCCTCCTACATTTAAATTACTTCTTTGTCCTTTCTTCCCCGAGAGGTTACATGGTTTTATGACAAAACTCAAGTGCTTACTTAAGTTTGGTCCTTTTCAGATAGTGTACTCATTTTACCCCTAATGGTTACTGATATGTTTGTCAACCAAAAAACAAAAATGTGGTTTTTATGCAGTGTTTGCCAATAATACTTATAATTTACATCCTTGCGTGCCTGCTATTTTTATTGTTTCCTGTAGTTCCTACCCCATCCTACCTATCTTTAATTTAGAGAAACATCATCTTTCAAAGGTCATCTAGTCATGTAAGCCTGAAAAACTTTCAGTTGTGGTTTAGCAATTCTGTTCAAAGCCTTTATAGTTTTTTTCTGATATTAAAGATACTTGCTCATGAGAAAAATGTGAAGCAGTAGAGAAGTGAAAAGTAGAAATAGCACTTCCTCTTCAAATACTTCCTAGCAGTGTATATGGAATGATTATGTTGTGTTTTATGACAATCCAGTCCCTTTTCTGTCTTTGTATAACACGTGTGTTTTTTCTGTATTTTATGAAGAAAAAGGTTTTAAAAATAAAATTGCACCTTAAAATAGTCTTTTGAACAATTATTAGGAAATTATTTTCCTTTTACTACTTGTAGATTTAAATCAGTGGTTTTTAATGGCTGCTTATTATCCCATTGTCCTGTTCTACTATAGTTAATTAGCTCTTCCTCTTTTCAAACTTTTCTACAATATAAACAAGATTAAAGTATATATACTTAAAACTACATTTTTGCCCATTTCTGCTATTTCCTTAGAAAAGAATTCTAAGATATATGTCAGAGTTTAGAGATGAGAACTCTTTTGAAGGCAAATTGGCCTTCAGAAAGGATTTATATATAACATACATCCATATGAAAATACTACTCAAGCTTCATACCAATTTTAAGGTTAGAAGTCCTTTACAGTGTGCTGCAGAGATTAAAAAGGATGATTATTTCTGAATTGAGATGTTTGTTATACTCTTCTTGATATTTTAAAATGTAAAAGTTAAATTATTGACTGTAGTCAACCTTGTTGTGCGACCAAATACTAGGTCTTACTCATTATTTCTATTTTTTTGTACTCATTAAAAAAAAAAAATTCAAAATTTGTATTTATTTTTATTTTTTTCCCTTTTGAATGGTGCTGATAAAACCTCTTTCTAAAAGTGGTGGACTATAACTAAAACTAAGCCCTAAGAAATACAAATACTACCTTTATATTTTTACTTTTAAACTTATTTGAGATAGATTCTTAAGAGTTTTTAAAAGAATAGTAAATTCTGAAATGCTGTGGACAAATACTGTGAATTTATCATTTGGTGGTCTGATCTGGGAGGATTTCAAGAAGATATTTTAATTTCACCTTTTGAGATTTAATAGTATTTATATAGGAAGTCAAAAGATAAGATAAACAAGTATGTGGGGACAGTATTTTCTGAAAAAATAAGAATGTATAATACTCGTATTTTTCTGTTTGTGTTTTAATTTTAGATTTTAACACCTTTCTTATTGAGAAGACTAAAGTCTGATGTTGCTCTTGAAGTTCCTCCTAAACGAGAAGTAGTTGTTTATGCGCCACTTTCAAAGAAACAAGAGATCTTTTATACAGCCATTGTGAACCGTACAATTGCAAACATGTTTGGATCCAGTGAGGTATAGCATGGATTTGAAATGTACTGTAAATGAAACTTGACATATAAAATTTCTTTTTTTTTTTTTGAGGCAAGATCTAGCTCTGTTGCCCTGGCTGGAGTGCAATGGCACAATCACTGCTCACTGCAGCCTTTACCTGCCTGGCTAAATATTTTGTATTTTTTTGGTAGAGACTGGGGTTTTGCCATGTTGCCCAGGTTGGTCTCAGACTCCTGGGCTCAAGCAGTCCGCCCACCTTGGCCTTACAAAGTACTGGGATTACAGGTGTTAGCAATTGCGCCTGGCCTAGATACCAGTTTTAATGGTCCCTTGTTCGTTTTCAGGACCTGGATGAATTTCTAACTGGGGTTTAAGGTATAAGGCTAATGGCAAAAGTTGTTTCCTAGTATCTACAGTCCTGCTAAAATTTAAGTGATAATCCATGTATTAATTGCTTTACAGTCATCTGGAATGCTTATTAAAAATTTAGATTTCTTTACAGATTAATCATGGTTTCTCGGGATAAACTTGGAAAAGCATTTTTAACAAACACACAGTTATTTGAGAATCCCTGTAGTAAGGACTTGGCAACTAGGCTGATCTCCAAATGTACAGGTTGAGCATCCGAAATTTGAATTGCTACAAAATTAGAAACTTTTTGAGTGCCGATATGACACTAAAAGGAAATGCTCATTGGAGCATTTTTATTTTCTTGTTAGGGACATTCAACCTGTAGTTTCCTTATGGAAGGTTATTGATAACCAAAAGGATTAATAATCAATGTGATTATTATTATTCATTACTCACCATATTATAAGAGACAGAGGTGGGATGTTATTATCATGTAACTGAAGGAAACCCGTAAGTTTTGTTTAACTGTCTAGTTTTTTTATTGTACACTATGGACATATATATTTTCTTCTAAAAATATTTATCATCATGCATTTTTAAAAAATAGGACCACCAGACTCTCTTCTCCTTTTTATTATTAAAATTTAAGGAAGGGTCTAGCTTTTTATTTACAAATTTACAGTACTTGTCTGTTAATCACCAATTCCATGTAGTGTTAAACCAGTCTAAAGAAATACCTTCTGTAGTGCACATTTCTGGATCCATATTTCACCTTTTTTTTTTTTTTTTTTTTAATTGAGATGGAGTCTCACTCTATCACCCAGGCTGAAGTGCAATGGCGCAATCTTGGCTCACTGCAACCTCCGCCTCCCAGGCTCAAGCGATTCTCTTGCCTCAGCCTCCTGAGTAGCTGGGATTACAGGCGCGTGCCACTGCACCCAGCTAATTTTTGTATTTTTAGTAGAGACGGGGTTTCAATATCTTGGCCAGGCTGGTCTTGAACTCCTGACCTCGTGATCCACCCGCCTCGGTTTCCCAAAGTGCTAGGATTACAGGCATGAGCCACCTCGCCCGGCTGTTTTCCATATTTCATCTTTAAGGCGTTAAATCCTTTTGTGTAAGTTCAAAGTAGTTTTATATACCCTTTATTTTTCTCTATTGAGATATGAAGGCACTTGCTCTTTCAGATACTGTCATCCATCGTAAAATTAAACAAATTTCCTACAACATTTGAATTTCTAGCCATTATGTACATAAAAGTATGCCTTAAATTTTGTTTATATTTAGACCCTAAGGAAATAGCTTTATAAACTGACTTTCCTTTAATTGGTTCCCTTTTAGAAAGAAACAGTTGAGTTAAGTCCTACTGGTCGACCAAAACGGCGAACTAGAAAATCAATAAATTACAGCAAAATAGATGATTTCCCTAATGAATTGGAAAAATTGATGAGTCAAATACAGCCAGAGGTGGACCGAGAAAGGTTTGAATTTGAAAATGAATTAAGTATTCTTTAAACTGTGGTCATCTTTTGCGTATCTCATATATATGCATTATTTGTTTTGGTAGAACTGTTGTGGAAGTGAATATCCCTGTAGAATCTGAAGTTAATCTGAAGCTGCAGAATATAATGATGCTACTTCGCAAATGTTGTAATCATCCATATTTGATTGAGTATCCTATAGACCCTGTTACACAAGAGTTTAAGGTGAGTACTCTTTAGTATTAATTTACTGTTTGATTTCTATAGCTTTTATATTGGTGGAAAGTGTTATTTTGTTTTGATTATCATTATTAGAAATAAATATGGTGCTATTTGTCAGGAAAATTGTAATACTTCAGTAAGCTGAGACAGTCCTCTCCCCGAAATTTCAGAGAACCTTATCGGGGTTAGAATAATGGTTACTTTATGTGAGCAACAATGGTGACTTTCTATGAGCAACTAGTTTTTTAAATTTTTAAATTATTTATAGAGACAGGGTCTTGCCATGTTTCTTAGGCTGGTCTCAAATTCCTGGTTTCTTAGGCAATCCTGCCTCAGCCTGTTTCATGTGAACAGCTAAGAATTCTTAATTTAGTAAAGTAGTTGATTTGTATTCTGCATATTTACTTGCTGTATTTTAGAGAGAGTGGTCTTTTTACTGTTTCTTCTATCATTAATATTTGGCTTATCAGAATCAGCCTGGTTGCTCATTGCTTGATGATCAACAGATCTTCATGGAAGAAAACCAGTTTTGATTTGGAGGTTTTCAAATTAAGTAAATGAAGTTGCTTTCTTGGGTAGTAGTTGGAAAGATAGGATAATATTAAAATAAATCAATTCTCAGTAACCCTCTATAACCCTTGTTTCAAAGTAGTTTACAGTAGGCTTTTCCAGTCCTGGCAATATTGACATTTTGGGTCAGATAATTCTTTCTTAGGTAATATCCTGTGCACTTAGAACATTTAGCAGCATCCCTGTCTTCTACCCACTAGATGTCAGTAGTATCCACTAACCTCAGTTGTGACAACTAAAAATTTTGCTGCCACTGCCAAATATATCCTGGGGATAGGTGGAGGGTAAAATTGTCCCCATTTGAGAACCACTGCTCTACATCTTTATTAGAGTAAGAAAGAAGAAAAAATTTTGCTGTGCAAATGAAAGTAGATCTCTGATGAGGTAATTTCACCGGACGGTGAAAAAGTCTTTATCCACAATATTTAGATTACTTAGCAGCTCCTGTGTTTTCTCTTAATTTTTGGCAAGAATTCTAGCAGCAGTTTTCATGTATGTTTAGTTGGAAATTACTCAATTATAAAGAATAAACCTGAATATGTACTCAGTAAGATTGAACTTAATTGTTCTCTTTCACAACGACTTTGAGAGAGGTATGTTGAGGTTAGATCAAAGTTATATTTGTACTTAATTTTGTTTTTGTGAAATTGCTGGTTTTACATTCTAGAGTATGTCTTTCTTTGAGAAATAACTGTCTTTGATTTATAAAGACTGAATAACAGATCAGTTTTTACTTTTTTTTTTTAATATGACTTGCTGTTGAAAATTAAACTACTCAAATGGCTTTTGTTTTGACAAAGCAAATGACAGTTTCTCTGTTTTTCTTTCTTTGCTCATTTTTAAGATCGATGAAGAATTGGTAACAAATTCTGGGAAATTCTTAATTTTGGATCGAATGCTGCCAGAACTAAAAAAAAGAGGTCACAAGGTGGTACTTTTGATTGGAATTTTGGATTGCTCATTTTTTTTTTTTTTTAATAATCATTATAGATACTAAGATATATTTAAATTTCAGGTGCTACTTTTTTCACAAATGACAAGCATGTTGGACATTTTGATGGATTACTGCCATCTTAGAAATTTCAACTTTAGCAGGCTTGATGGGTCCATGTCTTATTCAGAGAGAGAAAGAAATGTAAGTTTATGTCATACATACCAAGCTATTCTTTAATAACTTCTATCTTGATTTCTGAAGTAATATTCTAAATAGACCCACAAATTGTTAAAAAGATAGAAATGACCAGAAACCCTGTGGTTTTATCAAAAACATTTTGGATTAGTACTAAGAAATCTTAAGTTTTGATTCTCAAATCTATTTATCTTCTGGCACAATCTTATTAATGATATCCTACTTAACCATCACTGTAAGAAAATTGGGATAGGAAATTTTTTGTCTAACTTTTTGATCTGTCCCCAACTTTCTATTATGAAAATAACAAATATGTGGCATAGTTGAAAAAAAAAATTTACAGTAAGCAACTGTAAATCCACCTACAGTTCTGCTGCTAACACTTGACTGTTCCCTCTTTTTTTTTTGAGACAGAGTCTCGCTCTGTCACCTAGGCCAGAGTGCAGAATGGCACAATCTTGGCTCACTGCAACCTCTGCTTCCCAGGTTCAAGTGATTTTCTTGCCCGAACCTCTCAAGTAGCTGGGATTACAGGCACATGCCACCACTCCTGGCTAATTTTTGTATTTTTTTAGAAGAGACTGGGTTTCACCATATTGGTTAGGCTAGTCTTGAACTGTTGACCTCAGGTGATCTCCCCCCTCCGCCTCCCAAAGTGCTGGGATTACAGGCATGCGCCACTGCCTGGCCTTGACTGTACCTTTTTAAAAACACATTCCTGTAATAGTAGCCTCACTGTATCCTTTCAACATTTCATCCCATTTTTTTGATGCATTTTCAAATAAATTATAGGTAATACTACCCTTTTTTGTAACAACTTTAGCATATTTTATCTTTTAGGGTAAATTTTATATCTCCTGAAGCAAATGAAGTATACATTTGCTGAATCTTTCCATATGTCAATTTGTCCCCAACCCCTATTAAGATATAGAATGTTACCATCAGCCCAGAAAATTTCCTATGCCCCGCTCTAGTCAATTCACCCTTTCCACTCACCCCGTGTATTAGGCACCAGCTACTAATTTTTCATCATTTTTTGATACTAGCTTTTCTTATTTAAACGTTGTGACACATGGTTTTTAACAAAATTAAGATCTCTTTAATAATGTAGGTGCTTGGACGATAAAGGTAACATGAGCACAGGTTTTGTTAGTTAACATGATTGTTTTATAGATCTGAATGATTTGTTTGGCCTCCTTTAGTTAAGTCATTAATAGTTGTAATCGAAAACATTTTTCTCCTTCAGTCTTGTTGGTTAATTTCTTTTAATTTGTTGTGTTTTTATCCTTTTTACATTTAGATGCACAGCTTTAACACAGATCTAGAGGTGTTTATCTTCTTAGTGAGTACACGAGCTGGTGGCCTGGGCATTAATCTGACTGCAGCAGATACAGTTATCATTTATGATAGTGATTGGGTAAGTTGGAAGCAATATACTGATTGTATTTCCATTTTGAATTTTTTTTTTTTTTTTTTTTGAGACAGAGTGTCGCTCTTTTGCCCAGGCTGGAGTGCAGTGGCACGATCTTGGCTTACTGTAACCTTCACCTCACAGGCTCAAGTGATTCATTCTCTTTCTCAGCTTCCCAAGTAGCTGGGACTATAGGTGCGTGCCATCATGTGTATATATATATATATATATATATATATATTTTTTTTTTTTTTGTTTTGTAATTTTTGTATTTTCAGTGGAGATGGGGTTTCGCCATGTTGGCCAGGCTAGTCTCGAACGCCTGACCTCAGGTGATCCACCCACCTTGGCCTCCCAAAGGGCTGGGATTATAGGTGTGAGCCACCACACCTGGCCATTCTGTATTTTTGATCTTTAATTGTACACATTGCAAATGTATTTATCTATTTTGAAAAGATACCCATTTTCAGCTAAGAGTTATTTCTTTTTTTTTTTTTTTTTTTTGAGACAGAGTTTCGCTCTTGTTACCCAGGCTGGAGTGCAATGGCGCGATCTCGGCTCACCGCAACCTCCGCCTCCTGGGTTCAGGCAATTCTCCTGCCTCAGCCTCCTGAGTAGCTGGGATTACAGGCACGCACCACCATGCCCAGCTAATTTTTTGTATTTTTAGTAGAGACGGGGTTTCACCATGCTGACCAGGATGGTCTCGATCTCTTGACCTCGTGATCCACCCACCTCGGCCTCCCAAAGTGCTGGGATTACAGGCTTGAGCCACCGCGCCCGGCCCAAGAGTTATTTCTTCATAAAGTTTTCTACGTGTAAAAACTTCACTTTTTTTTTTTTTGAGACAGGGTCTTAACTTTGTCACTCAGGCTTGACTGCAGTGGCACCATTACAGCTTACTAGTCTTGACCTTTTGGATTCAAGTGATCCTGCCACCTCATCCTCTTGAGTAGTTGAGTCTATGGGTGTGTGCTGCCATACCCACAAAAAATGTAAAAATTAGGGAGACCATGTCTCACTGTTTTGCCCAGGCTGATCTTGAGCTTTGATGCTCACATGATCTTCCTGCCTTGGCCTTCCAAAATGCTGAGGTTGTAGGAGTGAGTCACCGTGCCCAGCCTGAAATGTTTTCTTTGGGTATTTAAACTTCTTTGTTATGGTTGTCACGGATCTCTGGAATGATAATTTTATCTATGAAGCCACTCTGGAAGTTTAAGACACCACTTTTTAAAAGTTCTTGACTGGATCATTCATGTTAGCTTTATCCACACGTTATATATTTATGTTAATTTTAACCTAATGCCATTAAATTTTATTTTTCTTTTTAACTTTAAGAACCCCCAGTCGGATCTCCAGGCCCAGGATAGATGTCATAGAATTGGTCAGACAAAGCCAGTTGTTGTTTATCGCCTTGTTACAGCAAATACTATTGATCAGAAAATTGTGGAAAGAGCAGCTGCTAAAAGGAAACTGGAAAAGTTGATCATCCATAAAAGTAAATAACACTTATATAGTACTTTATTGTTTAAATTGTGCATTGTGTGTTGTGGATTTTTTAAATTTGTTTTTATTTTCTTTATAACATGTTACAATCTGATATGACAGGATTTAAATAAGCAGTGGAGAATTTGGAACTTCTAATAACCTAACCTAGTCACCATAGACATAAAAGAAAGAATGTTACTGTGTATGTAGATGAAGCGCAGATGGGCAGAGAAAAGGGGTCAAGGATAATTACCTGTTCCTGATAAGACATTGGTCTGCCAAAAGGTTTAAGATAAATATTTTGCAAGTTCCATATATTAAATATAATATTAAAATATTAATAGTGTATTTAAGTAGTGCCATTAAAATCAATTTATTTATTGAATCCAGTATTTTATAGACTATTTCACTGCAGAATGCCTTTTTCATAGTTTGGGACACTTTTTTCCCCCTTTTTCTTTTCCTTATACCCAGATTGATCTCAATAATGCTTTTTAATCTAGAAAACATTCTGAGGAGGTGGGGTGAGGTTTTATGTTTTGTTCCCTGAGATTCCTTAGAGAAGTTCTACTTCTATCCATTCAACATAAAATTTTGCTTGAGTGAATGGCTTGATAGCTACATGAAGAAAAATTGAAAATCATTTATGTAAATCATAAAGCCTAGAGAAACAGAACATGATAATATTAATGTGAAAAATAATGTGGAAGTAACTAACAATTTATTTTATGCTCATTTTCCACTTACAAATGCTTTTTCTGGGTTTTCAGGGAAGAGTGGATTAAGGTTTAGACAAAATTAATTTGACTTGACGAAACATTTAAATTATAATTGGAATTAGAGGGGAAAAAATCATAATTTTTTTTTAAGAGATTATTTCACTGTTTTACCCAGGTTGCTTTTGAATACCTGGAGTCAAACGATCTTCCTGCCTCAGCCTCTCTAAATGTTGAGATTATAGGTGTGAACCACTGTGCTCAGCCCTATTTTTAGTTTTTTGGTAGATTAATTTAGTAGAAAATTTTGAAGGCATTTTTTGAAATGTTGACATTTTTTAGTTGAGGTATTATATACATATAGTTAAATGCACAGATCTTAAATGTACAGTTTAATGAATTTTGACCAGGTGTATATACTCAGGTAACTGTCATCCAGTTCAAGGTAGCATTTTCATCATCCAAGAAATTTTCTTTTTTCACCCTTTCCAGTTATTCCTGTGCTCCTGTTACCATCACTAGAAAGCGTCCAGTATTCTGATTTTTGTCAAATTGATGAGTTTTTTCCTTGTTAGGTACTTCGTTGAATTTATTTTTTTCAGTCATCTATGTTGTTTCTTGTAGAATTTTTTTTTTAATTGGTGAATAGTTTGTTTTTCCATTCTCCTGTCAGTCTGCATTTAAATTATTTCCAGATTCTGATTATTATGAATAAGCTGTCCCTGTACAAGACTGTAGACATAATGCATTTTTTTGTCCTTGGTCGCCTTTGGGAGGGTGCCTGTTTAATTACTGGAAACTACTAACCTTTTCCAAAGTGGACATAGTATTTTCCACTTCTCCCAGCAAAGTCTGAGAGTTTCAGTTGCTTTTATTCCTTATCAGCACTTGTTTTTTTTCCATTCTTCTTAATGCAAGCCATTGTGATTGCTTTGTAGTATGTTGTATCATAGTTTTAAAAGGAATTTTAATGTTTTTAATTTCTCATTTTTTTTTTTTTTAGATCATTTCAAAGGTGGTCAATCTGGATTAAATCTGTCTAAGAATTTCCTAGATCCTAAGGAATTAATGGAATTATTAAAATCTAGAGATTATGAAAGGTAAGTTTTTAATTTTAGAAAGATTTAATTTGTAGCTTTGAATGATTCACATGGACTTGAATGTTTTGTTTTCTATAGGGAAATAAAAGGATCAAGAGAAAAGGTCATTAGTGATAAAGATCTAGAATTGTTGTTAGATCGAAGTGATCTTATTGGTAAGTATCATGCTTTTTCTTTTTTAATGGAAATTTTGAAATATACACATAATTAGAATAGTATAATGACCCCCTTGTACAATTTATTCAGCCACGTATCCAATCTTGTTTCATTGCCATTTTCTTCTCAATATTAAAATCAAATAATCTGACATAATGACATTTTGCTGATAAATGTCATTATCTTTAACTTCTTCCTTAATTCGGATATTTTTTGTAAACTGATAAATAACAATTTTGTAAATATATTCAAGTTCCTATCTTATTCAAGAATACCAGTGCTTTGTTCTCATATTTTTTGTCTCATACCAGGAGGCACATCATGTCTGGGTTTCTTATTTCCAGTGAGCTAAAATTAATCAAGATAATATTAAGTGTCTTCTCAGCCTTTATTTAACATGATGATTTCCTTTTTCCTTTTTTTTGGAGATGGGGTCTGTCACTCTGTTGCCCAGGCTGGAGTGCAGTGATATGATCTCGGCTCACTGCAGCCTCCGCCTCCTGGGTTCAAGTGATTCTCCTGCCTAAACCTGCCAAGTAGCTGAGATTACAGGTGCCCACCACCATGCCTGGCTAATTTTTTTGTATTTTTTGTAGAGGCCAACATTTTACCATGTTGGCCAGGCTGGTCTCGAACTCCTGACCTTAGGTGATCTGGCCACCTTGACCTCCCAAAGTGCTGGGATTACAGGCATGAGCCACCTAGTGTGGCCTAATGTGATGATTTTTAGCATCCCTTGATGATGGTTGATTAGAACGATTATTAATTTAATTATTTCAAAATGGTGATTTTTTTTTTTTTTTTTTTGAGACTGAGTTTCACTCTTGTTACCCAGGCAATGGCGCGATCTCGGCTCACCGCAACCTCCGTCTCCTGGGTTCAGGCAATTCTCCTGCCTCAGCCTCCTGAGTAGCTGGGATTACAGGCATGCGCCGCCATGCCCAGCTAATTTTTTGTATTTTTAGTAGAGACGGGGTTTCACCATGTTGACCAGGATGGTCTCGATCTCTTGACCTCGTGATCCACCCGCCTCGGCCTCCCAAAGTGCTGGGATTACAGGCTTGAGCCACCGCACCCGGCCTAAAATGGTGATTTTCATCTTCTGTCATTCCTTTATTAACTGTGTTGTTCAAGAACTTTCCCTTACAGTTTTCCTGAGATAGAGGAGAGGCAGGATAGATTGCTTGTTTTATTTATCAGGTTTTAGAATGCCATGTAATAATGATCTGATGCCTACAGAAATGACCATGAAATATTTTGAAAACAAAAATAATATTTTGTATTTCATAATTTCCTAATTATTTTGCAACGTATTGCTATCGTCTAGGCTATTGATTATTTTTCTGTTGCATCTGTATGTTGGAAATACTGTATAATGTTCTTCTTTTCCGAACTGTATTCTGTGACATTGATGTTTTGAAACTGGTGATGGCAGTAACGTTCATATTATAGATACAGACAAAAACTACAAACCTGAGTGTTTGTTTTTAACAAAAAATGGTCTTGCTTTGTATCCCTAGCTGGAATGCAGGAGCTCAACTATAGCTCATTGCAGCCTGAAACTCCTAGGCTCTTAGGACCCTCCAGCCTCAGCCTCAGGAGTAACCTGGGATTATAGACATGAGCCATTGTTCCTGGGTTTTTATTTTTTTTGAGAGCCAGTTGTTAAACATGTACCTGCATGGCACTGGGTACAGTGTCATGATAATGTATTTTCAAATACGTTATTCATTTAAAAGTTCAATTCTATGTCTTATTGAATCAAAATAATATTAAAATATATGTGGTAAGAAGTTTTTTTTTTAATCAGATACATTTTCCAAATGTTTCTTCCCCTCTGTGACCTGTCTCTTCATTTTCTTATTTAGTATTTTCTGAAGAGCGAAAGTTTTACATTTTGTTGAATTCCAGTTTTAACAAATTTTTCCAGTAACTCATGACTTTTGTGTCATCTCTAACTACTCTTTGCCTAATGCTGCCAGTCTTGATGCTTTCTTTTTAACAGTTTTATAGTTTTTGCTCTTACATTTAGGTCTGTGATTTATTTTCAGTGAATTTTAATCTTTTTGCATGTCAATATCCATTTTTAAAAAAAGATGATCCTTTTTCTTTTGGATTGCTTTGTCATCCTTGATGAAAATCATTTGATCATAAATATAAGAGTTTATTTCTGTATTCTCAGTTCTGTCCCATTGATCTCTGTGATATTTCTATACCAGTATTGCACTGACTTAAGGTAGCTTTGTGGGAAGTATACTTTCTCTAGTTTTGTTCTTTTTCAAGATCATTTTAGATATTCTGGATAATTCGTATATTTATTTGAATTTTAACTTTGAAATAGTTTAGGAAGATATATGAGAAATACAGCATGGTCATATCTCAAATATATTAAAAATCAATATTATATAATGTAAGACTGTTTAACATCTGAAAATATTAATATAATTCATATTAATTAAAAGGAGAACTAGATGATCACCTAATTAGAGACCAAAACCCAACTTGACATAACATTATAATCATCTTCATAATTTTTTTGGTTTGAGATGAGGTACTGTTTTGTCATTGAGGCTGGAGTGCAGTGGTGTGTGATCATGGCTCACTGCAACTTGAACCTGCTGGGCTCAGTCAGTCCTCACACCTCAGCCTCCCGAGTTGATGGGACTACAGGTGTGACTACTAAGCCCTGCTAATTTTGTTTTGTTTATTTTGTAGAGATGGGTTCGCCGTGTTGCCCAGGCTGGTCTCACACTCCTGAGGTCGAGTGATCTTCCTGCCTCAGCCTCCCAAAGTGCTGGGATTACAGGCATGAGTCCCTGTGCCTGACCCCGTAATGCTTAAAACTAGCTGTGGAGAACAAAGTTCTTCTGGTGATAAAGAACATTCATATAGAAAATTACTACTAAAACAAGGATAAAATCCCTCTCTTTCACTGTAATTATACAATATAGAAAAGATGTCTTAACTAATACCGTAAGATTAAAAAAAAAAAAAAAGAATCAAAATTGCTTTTTATTTGCAGGTGGTCTGATTTGATTATCTTCATAGGAAGTCCAAGGGAATCCAGAATCTTTTAAGATGGAATTTAAGAAGATTGCTTGTTAATAATATATGTAACAGCAATAATTATTTAATAATGAAGGGTTTTACAACAGCTAAAAAACTGTAACATGCCTACAGTTAAGTTTAACAATTTTTAACACATTTATATAAGGACAGAATTATGAAACATTGAATGACATTACCTGAAAGACTAAATAAACATAAAGGTTTATCTGTATTTGTGGATATGAATGGTTACTACAAAGTATAAGTCAGTGTTCCCCAAAACTAACTTACATTCTTGAATTTTTCTTCTAATTAAAATCCCAGAATCATGGCTGGGTGTAGTGGCTCACGCCTGTAATCCCGGCACTTTGGGAGGCAGAGGCGGGTGGATTGCGTGAGCTCAGGAGTTCAAGACTAGCCTGGGCAACATGGTGAAACCTTGTCTGTACTAAATACAAAAAGTTAGTTGGGTGTGGTGGTGGGCACCTGTAATCCTAGCTACTCAGGAGGGTGAGGCAGAATTGTCAGAACCCGAGAGGCAGAGGTTACAGTGAGCCGAGATTGCACCACTGCATTCCAGTCTGGGTGACCGAGGGAGACTCTGTCCCTTTAAAAAAAAAAAAATCCAAAAATGACTTTTTTATAGAACAGCCTGTTGTTAAAATTTATATGAAAGAGTAGTAAAAGGCTAAGATCCAAGACAATTTTGAAGAACAAGATATTTTATACCAGGTATAACATCTTATTAAAAATTAAGAAGTCATAATCAAGATGGTAGAATTAGCACATGGTATGATAAATTAACTAGAGATACAATATGGTGAACCTAGAAAGACTACCAAACTTTCATGAAAAGCTAGTAAATGACAAATGACATTTCAAACCAGAGATAGGAAATTCCTATTAGTCAATAGATTATCTTGGGAAACGGTAATGAATAGGGGAAAATTAACTTAGATTCTCCTCACCTCACGCTGTACTTACAAACTTCAGATAAATTAACAATTCATGTGTTCAAAACCTCAGTATTAAAGGTAAAATATTAACTTAAAATATATATTTATGATTTTGGGATTAGGAAAGAATTCCATTTAATACAGAAATCACAAATTATATGACAGTTTTTGTATATTTTAATTACATTAATAGGAAAGGCTACTGTAAGACATGACACCGTAAACAGACAAACCACAAAGAATATTTGCAACATATAACAGGAAGTGTTTAGGATATGCAAATAAATAAAAGTTGATAATAAAAATGGATAATATAAGAGCAAGCTATTACCAAGAGAGAAATCTTTCATGAACATACAAGAATGATTAGAAATCAATAATACAAATTAAAATCGGTAGAAATTTCATTTCACAGCTGTCATGTTAATAAAGAGTTTACGAGATTACATGTTGTCATTGATTAAAAATGTTTCTTAAGGTAAGCTTTTGGTGTCTTGCTCTTCAGCTTTTAAACTAACCATGATTGGGCCTGTTTTTAAAACATTTCTGAGAACATGATTCAAATTCATGTTGTTTATAGCTCTTCAACTTGTTTATCTTACCTTAAATTCAGCAAAAGAGATTTTGACTAGCAAATTCATGATTTAGATTGTATGCTCCCAAGAGGCTGATTCTAGTTGTTGTATTAAGAATAGTGTACCTTTTTGCTTTTGCTGCTATTAAATCCTGGTAATAAAGGAAGAGCATGCCCTATATTACTGTGAGTTTTATAATTTTGGACAGAGGACTCACTTCTCATAGCATCATATTGGATGTTTCTTTTGTGATTTCTTCTTCTAAACTGTTCCCGTTTTAATGTTTTTCTCTTAGATCAAATGAATGCTTCAGGACCAATTAAAGAGAAGATGGGGTTATTCAAGATACTAGAAAATTCTGAAGATTCCAGTCCTGAATGTTTGTTTTAAACTGGAGCCCAAGAATGGCTTTTAAAAGTTCTTGTTTGCAACTAGTGATTTCCCTGTATTGGGTTTGAAATACAGATTGTCCACTTAACCTTTTTTTATTATATCAGTTGACATGTAACTAGTACCATGTATACTTAATTAGATAGTAATTTTCTGAGCCTTATTACAAACAAAGAAGTATCCATATTAAGTTTAGATTTTCAGTTAATTTTTGAGACTGAGTATTATTCTTGGATACAGGCTGATGTGTACTTAACCACTTCCAGATTTATACAGTCTTCCTGTGGAAGTTTAGTAAATGTCTTTTTTTTTTAGTAATACAGTTCATGGGGTTTTGGTACTTCAGTTATGAAGTAGGCTTTTCATGGGGGGAGATCGGGATTATGCTGTGTGTTTAAGAAACTTTGATTTTCAAGTCTTACTTCTATGAGATAGTTTACCAAATAAATTTTCCTTATAAGATAATCTCATTAAATTATTATTTTTAGGCATAGTTTAGGTACAATAGCAGCAAAAGATTGACTATTGATGGGATTTGATATTATTTTGTTGTCTTGGTTTCATTCACTAGTACTATTGGAGTGTGTCATATAAAGATTTCAAGTGGACATTCTGTCAGCACAAGAGAAGTTTCTGAATGAAACTGTAAGGTCTTGACAAAAGACTAGAAATTGGAAATGGTAGTATATAATGCGAAACAAGGCAGACCCTGAAAATTTATAGTAGTGGGTTAAATAGAACCAGATAGAAGAGAACAGGCCTTAGGAGTATGTAAGTAATGCAGAATCCATAATAGAACAACACAAAAGCCAAAAAGGGCACAGTTTAGACCCTGTGTGAAAGGATATCAGACAATGAGGAAGAGAAATCCTGAATGTACCCTGGAGAGAGGACGTACTCCCTGGACCGTACTTTTCTGTGCTGGTGTTTATTTCATGGAAAAATGTTACTGTTGTTGCCATATATATTCATATGCAGACCAGATGATCTGAGACTTAGGAAAATGGAACTGTCACTTAAGAAAAACTTTAAAAAATTTTTTCTGTGCCCTGTTTATACAGGCCTTTCTACTTTTAAGTTTTTATTTCGATAGTTTTTAGGGTACTGCTGGTTTTTTGTTACATGGGTAAGTTCTTTGGTGATGGTGAAAAACTTTGGATAGAACATTTGGTTAAATAAAAGACTATAGAGCAGGTTTATCTGTTTAAGTGAAAATGTTTACCCATCACATCAGCATGCTGACCTAGGCTTGCTTGAAATTCATGATCTTGTCATTAGCGATCTAATCTTTCCTCATATATTGTCCTAAATGACTATTTCATAGTTTTATCTCTGTCATTACATGTCTCATATCTCTTTCCTCTCATTTTGCTCCCCATTTCCATGAGAGGTGATGGGGAGGAAGGCAGCAAATCACACTGCCACGTGTGTTCCTATGCAACAATTTTGCATGTTCTTCACATGTACCCCAAAACCTAAAATGCAATAAAATAAATAAATGAGGAAGTACAAACAAAATATTAAAAAAAAAAAAAGAAAATAGATGCAATCAAAAAGGAACCTTTAAAAGTTGTCACCATTGGATCTGTAAACCTAGCATCTATGCCTATCTTTCCTTTCTTATATACTATGAATATATTGTTTGTCCTACCTTGAGCCAACTGAAATGTCTCATTTCCTCTATAGCAAAACTTCTTGAAAAAGTTCCTTTATAGCAAAACTGCTTGTCTGTATTCATTGTTTTTAGTTTATTCTGTTTTTTCCTGAACCCATTCCTATAAGATATTTATCTCCATTGGAGCCATTTTTTTTAAGGTCTCTTGTGTCAGCAGTGATCTCATGTGACTTGATCTATTAGCAGCATTTCATATGATTGACTCTTCTCCATAAAAGTTACTTTGTTTGGCTTCTAGCAAACATATTTGCCTGGTTTTTCCTCCATATTTCTGTGGCTCTTTCTGAGTTTCCTTTGCTGTTTCCTTTTCTGTCCTTGAAACATTGGAATGTCCCAAGCCCATTTTGTGATTCACTTGATGGTCTTACTTCATTTCTTTAATATGAACTATGCTGATGACTCAGATTTATATCTTCAGCCAGAACCTTTCTCTTGAATTCCAGATTCACATATCCAACTGCTTACTAGGTGCTTGATAACTCAGACTATTCCGTATCTGCACTTTGCTTTTTGTTTAATCCAAATTTGCTTCTTTTGCATTTTCCTTAGTTAATAAATGACAACTTTATTCTTCCAATTGTTTAGACCTCGGCCTCCGAAAGTGCTGGAATTACAGGTGTGAACCACCAAGTTCAGCCTACTGTCTATAAAGCTCCCCCTGCCATCCACCCATAGTCATTTGAGTCTTCCCTTAGTTTAATTGAGTGTTTTTGTTGTTTTTTTGTTTTTTTTTTTTGATGGTTCTTCAAATGTCTTGGGATCATTTACTCTTCCTCAAATTATGGGCAAATGCTTAAAAATACTTAGAAATACCTTCTTTAAAAGTGTGCTTTCCTACCACCTCTCACTACTTCAAACATGAAATAAAGATCCCGTACATCTTTTGAGTGTAATTATAAAATAATTTTTGATTGGCTCAATAGTTACTTTTATCATGGCTATATAAGTATTATTAAAGCTTTAGATAAGCCATAGAATATGCTATTATTGTCCGGGTGAGGTGGCTTACACCTGTAATCCCAGCACTTTGGGAGGCCGAGTTGGGTGTATCAGGAGATAAGACCATCCTGGCCAACACGATAAAACTGCATCTCTACTAAAAATACAAAAATTAGCCAGGTGTGGTGGTGGGCACCTGTAGTCCCAGCTACTCAGGAGGCTGAGGCGGGAGAATTGCTTGAACCCAGAAAGCAGAGGTTGCAGTAAGTTGAAGAATGCTATTGTATTTTCATTCTTGTACAGCTTTTTTTTTTTCTCCTGAAGTTAATACTTGCTGTATTTTTTACCTACCTATAATTTATATTTAAACTCTCTGGAAGTAAACAGATCACATGATTCAGTAGTAAATCTCCCCCTCCAAATACATGCTATCCCCTCCACCCCTTGGAACATTGTTTTTTTTTTTTTTTGAGATGGAGTTTCGCTCTTGTTACCCAGGCTGGAGTGCAATGGCGCGATCTCGGCTCACCACAACCTCCGCCTCCTGGGTTCAGGCAATTCTCCTGCCTCAGCCTCCTGAGTAGCTGGGATTACAGGCACACGCCACCATGCCCAGCTAATTTTTTGTATTTTTAGTAGAGACGGGGTTTCACCATGTTGACCAGGATGGTCTCGATCTCTTGACCTCGTGATCCACCCGCCTCGGCCTCCCAAAGTGCTGGGATTACAGGCTTGAGCCACCGCGCCCGGCCTGGAACATTGTTTATTCTAGTCTGGACTGTAGAACTGATTCCATCTGGAACCTTCCTTTACCATCCTTCTGGGTGTTCCTATTGGCTCTTTCATGGTTTGGAACTACTGTTTACTGGAACTCTCTCTTTTTTTTTTTTTTTTCTTAAAAGACAGAGTCTTGCTCTTCTTGCCCAGGCTGGAGTGCAGTGGTGTGATTTGGGCTCACTGCAGCCTCTGCTTCCTGGGTTCAAGCGATTCTCCTGCCTCATCCTCCTGACAAGCTGGGATTGCAGGTGCCCGCCACCACGCCCAGCTAATTTTTCTATTTTTAGTAGATGGGGTTTCACCATGTAGGCCAGGCTGGTCTCAAACTCCTGACCTCAGGTGATCCACCCACCCCGGCCTTCCAAAGTGCTGGGATTACAAGCATGAGCCACCAAGCCTGGCTGGATCTCTCTTTTTATTTTTCCTTGGTTTACTCCCTCATTTTGATAGAATATGTTGTCCTGTGTTTTCCTGAGAAAAGGATTCAAGGGAAATGAATTTTTTCAGAACTTGCATATCTGGCTGTGTTTTCGTTGTATTCCTACATTTTGATGGATAGTTTTGGTTTGGGATTTTAGATTAGGAATTATTTTCTCAGTATTTTTGAAAGTTGTTGTGTTGTCTGAGAACTTGCAGTGTTGTAGGAAAGAAAATTAATGATAACTTTTTATTTTTTTGAGACAGGTTCTCATTCTGTCACCCTGGCATGAATATATAGCTCACTGTAGCCTTGACCTCATAGGCTCCAGTGATCCTCCTGCCTCAGCCACCAATACAGGTTGGACTACAGCCATCTACCAAATGCCCTGCTAAGTTTTCAATTTTTTTGTAGAGACAGGTTCTCACTATGTTACCCAGGCTGGTCCTTAACTCCTGGGCTCAAGCAATTCCCCCGCCTCAGCCTCCCAAAGAGCTGGGATTCCAGGTGTGAGCTCTTGGATCTGGCCCTATTGCCACTTTGATTTCCTGTCTGCTGAAGGAAATTTCCTGCCTTTTGTTAATGTGAAATTCTAATGTTTCTTTGTCTTTTATATTCTAAAGTAATATCGCAATAATGTGTCCTTGATATGGATTTTTTCTTTTTGAGATGGACTTTCACTCTTGTTGCCTAGGTGGGGTGCAGTGGTGCCATTTTGGCTCACCACAGCCTCCACTTCCCCGTTCAAGCCATTCTCCTTCTACTAGTAGCTGGGATTATAGGCATGCACCACCACGCCCAGCTAATTTTGTAGTTTAGAGATGGGTTTCTCCATGTTGGTCGTGCTGGTTTCGAACTCCCAACCTCAGGTGATCAGCCCCCCTTGGCCTCCCAAAGTGCTGAGATTACAGGCGTGAACCACCACGGACAGCCTTTTTTTTTAAGAGACAGAGCCCTGCTGTGTTGCATAGACTTGATTTGAATTCCTGATTTCAAGTTACCTTTTCACCTTAGTCACTCAAGTAACTCGGACTACAGGCATGTGCCATCATGCCCATCTTTTTGGTGTGGATCTTATTTTTGTTTTTGTTTTACTCTTTTAAAGCTCAGTCTGAAAATCTGTCTTTTAATTCATAGAAATTTTTTAGAATGATATCTTGGAAAATTTTGTCTTTTGAATGTGTGCTCCTCTCTCTGCCTAGAACTTTTTTTTTTTTTTTTTTTTTTTTTGAGACGGAGTTTCGCTGTTGTTACCCAGGCTGGAGTGCAATGGCGCGATCTCGGCTCACCGCAACCTCCGCTTCCCGGGTTCAGGCAATTCTCCTGCCTCAGCCTCCTGAGTAGCTGGGATTACAGGCACGCACCACCATGCCCAGTTAATTTTTTGTATTTTTAGTAGAGACGAGGTTTCACCATGTTGATCAGGATGGTCTCGATCTCTTGACCTCGTGATCCACCCGCCTCGGCCTCCCAAAGTGCTGGGATTACAGGCTTGAGCCACCGCGCCCGGCCTTTTTTTTTTTTTTTTTTTTAATAAGACACATGGTCTTGGTGTTGTCCAGATTGGAGTGCACTGGTGCAATCATAGCTCACTACAGTCTTGAATTTCTGGGCTCAAGCCATCCTGCCACCTCAGCTTTCCGAGTATGTGGGACTACAGGCATGTGCTACTATGT